TTATTCGATTTAGAAATACGACGCTACTCCATCCAAGCCCAGCTTGCCTCACTATTGGCCACATTTGTTCCTGCACGTCGCTTCCATACTCAACCAGGCAGTATAGGCTGCAGGCATGGGCAGTCAGCTAAATTTGCTTCCAGACAACATCAATCGCCAAAATCAACAGGAGTATCTTAACACATTTAATAGGTAAATACAGCTTTAACAACATAATCAAATTGAGGTTGAATAGCATAGAAATGGGCTGGGAATGAGGGGCTGAAAAAAAGCGTAGGGTTAGGGTATGCGGCCTTAGCTTACTGCATGCGGCGATAAGCGAGGTGCAGCGTCATAACGTGTCCAATTGTAAGGCAAGCCGGGCTTGGATGGAGTAGCATCGTATTTCCAAATCGGATAAGTATTTGCGGTACCATCGTAAGTAGGGAGTTTGACACTCGCCAGACCCTGACAGTGGAGTTTCTGGCGGGCCGACTTAAGACATTGCCAGATCTTGCCAGGCCTTGGCAGTCCCCAAAAGTGGGGTATTGTCAGGGTCTGACGAGTGTCAAACGCCCTACTTACGATGGTAGTGTACTGTACTATACATACGAACAGGTATCTATTTGTCTACGGAGGTACGGATATACGAAGCAAATATAGACGGTACTGTACAGATACATCCGGCTGTGATGGATCCTGTACTGTATGTATATACAACACATCCTCGTACTGTACTAATTGAGCGTCCTTTAGGAAGTGACTACCTGCACTTGGTACCTACCCTGCAGACCCTACCAACTATGGAGTACCTTGTTCAAAAGGTAACGTCAAAAATATGGTGTCCAACACTTCTTCAAATCACAAGCAGCCAACAAACTTGAACTGGAGGTCAGCTGCAAAGTCCAAGCCGAAAACGCTGTCCCGCGAAGTCACAGCTCAGACACGATGCCCCGTCACACCACGTCTTTGGGGCTTGGGCCCGTTTCATACAGCCTGACGATCAAAGATTCCGTACCTGAGAACGGAAGCTTGATTATAATACACAGTAAGACTCCATACAGCTGGAGGCACAAATAAGTCAATCTCTACAAAGCGTAAAGATGTACAGTACACACAATCCCAGACACGATATTTGTTGCTACTGTATACACTAAAGTCCGTGGGCAAATGTTCTGCGTAGCAGTAATACGTGTATGCCCGTACAAACGTGCATACCTACAAGGCCATGTTGGTTTCCTAGTGGAGGTCCATGAAAGGGGCGTGAGAACGCAGTCAGCATCTGAGCATGCCATCCTGGCGGCTGGATCGTCGGTTCCACCAGTCGCTCGGACAGTGGGCGCAAACACACTTGATGCGACTAGACCTTTTGATCGGCCCTGTACATAGTCAAGTTAGTCGCAAGTGGGGTGTGGGTGACCAGGCTCGTCAGGCTCTTGTAGCTAAGGTACCCAAATGGTATACATCAAAGTTACTAGACATGCATTGGTACTGTATTCACATCTTTGTATACTGGATAGCTACCTGTACCCGAGTCCACACTACAGAGCATTGCCCTAGTATACTGCGTGCATGGGTACCTCCTATACCTGTAGAACTGGAGCGCTAATGCAAGGACGGAGTCATATCACAGTAGTCATACTGTCTAGGGTACTACTAAAGTACGTTTACTTGCTACCAACTCCACAGGGAATTTACCACATACTGTGCACATCAAGGAAACACTTGTAGCTGGTATTGTACGGGGGTTACCGGCAAACACATCCTCTCCGTTTGGCAGGGGCACGAATACGGTATGGAATACTCAGTGTAAGTACTTGCAAGTTCAAGGACACATGCGATTCATCACTTCTCTCGATAATGGGTTGAATACGGAGTACACAGTCGTGTCAGTTGCCTCAGCAGTTTCTTGATCCCGCGGCTCGAAGGGTCTCAAATGTTGTCTTCCCACTGACGCTGAGGCCACCAGAGATACCTCCGAGTTACCGTGATGTTCTAGGTACAGGGTATTGTATGTACATACATACAAGTACCAGGAACAGACTAGTGTAGTGGAGCATCATAGGGTATTTTAGGTGGAGGTAGGGTCACCACCTACTGTGTAGGTGGGAGTGCACCTGGATCCTGCCCATTTTTGCGGATACTTAGCCGTGGGGTTGCACATTCATAGTGGGTTCTTCTTGGCGTTTGGCCTCGAGTGTGCCGCTCGCTCTGACAGTGGACACTGAGATGCTGAAGAGAAAAGAATGGAGGGACTGGCACGACAGGGTCCGTCCAGCAAAAGAACGGGCCAATCGGCTCAGCAATCTGACGACGGGTCACATAACGTTACCTGCAGAAACAAGTGATCCATTTCTCAGCTAACCCAGTCGCCCAGCCAGCCAGCCCCCCTAGGTACATAGCTCCCCTGATGCAGGAGCGAGAAGATGGTTGAGAAAAAAAAAAGAATGGAGATTGCCTTTCTCCGCTCCGCCTAGCGCCATCGATTGCTTGACAATGACCACCCACCATTTCCCGACACCAATCCTAACAAAAACCCACGCTCCGCATCCAGCCAAGGACGGACCATGGCGAGGAATGCGGTTTGGCTTTGCCCCTGCAACCCTGTCGGCAGGCCCCCTTTCACAACAACCAAGCAGCACGATGCTCCGACCGTGCAGTTCCTCCCAAAGGACGCAAGTCGTGCACACTGCACACCCGACAGGAGGCCCGAAACCCTTCCATCCATCGACCCTCACCTCCCTTCTTTCCAGGTCAGGCAGGCTAAAGAATCCCTGCGCACACAATATGACGCAGGCCTTGCTTGCCAAAGTGATGGAGCAAGCCCCCCCGTTGTCACTTGTCACGCAGTTTCTGTATTGTACCCGCCATCCATGGATGCCAAAGCGGCACCGTCTCTCCTGGTCATGTCCACTACACAACACGCTCATAGTCTCATTGCCTCCCTCGCCGTACCAACATGGCCGGACGGCATCAACTAGTTACACTAGGTTTGACTCGGCTCTTCACTGGTCCTCCACACGCCATCTCCCACAAGACCCTCACTAGGTCACTTCTCTCATCAAAGCTCGGTATATCTCGCCGTCCGCCCATTCCCCCCTTCTCTATCCTGGCTTGCTAGCTCGCGTTTCCCGCTTTGATATCAGGCCTCGGCTTGATATACCTCGTCTCCTGCGTTCTCCCTCTCTCACTCTCTGCGCTTGGTGTTGCCCAGAGCAGCTGTTATTAAGATGATGCCTTCTCTGCTCAACACCAATGTGGTTGGTGTACCTCAACACCATGTTTCTGGTGGATCCTTTACAGTTGACACAATGCTCAACGAGATCTCAAGGCAGCTCGTTGGGAATACAAGACGGTACTCGAGGAGTTCAAACGGGCAGCATCGACTACCAAACGCTATGAAGATCTGCAAGCCTGGCAGTGCCAGTAACAGCCCAAAATCATCCACACTGCAATCACGAAGGAGGACCTTGATCGGTGATGGCTTTCGCGGCAGGCAGCAGTCACCTGCTGCGAGCTCGGCACATGTCCCGACCCCAGCTTCGGATATTCTGGGCGAGCCCCTTTACGAGCCGTGTTCGAGGCCGGCACGTCCCGTCAGCTGGCATCCATCTGTGAACTATTTTACACAGCAGCCCTTCCCCTCTCAGCAAGGCAGCAGCACGACTCCCTACGCGTATTCGACATACGATGAAGCCGACATTCTGGCAAGTCTCCAGAACCTTCCCCCTACACCGGCGATCTACTCAGGATACACCTCGCCCGTGAACTCGTCACCCCTCTCTCTCCCCTACTCGAGTTTCAGCTCCCAGCCGGTCTACTCACCTCCGAGCCAGCCGGTCTCGACGCAGTTCGAGCAATCACGGCAGCAGCAACAGCAAGCTCCTACATCTCAGCATTCCCCTTGCGCCAGCTACGGTCCAGATGCAGCAGTGCCCGACTCAACTTACCTGCCGGCTTCCCGTGGGCCAGACAATCGCCTCGGCTGGTCACCATACCCGGCCAACGATGCTATCCTCAGCCTGTCCGCAGCGCCGCCCACACCAGAGGATTTTGCGTGCAGTCTTGTCTCGAACGGCGCGGTCACTGGCTCGGATGCGGAACCAAAGGCGCAGACAGAACAGGCTTTTCAGCCTGTGATTGTCGATGACGACGGAGGCAAGGAATCCGATGGCGAGATCCTGTACGGAATGGGCTTATACGACATGCCTGGTCGCAGCAAGAGGGCGGCCACTCCTCATTCGTCTCTGAATATGCTGCATCGGTCGGCCATCTTTTCATTATTGAGCAGCCGGGACTCGGGGCAGACAGGGGAAGAAGAGGAGGATGAGGAGGATGAGGAGGATGAGGCGGATGCTGGTAAGGGCTTGGGGCTGAAGTTGGAGGATGCGTGGGAACCACCTGTTAGTGATGATGAGGAAGAAGGGGCTGAGGATGCCGATTGATGGAAAGAGACATGAGATGGTGAGTGAAGAGGGGGAATTGTTGGATGGCGTGGATTTTTTTTTTTTTTTTTTCCCCCTCCCCTTTCTGCGGATGGGTTTTCCATGCATGGCTAGCAAGGCGTTTGGATACAGGGCATCGGCATGGACAGTAACTGGGACAGCATAGCGGGGACACTGAGGGGTATGGGCAAAGCAAGTCGGAATAGATGGTTCGGGGTGGCGGCTCTTGTGCGAGACGAGGGCTACATCTAAGCCACAATATGCCCATCGGGTTCCACGACCCGCGACGAGATGTCAAGTGGCATAAAAGATGCAACCAGTGTACTACACTCATGATAGTTTTGCCTGAATGGCACCGGAGTTTCGGCGAACGAACTCTGTGTATACATTTAACTCGGGTTTAATTATCTGTTCCTTTTTCCGTCCAGTTTGTGATACTAGCAGGCGTCCGGATACCAAGCTATCTCAGTGTTTAAAGGCCGTTGCGTCGTATGTTCCAGACAGAGCTTCGCTGATGGTCGAGCCAGTAAAGGAGGTAACTTACTGCACGGTATGTATTCCCCTTGTACATAAGGTACTTGTCCCAGGAAAGCTCCTCCACTGTCCACCTCAGTGTCAAAGCATGCAAGACCAGCTGCCTGCCCCGCCATACATTACCCCTCATTCAAGCCATAACTTTAAGGTCTGGGCCGTTATCGGAACGCAGCACCGAAAATTGCACCCTATGGGTCAGTCAAACTGGTGAATCAAGTTATCAACAAGTCTGTGACCTTTAAGATAGTTTCCGCGCAATTGCTTCTAAACGCTTTACCCGGGATACGGAGTACGACGAGTTGTCCCGGCAGATCTTCTCGATATCTTTACAAGACACCCTCCTGCTCGAGATGGCTTCCCAACAGTAAACCAGCCCCACCCCCAGGTCCGTCGCCATTTGACCCGAGCCGAGGCTAACCTCTTACTCTGCGCATTTAGCAAGGTGCTCATGCTCGGCGCGGGCTTCGTGACACGGCCGACTCTCGATATCCTCAGCGATGCTGGTATCCCAGTTACGGTTGGTAAGATACCTTAGCTTAGTCTAGGAACTCTCTTGGCACGCCCTCTGACTTTGCTACCCTTCAATAGCATGCCGGACCTTGGCCACTGCCAAACAGCTCTCAGCGGGCGTCAAGACGGCAACACCTATATCGCTCGACGTGACCGACGAGAAGGCCCTGGACGCCGAGGTGGCCAAGCACGACCTCGTCATTAGCTTGATCCCGTACACCTTCCATGCAACCGTCATCAAGTCAGCCATCCGCAACAAGAAGAATGTCGTCACGACCAGCTATGTCTCGCCCGCCATGCTCGAGCTCGATGGCGAGGCCAAGGCGGCCGGCATCACCGTCATGAACGAGATCGGTCTGGATCCTGGCATTGACCACTTGTACGCCATCAAGACCATCGACGAGGTGCACCAGGCTGGCGGCAAGATCCTCAGCTTTCTATCCTACTGCGGCGGCTTGCCGGCCCCGGAGGACTCGGATAATCCTCTCGGCTACAAGTTCTCATGGTCCTCGCGGGGCGTGCTTCTCGCGCTGCGCAATGACGGCAAGTGGTGGCAGAACGGGTCCGTTGTCCAAGTGGCTGGAAAGGACCTGATGAAAACGGCGAAGCCCTATTTTATTTACCCCGGTTTCGCCTTTGTGGCCTACCCGAATCGTGACTCGACGGCTTACAAGGAGCGGTACCGCATCCCAGAGGCACAGACCGTCGTCCGCGGCACACTGAGGTACCAGGGATTCCCTCAATTCATCAAGGTGCTCGTCGACATTGGGTTCCTCGAGGAGACCCCGCTCGACATCCTGTCCCGCCCCGTGCCGTGGAAGGAGGCAACGCAGGCCGTTGTCGGCGCGTCGTCGGCGTCGGCAGCAGATCTTGAGTCGACCATCCTGGCCAAGGCCACGTTCGAGTCGGACGAGGACAAGCAGCGCATCATGTCTGGGCTGCGCTGGATCGGCTTGTTCTCGGACGAGCCGATCGTGCCCAAGGGCAACCCGCTCGACACTCTCTGCGCGACGCTCGAGAAGAAGATGCAGTATGAGGAGGGCGAGCGCGACATGGTCATGCTGCAGCACAAGTTTGAGATTGAGCACAAGGACGGCTCGCGCGAGACGCGCACCTCGACGCTGTGCGAGTACGGCGACCCCAAGGGCTACTCGGCCATGGCCAAGCTGGTCGGCGTGCCCTGCGCCGTGGCCGTGAAGCAAGTGCTGAGCGGGCAGATTTCCGACAAGGGCATCCTGGCGCCCATGAGCGCCAGGATCAATGAGCCGCTGATGAAGGAGCTGAAGGAGAAGTATGGGATTACCATGGTTGAGAAGACCATTTCGTGAGCGGCGCGGGCTCAATAGGTGTTGCCAGTGACGTAGTAGACTCGGGGTGGAATTCTATGGCGGTATGGCCTACCGTCTCTTGAGGGTAAATCTCGCCTGGAATACGGATAGATGAGAAATGGATAGAGAAAAGTGCACTGGAGCTTTCTCACCTTGCGCCTGTGTTCAGACAGTCACTTGTTCCGTGGCTAGCTGTGTCCCTTGCTCTGGGTGTTATTTTCTCAGCGTCTTGATTTAGATCCCGGGTACAACTGTTGCGCGCCTGCCGAGACATGCACATTTTGCAACATCTCATCATCTCATGATGTTGCCAAAACGAGGGCGAACATTGCGATTGTCGTGACGAGATCAATTTCTTGGGTCGAACCTTAACAGTTTGTATGCGTAGTTGTGTGGGTAAGAGTTAATGACGCACGGGCTACAGTGAAGAGACTCTCCCATCGATCTTTGTCTTTTACTTCACCCTTCATAGGAGATGTACTCCATCTCGACTAGTACAAAACAACATAAAACCACCCTGCCCGGGAAACGAACCCAGGGACCAAATGGTGCAATACGTCTTCACACCATGGCGCGACCGGCGCGAGCTGCTCGCGGTGCGCAGCCAGTTTTACCCTGAAAAGAACCTTCATCATCAACCCAACAGCGGTCCCTTGCTTCGTGACGGAAGTGGTATGCTGGCATCACCAGAGCAACCGGGAAACGAAGACGAGTACGAAGCCGAGGCCGCGGCCAAGGAGAGGGAGGAGCAAGAACAACAACAACAACAACAACAGGCTGTTGCCCGCGTGTCCATGTGGATGCACCGCGGCGCGTGCCCGCACCTGGTTGAGTCGACGGCGCTGTTGACGGCCGCGCTGTTGAGCGATGACGGTTTATTTCTGGGTCTGGGTCGGCGGCGTCGGGGTTGGGGTCGGGGCGGGGGCAATTGGATTTCAAGTTCTGCTGCGGACGAGGAGGCATTGCAGGGCCAGCAGCAGCAGCAGCAGCAGGAAAGGATAGCAGAGGGTGAAAGTGGCTCGGCCCAGGCCTCTAGGGGGTATGCTGTGCGCGCGGCATACTCGGCTGCGTTTAGTCGGTGCGTTTGTTACCACCCCACCTTGCTTCCCGTCTCCGTTGGGTTTATATATGTACCTACCTCCTGACACTACTAGCATGCCAGGTTCGTGACTGGGCTGCTCGACTCGCACCAGGACAAGCAGCGCAAAATGTCCATGTACGACGTGGCCAAGTCGGTTGGGCTCCCCGCGACGTTTGTCGAGCTCCGGCACCAGGCAACGCATGAGCAGCTGCCGTCCTTGACCAGGCTGCGCGCGGCGGCGAGGAAGGCGCTTGATTGGATTTGGGACTACTACTGGAAACACTTGACACTGCCCCCGGCTGAAGGGGATATCCGTGGTGGCGGTGACACTGCCGGTAGCGAGCATGACAAGGAGGAGCGCAGGTGCCGAGAGGTGGTGATGAGGTACCTGGAGGCGGGGGAGGCGGATTCGGGTTTAGAGGAGGAGATTATGAGTTTCGACGAGGCAGTCGTCTTGACGACGCTAGGGTCTATCTCAGAGACTACGAGGGATACCTCGCTCCTGCGTCGGGCTTTGGCCTTTTCGAGAGCAATTATGGAGCGAGGACGGGATCCGGATAGAATGGATGACGATGAAGTTTCGGCAGATGAGAGGCTTCCCAAAGATATTGAGAGGGTCAGGGCAGAGTTGGGCAAAGCCTGGGAGGAAATGAGAGAAATGGAAGAGGCAGCGAAAGGACCAGACCTGATGGAAGCGGTCGACTCGGAGGTCGAAATGGCCGAGGATACCCCCGGCTGGACCCTGTATGAGGAGGAAACCTGGACACCTAAGCCTATTGGAGTCGTATAATAGAAGATGGAGTCTATTATCTCGAAACGTTGCGCCCAATGTATCGTCGTGTCAATGTTCTGCTTCACCTCTGTTGTTCTTAAAGGGGGTATAATAGGGGTGATCATGTGACACCGTGCGGATGGTCGGATGTATTGTCCGATTGCTTAGTACGGAGTTAAGAACCGCAAAGGGCCACTGAGCTTTATTTCAAGATAACGTCATGTTCTCTCTGCAACCATTGGCGGTTATGGTGATCCAGATTTGGCGGGGGAATCTCAACATCGTTTTTGATCTTGTTCTCGCTCGTTAACCCTGGCATCATCTATGTACTCATTCAGCGCTGCAAGGCGTCTATTTCAACCCAAGGTCAACTGCTTAGCGGCCACTGTAGGTTGTCCCCACAACCCCCGTCTTCTGTACAAGAGGTAATCGCAGATACTGAATCGCGCTTTCTAGCCTACATTTGCCCGCGCAATGCATATCCAATCGATTCCTATGTGTAAGTCTCCTGAGCCGTTTATAAGCAGGCTTGTTGAGACTGACAAGGCTGATTAAGGGGTGGGCAAGAGTGACAACTATGCCTACCTCGTAGTAGATGACAAATCCAAAGACGCCGTCATCGTTGACCCGGCTCACCCGGCCGAGTGAGTACCGCATCATATGAAGCTATGATACCGTAAAGAAATCAGCTTACATGGGTTCTGTACCGGCAGGGTTGCCCCTGTGTTGAAGAAAGCAATCAAGGACGGGTCGATCAACCTCACGGCTATTATCAACACCCACCAGTGAGTATCACCTCAGTTGACAGGACTGCTAGAAGCGGGAGTGAAGCTAACTCCGTCCAGCCACTGGGACCATGCTGGCGGCAACGCTGAGCTTGTGAGCCTCTCTCTCCCCATGGTGTCACTCGACTCGCTGTGCCTCTAACTTGACCAGCTCTCAGAGCTCGGCCAGCCCCTGCAGGTAATCGGAGGGAAGGATTGTCAAAAGGTCACAAAGACGCCGAAACATGGCGAGACGTTCAATGTTGGTAACATTACCGTAAAGGCGCTGCATACGCCATGCCATACCCAAGACAGCATCTGCTATTTCATGCAGGACGGGGATGACAAGGTTGTCTTCACCGGGGACACGCTTTTCCACGGAGGTAGGTGCTGACGGGATCTACACCTCTTTCCTCGGAGAGTTCTCGTTGCTGACTCGGAAACTAGGATGTGGCAGGTTCTTTGAGGGTACTGGAGAAGAGATGCACAAGGCCTTGAATGTGACCCTAGCATCTCTCCCCGACGATACCAGGGTTTATGTGAGCTTTGGCGATGATATTCCTGGAGTGGATCCATTGCTGACCCCTTTCCCAGCCTGGCCATGAATATACCAAGTCCAACGTCAAGTTCTGCCTGTCAGTCCTCCAAAGCGACGCCGTCAAGGCGCTCGAGGCTTTCGCCCAGGACTGCAAGCAGACCCAGGGGAGGTTCACCATTGGCGACGAGAAGCGGCATAATGTGTTCATGCGGCCGCAGGTAAGAAAGGCGTCCTAGCAGTGACAGACCGCTTTCAACTGACAAGGCATAGGACCCGGAAATCCAAAAGGCGACTGGCGAGACAGATCCCGTTGCCATTATGACCAAGTTGCGTGAGATGAAGAACAACTTCAAGTGAGTGGCTCGTCCTGGGCCTGGTCTAATGAGGAATCTCCCGCGATGAGTTGGAGGTTGATTCCAGTTCGCTCGGATTAGGGAGGTGGCTACAGAAAAGTCTTATCTGTAACGCATGCACGACAATTCAGACACTGATGTCTCCGCAAGCCCATGCCACCGAGACTCTTGAAGAAGCCTGGCGCTGTGAACTTCCGGACGTGTCTGAAGAAGACACGGGGTTTCTGCTCTTGCTTCACTGTCCACACTTGCGCGCCCTGGGGTCGTATGAAGGCGACAAGCTCTAGCATATTTTGAAGCTGTGGTATCACTAAGAGTACCGGGGCAAAACAGACGCAAAGGAGGGCGGCTACTTGCCCTTTCAACCTACCCGAATGGTTATCGTGCGCTCTCTGTGTAATGGCCATGCCCATGCTGAAGTAGCCGGACTAGCAGTAGAGAGGTAAACATGAATTCCTTTGGCCATAATCTGAATACCCGGGCCAGAGTAGATAAAATGGTTGGACTTTATTTTGGACTCGAGGAGATTGGCGTGAAAGTGAAGAGGAAATTTTATAGTGAGCACTGGAGACGCCTGTCGTTTTATGCAGGTCGCATCCATCCATCACATGATCAGGCGCTTCTTTGGCGTTGTGACCTGCAAACGTCAGGACAAAGTGGATACCCTTTTCTCAACAGGACCCACCGCTGCGCGCAACAGGTCGACATAACTGCAGTTGAGCCCAAAATTCTACCCTATATATTGGCCCGCGCATTGCATGCGCGCCCCGGAAACCCTCATGTATATAGGTAACCTGACCTTCTGAATCTGAATCTGCAGTTGGTTTGATGGCGCGGGCAATACGCGTGGAGGTATTGATGACCTGAAAATTGCTTCTCCTCCGGGCAATTTTGCCAAGAATTGCCAAGAATCGTTGAAATTTTCCTTGAATTATATCTGAAATTTCATGAAAAGCTGTAACAAAAAGAAGTCATCAACGGCTCTACGCGCATTGCGCGCGCCATCAAATCGACTGCAGATTCAGATTCTACGGGTCAGGTTACCTATATACATGAAGGGTTTCCGTGGCGCGCATGCCATACGCGGGCCAATATAAAGAAAAGAATATTGGGCTAAACGTCAATTGAGTCGAACTTCGCTGCGCGCGCGGCCAAAATTACAAGGGATCCGCTTTGTCCTGGCGTTTGCAGGTCACAGCGACACCAGGCACCCCACCTTGCCATCCGCTGCGGAACTCCACAACTGCAGTCGCATCCCCAGCTCGCTCAGTTTATGACCTGTTTCGGTTGTGCCTCTTATCGCAACTCCATATCGCAACAACAACAACAGCGTCGACAACAATGGTGAGTGGAGGCTGGTCAATCTACCCTCAATTCAAGCAAAGAAATTGAACGTATACTGATTGACACCTCACCTTGTTTCAAATTCCACAGCCACCCAAGCGTCGCCCTCCGGCTGCGGCGAAAGCCAGCGGCGCATCCTCCACAGCACGCCCCTCCAAGCTCGCCAAAGAACACAACCTCACCGCGCAGGAGGAGGCCGAAATTCGTGAAGCTTTCAGCCTCTTTTCCGAGCCAATGGAAGGCGAGAAGGAGGGCGTCATTCCCATAGGCGACGTGCGCCGAGCAATGATGTACGTACAATACATCCCCCCCTGGACCACTTCTACCTACCTTACCTTTTCCTTCCCTCCCAACTTCCATGGACACTTCATACCTAGACTGACACAAGGCAATCTCCCAGCGCCCTAGGTATCCCGCCAACCTCAAAATCCCAACTCGCCGAATTCACCGCGGTGCTCGACCCAGAAGACGAAGGTTTCGCGACTTATCCGTCCTTCTTCGCCATCTGCGCGCTGCAGATGCACGCGCGCAATGCCTCGCTCTCGGAGGAGGCCCACCGCCAGGAACTAGACGAGGCCTTTGGCTTGTTTGTGGGCGGCAATCAACCACACCCACCATCATCATCATCATCATCCGGACATGGGAGCGCCGACCCCGTCATTACCTTGGCTCATCTGAAGCGGGTCGCCGCGCTGCTCAAGCAGGGCGAGGAGGAGGGGGTGACTGACGAGTTGCTGAGGGATATGATCTTGGAGGCTAATGGTGGCGCGGGCGTCGCGGCTGGCGTAAGGAAGGAGGAGTTTGATTTGGTTATGAGGCGGGCGGGCGTTTGGCGGTGATTTATCCTCAACGAGCAGGGATTTGGCGTACGCATATTGCAGAGGTTCGGCGTTATGGGAGGCAAAGGGCATGGGTTATTGGACCAGGATCGGGGTATGACGAACGACTGCATCATGGATGAATGATCCTGCGCCCAGGCATGGAGGAGTGTCTGAATGACTGGCCAGCGACACGTAACGATGGATGCAGCTACGGCAGTCTGCGCTGGGCGGACGAAATGCGGCCGGGCAGGTTGACATGGAGGGACTGTTGAAGCTTGTTAGACTCTGACCGGAGGAACCTGGCCATGGGCTGCACGCCAAAACCGTCGAGAGTTGACGATACAAGGCGAGACGGAGGCAAGACAGAGCCCCGAATCGGTGGAAACACAGATACAGAGTGCTGTGCATTTCCAGCCTGGGCTCGGCCGCTATCACGAGGGAAACCTAACACCCTGGCTTCCCTTCTAAGGAGTCAAGGATTTGTCGAGTTGCTGCTAAAGAGCTGCACAGTCACAAAAGCCTCGGGGTGCGCGCTGGAGGAGAGTCAGGAGAGGGAATTGTCAAGTTATTCTACTTAGACACATATCCTCAGCAAGGGTGATGACATACCCACCGCGACCACATCGGTCTTGATATATATAACGCCGAAAATGCAAACCTCTTACCCCAAAAATTGCGTCGATGAGTTGCTCTAGCGCATTGCCCGAACCTCCCTGCTTCTTCTGTCGCGTAGAAATTCCATATATCCCAAATATATAATGCTCTTCATTCACTTCTCCCCCGATGGCGGCACCTCAACAATATCGGGCTTCGGTGCCTGATCGGCAGCACCCCCAACGATCTGCTGCTGGGCTGCCGCCTTCGCAGCGGCCTCCCTGGCCTTCTGCGAGTCTACCACGGCTTGTAGCTCGGGCGGTACCTTGAACCCCGCATGATCGGAATGCTTCTTGTAAAAGTAGTTGTCCGGTTTTGGTTGCAGCTCGGCCGGTAGTTCTTCGAGTACGCATTGGAGCATGGCGTCAATCGACTTTTGCTTTGATGCGTCGCGGTGCCAGATGGAGATGAGGTGCGAGTTGAAGCGGACAGAGAGGCCAACACCGCATATTTGGTCGCCTGTTGTGGTTTGTCGATGGTTAGCGCCAGGGGGGACACGTAGCAACATGGGTATCACGATTGCTAAAACGAACCCTCTTCAAGCACGCTCTGCAGCTTCTCCCCGATCGCCAACAGCTGCACCAGTTTCCACACTTCCGGCCCGTTGTTCTTGGGCACGCGGAAGGTCCAACTCCCGCCTAGAATGTTGCGGCGGTCCTCCCAGATGGGCTTGAAGCCGGCCTTGAACAGGTAGATGCTCTCACGCATCTTGATCTGGTCGACGGGCGTGTTGTTGCAGTAGCGCCAAAAGTCCTGGACGCTCTCGATCTGCGTGCCCAGCTGCTCGAGATGCGCCGTGTACTCGCCTTCTCCGTTGGTCTTGGACTGCTGCTGCTGCTGCTGGTCCTTGGCCTGGCGGTCGAACCAGACGTTCCAATAGTGCTGCGTCGGCAGCGGGCGCATGGCCTTGAGGAAGTTGCGCTTAGCATCGTCGCGCTGCTCGGCCGGGGACGAAACGCTGCTCGAAACGCTCGGCGAGTTGGGATCGATGCTCTGCGAAAGCCCGGAGAGACCACGGGTGAAGAGGGTGGGACGCATCGCCATGGCTGCTTCTCTTTTGTTTGTCCTTTTTGACTCTTTTCGAACGGGCAAAGGGCACAGAGGACCGATGCTATGCTCTCTTCCAAGAAGGGAGAGGGGAGAGAGAGTCTAAAGCAAGGCGCAGGCCTGGGGAACCTATCGTTGGCTGCGGAAGATGCAGGTCGAGAGGAAACAATTATACAAAGGGCTACGACAGTATTTCACTTGCACTGAGGTGGTTGGAACCGTTGGATGCTGGCGGTAACCGTGTTGGCTTAGGCGTGAGCTGGGCAGTGGGAATGGCCCCGGCCAAGTTTCTTTGATTGTTTCAACAAGGGGAGCGATGGGACGACGCGAGGTGAGGTGGGAGGTTTCGCTGCAAGCGCCGGCGTCAAAGACAGCCCAGGTCAGGTCAAGGTCGGGTCAATGAGCTTCCTGCAATGGCATTCGTGCTGTGTATTGGACATACACGATTCACGCTAACAATAACTGTAAGTTACATGGCTAGGTAAGGTATTGTACAATGCAGTGCATATAATACTGGAAATGTGTATGTTTATTACCCTAGGTTTGGTCTTGTTTCTTTCAGGGGTTGGAAACCGCCGTGCTGTGGAACATCGATTCCGGGTTGTCAGGCAATGGAAACAGAATGAGGGGCAGGAACCATCAGCAGCGGGGAGGACCATGCCCGAATGGGCGTCTCTCGGGCCTTGCACTACCCGTTGGCTGGAGTTCGTATGCACTTAACGGGCCAACTCTAAAGAGTTGGGCACAGAATCCAGGGACGGCTCAAAAACCAGGGACACATCAGGATTTGGTGCATTTTGTATACAAAAATGTTAGCTAGCAACACTAGCAAACCTGTAGCTTAACAACTGTTGTACTTCCTAGAAAACGAATATGACCGTTCATCCGCTTTGAAGAGGAGATTCAAATGATACCTATTATAGTAGGTTGCATCCTATTCCTCTTGAGTTCTTGGTGAAAGTTACCGAATCTTGGTGCGAGTCCGGTTGTTCTCGCGACTTCGAGATGCAGGTAAGAACACAAGATTGCAGCAACTTTCACCAAGAACTCTAGAGCAATAGGATGCAACCTACTAAAGTAGGTATCATTCGAGTCGTCTCTTCGAGGGAGATATAATGGTCATGCCCGTTTTCTTGAAAGTGCAGTATTTCCCGAGATTCGGGCATGCGACTGCTGGATGTGTTAGTGATTGTAGTGGAACGCCATATATTGCGCTAACTGTCCCTCGTTTTTGAGCCGTCCCTGAATTCTGTGCCCAACTCTTTAGAGTTGGCCCGTTAAGTGCATACGAACTCCAGCCAACGGGTAGAAAGCCACAGCGCTATTATTACATACAGTATCTTGGATGTGAAATTGAGTTTTTAGATCAATGACTGAGACATTGGGACGCAGTGTAGACGGGAAGTGGTCCACGGTTCGGCGACCCAGGAATGACCTTACAAGGCAAAGTGTTGGCACACTTGCGGCCCATGGAGGACAATCGGATATGAAGGGACGCATGCCGTCGGCTGGCCTGTGGCCGCGGCAGCCCGAACAGCTGAAACAGCGACCGGCTCGTTTCCAACCTGGTCCCACTTTCCTGTTCCAATTTGAGAGTTCCATGAAACCGCCGGCTAAGTGTGGGGCCTCCGGTGCCGCTCCGTGCGCTTTTCTTCGGAATAACGAACGGGAGGAATACGGCAATCTCGATACTTCGTCCATACGAAATATGGTTTGCACAAAACAAGTTCGCAGGTGGAAAGCCGGCATATGCAGGTAAATCCGTGAAGTTAGATGTCACTGTAAGCAAACATGAGTACAGTACTGCGTAGTTAAACAGCGCCCGTTATGAGCATTTAACATGCTCTTCAAGTTGCTGCCAGTGCGAGAACACGGTATCTTTGTAGCCCTGTCCACCGTCCCGTCTCCGGCTTAGCGCCGAGTTAACCGAGAAGGTGCGAGAGACGGCAATTGGTTTACGAAGTACGATATCATCATCTTCAGTCACGTTTCCAACCACCCTCAACAAGTGAACTCCAATGCAGCATCCGGCATTCTAGGCATCTCCTGTCACTGCATTGCACTCCCAGTTGTCTAAGCTTGTCAGAATGGGCCATCTTGTGACGGTCGCGACCTGCGCTCTAAATCAATGGGTGCTTGACGTAAGTGACAGAAAGAGAAGAAGCACGGTTTAGGCACTCGGCCATGGCTTATCGGCATCTCAATTGCAGTGGGAAGGGAATCTTGGCCGGATTATCGAGAGCATCCATCAGGCAAAGGCAGCGGGTGCCCGCCTCCGAGTCGGTCCTGTAAGATCAAAAAGCCAGCACCAGCATGATGATGATGGTGTACCACTCCGAGGGCAGACAGTTCTGACCATCTGACCTTCTTTCCCGGGTAAGGAACTGGAAATCTGCGGATACTCGAGTCTGGACCATTTTCACGAGCTCGATGTCTACACACACAGTCTGGAGATGCTTCGCCGGCTTCTGCTGGACAAGAGCACCCATGGCATTCTTCTCGACATTGGCCTGCCCATCCTGCACCGGAACCTGAGATACAACTGCCGCGTCATCTGTAAGCATCTGGCCCGACTTGCCGGTCATCCTCGCCCGCCAGTCTAAGTGCCACTAATTACATACATGCAGGCCTTGATGGGAAGATCCTCTTGATTGTAGGTTTAGCAGTTGCCCTGGCAGCCCTTTCCGTGGCCAAGGACTAACGGTCCCGCGTAATAGAGGCCCAAAATGTGGCTCGCCAACGACGGCAACTACCGAGAAATGAGGCACTTCACCCCTTGGATGCGCCCCAGAGAGACCGAGCTTTTCCATCTGCCCAAGATGCTGGCCGAAGTGCAGGGCGAGACGCACGTCCTGTTTGGAGACGCCGTTATTTCCACCCCTGAGACTGCCTTTGGCGCGGAAACATGCGTGAGTCGTGTGATACGTGAGGCTGCTGCTGGCTTTGCTGCTTACTGCTAGCAGGAAGAGCTGTTCACTCCTAAGGCGCCGCATATTGTACGCGCCCCTGATCCTCGCCACCATGAAGACATAGACTGACCAGTGCGGCCTGAATAGGACATGGCCCTGGATGGTGTAGGCACTGCCTGACTCAGGACAGATTGGACGTTCAACGCCATATTGACTCTTAGATAGGTCGAGATCATAACGAATTCCAGCGGGAGCCACTGTAGGCACCCCTCAGGCCGCCTTCGAGGGGAAGCGACAAGCTGACATTGGGATTGCAGTTACCTTGAGAAAACTGGACACCCGGCTCCAGTTAATCACTGAGGCTACTCGGAAGTCGGGTGGTGTCTACCTCGTATGTCTCACAGGGGGAAGGTGGGCCAGCTGCACATTGACGAACTAACAATGCATTCTGCAATACTTAGTACGCCAATCAGCAAGGCTGCGAGTATGTTGCCATTATTTCACCCACCTCTCAAGGCAGTTTGCTAAGAATTTCAGCGGCGAGCGTCTATACTTCGATGGCTGCGCCATGATCATAGGTTCGTTGCAGGCTTCTCAGCGAGTACATTGGATGCTGAGCTAATCACCTCCTAGTGAACGGCGACATTGGTACGCAAATTTCAAACCCCGAGCGGATCCCCCAGGGCACTCTAACCGCGTTGCAGTCGCCCAAGGCTCTCAGTTCAGTCTCAACGACGTCGAGGTCGTCACCGCCACGGTCGACCTGGAGGAAGTGAGGGCGTACAGAGCATCCATCTCGCGCGGTCTTCAAGCCGCGACATCGAATGCCAAATATCAACGGATACAAACCCCATTCGAGCTCAGCTCTGAGGATGACGATGCCGACATTGAGAAAAGGCCTACTCTGCCGATTCAGCCCAGATTCCACCCGGTCGAGGAGGAAATCGCCCTTTGCGGCGGCTGTTACCTCTGGGATGTAAGTGCTCTTCTGGACATATTTTCCCTCGCTGAGGCTGACCTTCATCCCTCTACAGTACCTTCGCAGATCCGGTGCGGCGGGCTATCTAGTGCCCCTGAGCGGCGGCATCGACTCGTGCGCCACAGCAGGTAAAGCCCCGTTCTTGTTTGGCGTGCCGGTTTGCCCACGACCCAGTCACCAACACTTCATTCAGTAATCGTCTATTCGATGTGCCGCATTGTCATGCAGGCCGTCGAGGCAGGAAACGCCCAAGTGATCGACGACGTCAAGCGTATCGCCAAATACGGTGAAGAAGGGGCTCTTCCGAAAACGCCGCAAGAGCTCTGTAACCAGGTCTTCACGACCCTGTACATGGGCATGAAGAAGCAAAGCTCGCGCGAGACGCGCCAGCGCGCCCGCGACCTCTCAGACGCTATCGGCAGCTACCATGTGAACCTAGACATCGACGACGTGTACGAGGCGCAGAAAAAGCTGGTGGTGGCCACGACGGGCTTCGATCCCAAGTTCAAGGTTGAAGGCGGGACCGTGCAGGAGAATCTCACGTTGCAGTGTTTGCAGGCAAGGATAAGGATGGTGACGGCCTATGTGCGTTGTGGATTCTCTTCTCCTTTCCCCCTCTGTTGTTGACATGGATGGTGTGTTGACACATTGTGCGCCTTATTGCAGGAGTTTGGCCAGATACTCCCGACAGCTCGCAACAGACCTGGGGGCGGAAGCTTATTAGTACTGGGTAGTGCCAATGTTGGCGAGGTAAAGTGTCGCGCAGCGTCGTTCTGTTTCTGCAACTAACTTTGAACACAGAGTACGTCTCGCACAACCCCGTGACGAACCTTAGTAGCGATGCTCATGCTGTATTCAGGTCTGCGTGGCTACTTGACCAAGTATGACTGCTCGGTGAGTCGCAGACCACCCCAGGCCTCTCAAATCGCAGCTGACATGTTTCTATTTCTCGCCTCCCTTGTAGAGCGCGGATATCGTGAGTGGGCAAATAATCAAGCTATACTCAGCGAGGAGCTCATGCATTCTGTGCTAGAATCCCATCGGCTCTATTGACAAGGACGACCTGAAGCGATTCATCAGGTGGGCCGAGAAGAACTTTGACTTGCCTTGTCTTCACGGGTTCTTGACCGCCGTTCCTACCGCTGAGCTGGTAAGGGACCTCCATCGAACATAGTACTTCCGATTCTGACCCCCTCTAACCCTACTTGTAGGAGCCAATCACTCAAGATTATGTTCAGAGTGACGAAGCAGGTACGCAGCCCCATGACGATCCCTGTAAGAATGCAGTCGCTAATTCTTCGACAGATATGGTTCGTGATAGCTCAGCGCGAAACAAAAATCGCTGAGTGATACAGGCTCCGAGAGTGTCGCTTGATGCTAACTTGTTACACAAGGGCATGACGTACCAGGAGCTGACCATATTTGGTCGGCTGCGCAAGCTCAACAAGCTTGGTCCGTTTGCCATGTTCCAGCGGCTGGTGCATGACTGGAGCATCGACCGTGAGCGTACAGCGGATGACGATGCGCCCTATTACACGCCGGCACAGGTTGCCGAGAAAGTCAAGCGGTTCTTCCACTACTACGCCATTAACCGTACGTCTAGCCTACAGTCAAGCGAAAGAGAGACGGCTTTGCTGATGGCGATACAGGGCACAAAATGACAACTTTGACACCGGCTCTGCACTGCAATGACTACTGTAAGCGAACGGCGATGAGACATCAAACACCTTTATCCGTGAACATGTACTGAAACCGCTTCCACTTCTGCAGCGCCGGACGACAACCGTTTTGACCTCCGACCGTTTCTGTACCCGCCCTTCTGGAAGAGCTGGAGCTTCAAGAGGATCGACATGGAGCTTGAGAGGATTGAGAAGAAGCGGGCGGGCAAGCAGACGGTAGACCGCTGAGGCTGCAAGGTTGGCGGAATCTCGGACACCACTGCACCTACAAGTCCCTTCAACCGGTTGGCGCGCTCTGTACCGGGTAGGTAGGCTGGTAGGTATTTTTACGTCGGCTGGCAATGCTTCGGCAGGGGCTGAGGCAGTATGTAACGTTAGTGCAGTCAGGCGTTGCGCTTCTTCCAGGCTAACGTTACGAAGTCCAAGCGCAATAGCAGTGCGCAACTACACATTGTGACTGTGCTCTACGGAGAACGGTTAAGTGACCTTACCCAGCGCAGATGTACTAGTAGTACGTGGTGTGGCTCCAGCTTTTACATAAGCCACAGACGTCCAGCGGACTACATGTAAACATGGACCGTATAGGCTGTAGGTTGAGAACTGAGCTGCGGCCTCGTGAGATTTCCAACTTGCTGAATGGGTCTCCCTCCATAAGTCTTGTATGCCCATCATGCTCTTCTAACCATGTATCTTCCTTCTCGCAGTGAGCTCTGCGTGAAAGGTTGCCCTAGCCTTTGGGGTAGATAGTAGCCGGGCTTTTGATGTCCGTAGATCTTGAATTCAAGCATGATGATGGTAAGGGGGCCGGAGCTACCAACGAGGGCAGACTGTGTACTGTAGATAACCTTGTTTGGGAAGTTGGGGTGATGTTGGGATCAGGAAGGCGAACTGGTCCGGCATCCAGGGACCAGAACCTCTACTGAATGCGCCAGGGGCTGGTTGAGCTGCTTTCCCTTTTGGTCCAAATGGAGAGATGTTTGTCGATAATCCGCAGTTTCCAGGTTTAGAACGTTGAGAAACAACCGGCTAAGCCTTCCTTCCAGCCAAGAACGAAGAACGCCATAGAAAGGTAGGTGCTACCTACTACAAGTGCCTGGTGCAACAGTACGAGTGACTGCCGTCTCGCGATTGTCGACCGCTTGAGGGATTTCAATTTTTGCCTGCGCTTGTGACCCCGTTATGCTCAGTTTCGCGTCATCATCGTCTTCTCTGCCGCATCAAGGATCTAGCGGGACAGTAGAGCAAGGAACGGCTTCGGAATCCAAAGAGCTTCAGAAACTGCGGAAGGGCATTTTCGAGACCGAGGTGCACTTTATGCCCTTATTACTCAATTTTGGGGACACCTTGACAGTTCAGCAGAACAGAGCGAATATTCAGGGACGCCGTCTCTTTCTGCTTCTTCCGATGGGCTGCCCAACCCATAGCCTGCCTGAACACCAACAGCCGAATTCAGATAAGTGTATCCGCTGAGGAAGCCTTGTTTTCTTTCCACCCTCAAATGCTCGTGAGCTCAAACGCTCGACCTTTTGTCTCGGCTTCCGGGGATAGGGGACACATTGCTACATGATGGACACCAAGTTCCAAACCAGCCAGGTACGAAGCATCCAGAGAAAACTGCTCCATCATCAATACAGCATAGGCCACAGCTGGAGCTTTGGCAACTGGCAAGACCTATTTCCTCGACGAAACCTGCCAGCTGACTCTGCAACAGTCCGTCCTGATTCCGAGTCCGCACAGAACGTCCATGACCGTCCGGCATCGCGTACGGAAAGGCGTACTAAACGCAGCCACAGCGCTTTGACTGAGCAGAAACGGGCGACATGTTTTCCACATCCCAGCCATCTTCAGCGAGCCCTAGTCGAAGTTTCGATGTTTACCTCGCCAATGTAAACATCAGCCTCTTCCTATAAGAAAGCATTCGCTGTTCTGGTTCTGAACAACCGCTCGAAGTCTCTCAGATGGGCTGTTCCGCCCTGCCAGAGAAACCTCCCAGCTAGGCTGTTCCCCTACCCGTCTAAGACGGCATTTCTGTCATTTAAACGTCGGGGCTATTGCGGCAATCTGTTCGCCGACGACATCACCAATCAACATGGAGTCGTCTTCTGCTGGATCCCCGTCCTGGAACCCTCTCCGGGGGGTCAAGATTCGAATCACGAGACCCCGACCAAAAATCATCGTCATACGACCTCCGGTATCCGGCAGCACCGCTGGTACGGTCTCAACTGCCGCTGGCGCTGGCGCTGGCGCTGGCACTGGCGCTCCCTCCGGCTCCCGTAACCCGCTTCTGGGCACGAGGATCAAGATCGTTCAACCGAAGCCGAGGATCACGATTATTAAGCCGAGATCCCAGGTTATCCGTCCTGTCATACATGCCGCACCAGCACCTGTTGCTGGGGGAATCCAGGCGGCTCGGCGTTCAGCGCTTCCTCTTCCTCTCCGTCGGTCCGCCCGTTTACAAAACCGCCGGGCGGCCCGAGGTATTTCGAAGAAGCCGAGCGGGTACGACAAGCGGGCCTAGTTCTCCAGAGATTTCGTGACTGAAGTTTGACATCTTGCGTCACAAATCACAATATCAACGGTCTGTGGCATATAACTGGCGGAGAAAAGCACAGAAAAACATGTCCGATCTTCGAACCTCCCATCTTTTTGTGGAATCTTCAGTTTGGAGTTTTCATTAATGGCAGCTTGGAACAGCGAAGCAAACATAGGAGAAACATAATAGTTAATACTCGATACTGGCTGGGCTGGTGTCGGTCACTCGCTACTTATTTACCTCCTGTGGCTACTGGCGGGGTCACAACAATCAAATAGGTCTTTAATCAACCCGCCATTCATTCTACGCACTCTAACTCCAACAGCTCGGTCAACTGAGCCATGCGGCCCGAACATTGATATCTGAGCGTCCAACTGCCTAGTACTTAAGTGCCTATCATCTAATGACATTTCGCCCTAAAGACTCGCAATCCCGAACTCCATACAGTACAGTAATGCACGAAAGAAACTTGCTCGCTAAGTCCCATCAATCGTAACGTAGGAAATCTGCCGTAGTCATTGAAAAGTCCCTGTCTCCAGCCTGGCTCGTGCACCACGTTGTCACGGTGCGGTCCCTGTTCGTCATGTCAAATAATATTTGACCGATTCCCCAGCGGCCGCCTCCGACTCAGCTCATTCAGGAAGCGCATCTTGTCGTCCCCAATCTTTCGTCGGAACATGTTGAGGTCGCGAAGGAGGCCCTGCATGTGGTCATGCATGTCGTCGGCGTGGCGTTCGTATCCCTGCTCCGTCTCCGTCTCGGCCCCGCCAGACGCATACCCATCGTCATGCTCATTATTCTGCTCGTGGTTTTCTTTATCATCGTCGTAATACGCTTCATCATTGCCATCATCATCACCATCACCATGCCTCCTTTCCTTGCCCCCCGCAGCACCTTCATCATCATCATTAGCACCAGCAGCAGCAGTATGGGTCTCCCGCACCACGACCTCAGGAATAGGATTCCGCAGGCTCTCGAGGGCCAGCTTCAGATGCAGCCGCAGCGCCTCGTTCTCGGTCTGCAAACTACGGATCTTGCCCTCGGCCACGAGGCTGCGCTCCTCCATGAGCTGCTGCAGTCCGCGCACGCGGGCCTGGTACTCCTCGAGCTTCTCCTCGGCCTCGCGCGCGTCCTTTTCGCGCCGCCGCGAGTCGCCCACGACGAGCTGCAGCGCGCGGATCTCGTCGGCCATGGCCGCGATCTGCGCGTCGCGCTCCGCCGTGCTGATGCTGTCGACCTGGTTGACCACGGCGCGCGTGCGGATCCGTTTCGCCTGGTCCGCGTAGCGTAGTGTGGACAGGGTTTCCTCGTAGTCCGAGGGGGAGATGCACGCGATCATGGCTGTTTTGGAGTTGCCGCCGAGAGAGTCCTTGAGGAGCCAGGTGAGGATGGAGTCGCGGTAGGGGACGATGGAGGATATGGATTTGGAGCGGTGGTGGTGCGAGTGGTGGTTTTGTTTCTTGGGATCGGCCAGCGCGGCGATGACCCGCCCCAGCGTCGTGAGCGACTTGTTGATGTTGCTGCCCTCGCGCAGGCGCTGGCCCGTGGCTTCGGTCGCCTTGGCCCGCTCGCTGCCGGCCAGGTCGACCAGGCGGATGCGGCTGCTGCGCTCCGTCGTCTCGTCCGTCTCGAGGTCGTGGTGGATCTGCTTGAGCATGATGGTGAAGACGGCGTGGCTGCGGCTGCTCGTGTCGTTCATCTTGGTGCTGGCCGTGGTCCGGTTGTTGTCCCCGATGCGCATGTACCGGAGGATCTCGTTCAGGCTGCGGACGGGGACTTCGGTCAGATCCTTGACGTACGGTCCCTCGGTCGGCGACTCGCGGATCTTGAGGTAGTAGGGCGGTTGGTGCGGGACCACGGGGACCAGCAAGTCGCGGACGTGCTCGTTGTAGACTTCAAAGTAGGAGACGCGGACGTTGTAGCTGATGTTGGGCGTCTCGTCCTGGGCTGCCGCAATGCGCTCGAAGAGGTCCTCGCAGGTCCGCGGGATCAGGCCCGGTTGGTCTGGGGTGCCCATCATGGTGTACGACTTGCCCGAGCCGGTCTGGCCGTAGGCAAAGATGCATGTGTGGTATCCCTCAAAGTTGTGGTCGAGAAACTCCTCCCCCAAGCTGTCGTAGACGTCTTCCTGCGTTGCGTAGTGCTCGTCTTGCGGATCATGGCTCCAGAAGCTCTTGTCAAAAGTGAACGACTTCTCCTCCATGACTTTGCGAGACCGTGCCCGCGCGTTGGCAGGGTCGGAGTCGTTGGGGACTCTGAGCGTGGTCCGCTGCGTGACCGGGTCCATGTCGATGAGGCATTCTGCATTTCGTTCAATTTCTGCGACACATCCATGTCAGTGATAAGGTGTGCTCTCAACGACATATTTTTTGTATGGAATTGAACTGAGTTGGTTACCCCTCGGCAGAAACGCCCTCACCCTCACCACAACCCTCACATTTCCTCCCGGGTCCACCCTAGCATGAGGCGGAACAGTGCCATCGCGAGATCGCAGCGACGGTGTGCTCGCGCACGAGCGAACACTGCGCTGCGCGACTTCGAGGTGGCCTGCAGAGTCCGGCATCAGTCGCGGGTCGAGAGAAATTCCAATCAACGTTTCATTGATGTCGGCGACAACGTCTCGGAAGCGCCGCTCGAGGTTGCTGTACATTTAATACCCGGACGCGTTCTGGCGTGGCATGCTGGCTTTGGGTTGGTCAAGTGGGTTCCGCCTGCGATGTTTACAAAGTCCCAGGGGCGTTGCAGTTGCCGGGGTGAGCAGTTGCATCCGTTGGTTGGTGGGCTGCAGGTGAATGGCGGGAAGCGACAGCGCTAAAGCTTGGCAGTCGGCTTAGCTCGAGTTCAAAGGAGTTCTGTGGATCCTCTGATGCGCTGGCAGCTGCAAAGGTTTGATGAACCGTACCTAAACAGCAACAATTTATTACACACTGGTTTCGGTACGAAGTAGATTTGCGAGTGTTGAAATCGTCTGGATTCCTGTTATCCGCTGGTGAGTTCGGATGAAATCCCATCCTGTTAGTATTCCGGACTCGGTATGTTTCCTGGACCGCAACCGCTATGGTCTCTACCCCGAAATTTCGAAGATGAAAGATTCGGTCTCATCAAGCTACCGAGATGCTTGGTCCGTGGAGGACTGACTGACCAAAGCAATGAGGAGGTCTAATAAAGCATCCAACACTCCAAGTTTCAACCGCGCCTTGATCTATGCGAAGACAAGTCCTCTACAAAATAGCGCCCAAACGCCCATCGCTTAGCCATCAACGGAGTACAGTACACATAACCGTCAAGCCCGCATGAGACCCTTTCCCAGCAACTCCTCCCCAACCTCTTTCAGCAACCTCATATTTGGAAATTGCTTCTCCTTCGCAAGTACCACGTCACCGGCGTCCATGGCCCTCAGCAGATCTGCCAGCTCTCCTTCCAGCGGCAACCTGTACGCCAAGTAGCCCAGCGCAAGCACCATCCCCTCCAAAGCCTCGGCAGACTCTTCCTCCTGAGCGATGGCCTCGAGCACCGACGCAGCCACCTCGACCTGGTCGGCCTCGGGCAGCACATCGCCCGGCCCGTCCCGCCTCTTGGTGCTATTTGCCAGAGCGACGTTGAACAACAGGCTCGCCGCCGCGACGCGCACGTTGCTGTGGCTCTCGTCGAGGAAGCTCGATGAAATCAGACGTGTGACGCAGCCTCGCAACCGCTCGTGGCCGAGGATTTGGTCCGGGTAGAGCGGGCTTGAGAACAGGTTGCACGCCATTTGCAGCGTGACGAGCCGCAGCGCGTACGGGCAGGCGCTGGCGAGTCTGTCATTGACGTGCTCGAGCACAGCGATCACGGTGCGGTGGTCCGCCTCTTCGGCCAGGTAGCCGCTGAAGCGCGGGTCGATGAGCGAGCAGCGCAGGAGGTCGACGATGGTGAAGAGGAGGTCTGTTGGTAGACGCTCGAGGAACTGGCGTACGACGGAAGTGAACGACGCGATGTCGGGAAGCGTTGCTTCGGCTGGTCCGGAGGCCGAGCGCTCTTGGATGAAGTGCTTGACGTCTTGGATTGCTGGGTCTGCGGCAGTGGGCCCCATTTTGGCGAGGACTTTCTCGAGGGGTGGGATCTTGGAAAAAATGACGGGTTCGGCGCCCGGTTTCATAAGCGTCGGTAGGTTGAGGGCTTCGTGAGCGTGGGGTGGCCACGCCATCTGGATCAAAAGTCGCACGTTGCCTTGCAGGGCACTTGGGTCAGCACCGCTCCAGCGGTTCTCTTGCTGGCCCTTCAGAAATGTAATGAACGTCGGAGTGGCAGAGACGGAGTACCGGCTGCCTACTCCAAGTGCCTGTGAGACATCGACCTTGATCAAAACACCCTTACTACCCACTTCAGCGGCTAACTCATCGTACAGGGGATACAGAGTCTTGCATGGGGGGCAGGTCGCAGATGTGAAGAAGACCACGGCACATGAATTGCGGTATCTTTCTAACAGGTGGTCAAGCTGTGCCAGAGTCGAAACCTCCTGGACTTTGGCCACAGGATGATGGACCTGCGATTTTGGCTTCACGGAACTGCCAGGGTTTTGCTGCTGGATACCCAGGATGCCGCCGCCTCGCTTGTTGGCATTGATCTGCTGACTGAGGGCCGGCATGAGCATTTGGCCGAAAGGGGAGTCTCTATGCACGTGTCAGCAGCGCTCTGACGATGCGGTAATGGTGCAGCGTAAACATACAGCACCGCCTGTGGCATGTTGGTGATGTGGGCAGGAATCCCCTTGCCCAAAAGAAACATGGCAAGATCGTTGGAGAAATTGTTGCAGTTGTGTCTAAACAGATCGTATGCCTGCCAATCGTAAGCTGCCTGATTCCGAGGAAGTCGATCTCGGCCAACTCACCTCAACCGTGTATATCTCCCTCAGTGAGTCAAGGTACTCCTCGATCACGTCCATGGGTACTAATGCAACTGGGTCAGCAAAGCACACAGCGTACGCATGACTTGGAACCAGAGTAGAGTGTGTAAGAGAGGGTTAGGTATTGTACAATGTACAGTACATACATTCAGTCTTCCCGAGATGCAACCGCTGCATGGGCTGGCCAAGATGCGAAGATCCGGGCCTGATGGCGACGATGTTGCCGTCGTAGACGTATTCTAGCCCGTTCAACTCTATCGATGTGTGGTAAACCGCGTCAAGCTGGAACCCGAGCAGGCCCATCGACATTTGGCGGGCCAAGCCCTGAGAGAGATCGTAGACCAGAAGATGGACATCCATTATACTGATATACTCCGACAAGGGTCCCGTAGTCCAACTGGCTCACAGTTAATTAAACTGCAGATCTACAAAAAACACAAATAGTAAACGTTACTCGAAATCACACTTTATAGATTCTAGCCTTCTACCGAGGCAGCAGTGTTGACGACGCGAGGCGAATCGCTGTGTCAGCTTTTGGAAGCTGGAACCGGCTACCTAGAGATGTTGGAATTTAGACCCACTTCTGTACCTGCCTAGTAGTTGGCTCCTTAACCTTTTACTGCTATATTTCCGCAGCAAGGTTGTTAGCTCGGAACTGGTACCTCAAACAGGCTGAGCCGAATATCTGGAACTGAGCATTGCCTGCGGCCTTCTTCATTCTTATAAAAAGTTCCATGTTAATGCTATCTATGCTAATGCTGGGAATGCTCAGAACCTCAAGATGCCATCAAGATCATCAACAAGGTCGTTCATGGACCCAAAGATGCGCACTGCCTCCTGGATAATCTGGTCCTTCTCTGTCGGCGTGAGGACACGCTCGCACTCTCTCACACGCGCCTTGAATTCAGTCTTGAGATCTTCCCCATCTTCGGGCGTCGCAAAGCGGAAGAACTCAAGGGGTGCAGTGGCCCGCTTCTCAGAAGCGGCATCTCTGCCTGCTGTTGCCGGCTCGGATTCCAACTTGGCATATTTACCGCATTGGTCGAGGAGTTTCTGGACGGGGACGGGCTCGACGCATACCCGGCTACAGGGCTGCACCGGGTCGGACGGCGCGCCCCAGAAGCCCGGCCCTGCCGCTTCCAGAGCAGCTCGGATGAAGCGGCCGCCCGAAAAGAGAGCCATGTAGAATATCCACGCGTACGCGACCAAGACGTGCGGGTGGTTTGTGATGGATTCCTGCAGGTGCGGGATAAACTCGGCAAGGACGCCGGTCTGGGACACGGCTCCGGATACCTTATCGAGAGTGTCGACTGACCACCCGGTTATGGAGAGGATGTCAAGACAGAGGCTTTCGGAGCGCATGAGGAGTGGAAGGCGCAGTTTGCTGAGGACATCATGGACTCGCCCACCGCCAGTGCTGGATGTCGTTCGTGTGTGAGACTCGTCGGACTTCTTGGCTTTGGGGTAGCATGACCCCTTATCGTTGATGTGCTGATGCCCTTCAAGAATATCATTCCACAGTGACTCGAATTCTAGGTATAATTGCAAGATGTGGATCATTCCAGAGACATAGACCGAAGGGTTGCCGGCGTGGGGAGGCAATGCGAAGGGAAGAAACTGCAGAATCTTCCTGTTCAGTCTCGAATGGGCAACCCGAGTGGCAACGTTGATGCTATCCCCTAGTCCACGGGTCTCCGGCGCAGGGGGTGGTGTACCCTCTAGGGAATCCACGGCAGGTTGCCTCTTTGCCGAGCTCCATGAAGAAAATGGCCACGGCATAATGGCAGGAAATCGTGGAAAGAAACCGTGTGGGCTGGGCTGAGCGTGGTTTGAGACCTGGTAGGCTCGGTAGGGTAAGCAATGGGCGATACACTATCTTGGTGTTGCGCAACTATGATCCTCTGTTATCAGAACCGTCCGGTTTAAGAATGTAGAAGGCTCTCTAGTCTAAAAGCCGGATATTTCCATTCCTCGAGCGAGGCGAACTGCTGATTTATTGAGATTGGCACCTGTGACTATGAGAGGGCATAGAGGATAAAGAAGCTTAGGAACAAAATGGTGTATTGAAGTCGGAGAAGTGAACAGCCTACCGTAGGTAGTTCCATGTGGGGTCCATTGTCAAAAGTCGCAGATGGCCTGTTTTTATGATGCAAGTCGTGGGAGACAATGAGATCCATGAACAGATATGTTCAAGTCTGGAAACTTGTTTAGCAGGAATTGAGAAGGAGGACCCGTGCACTGCAGAACTGCAGTGGAACTGTATTTCCCTTATTGAGCTGCCGCTGGGCAGTGGGCAGTGGCTCTTGTTCCTCCTAAAACAACCAAGGTACATACAATAAAATCACCCGCCTCTCCTCTTGCCTTTTTCAGACTCCAAAGGCACCAGTATGGCTTGCGTCAGACCTCCTGAGGACTGTCACGTCGGCGTGAAGTTTATACAACTCGTGGAACGAGCTTGCTGTCTTGTTTCTGGACCATGTTAGCCCGTGAGCCGCCAAAGTGCTGCCTTGTGTCCACAACGTGACCATAACAGAGCACGGGGCGTGTAGTGCTGCACTTGCATCTGTCTAAGCCGCAGGGCCCTGACCGAAGATAGGTAGCTCCATTTGCTACATTATCATTATTGCGGGAGTGTAATGAAACGAATGTGCCTATGAAAATCAGACTCCATGTGAATTGGCAAGGTTAAAAAAGGTAGCAGATGTGGCGCTCGATATAAGTCACGATGTTGTGCAGCCGTGACCAAAGCGCCACTATAAAGACACTCTGCCTGTTTAGGTATCATCTAGCCTCCATCTCCTGCATGTCATATTTGACAAAGCTGTGTGTAATTGGCCTGTGTTCGCCCTGCAGAACATTGCCCAGGTGACGAGGAGCCGGTCAAGGGGTAAGGCAGGTAAGGCAAGAAGCCAAACACCAAAAGAAGCGCTGTATCAACAAATGCTGTATCCAAGAACTCCGTCTACATATGCTAGACCCGCAACTCACACAGATTCCTTGCCTGGCCACGTCCCAACCTGCTTTGCCAAACAAAATAAGGGGCTATACTACTGACCCTCCGGTGTCCCCGGGGAGGCGATCTTTGTTGTTGTGGTCGCCTTCCTTGCTTTCGTGATTGATGAAAAGGAATGATATAAATACGATGCCCGCTCCCACCCAGTATACCCAGCTCGAATATTGTGAGTATTGGATCATCTCACCGATGAGCGACAGGGGTATGTTCAGAGAAAGCCCAACGGTAACAACAAGGGGTGTCGTGAGGAGCATAGCATATGCCCAGAGGATGTCACTGAGGAAGGAGGACGCCGAATTCACCTGCAAGACACGTTAGAGCCTCCCTCCTCGTCTGTCATGCAGCCGGTCTTACCAGAATGATGGCCCATATCTTCCCTGTCGGTGGCAGTTGGAACTGTACGATTCCACGTCAGCAACAGATCGACGCGCCGCTGGCCTATGCAAGAACTCACTGGCTCGATGCCCGTAAAATGTAGGATGAAGAAGCCCGGCCAGAGAAATAGCACGTTGAACAGCCCCACGAGCCCGAAGAATAGCGGCATATCCACCCTATCCTCGTTCCCCACTCTCCTCTTCATGACTGTCACGTAAATGCCGTAGATAATGGCACTGACGAATGCCATGGAGTCTCCAATGGCAATCTGCGCCGTCGACTTGTGCGGGAAGTTGCCACGGTTATCGTCGCTCGCTCCGGACAGGTCGACCGACGAAATCAGTATGACCCCTGCCAGCGACGCCAGCACCCCGATAAGCTTGCGCACCGTAAAGCCCTCGACCTTGGTAATAGCGCAGAATATCAGCGTCCATATGCTGCTAGTCGAAGTCAAAATCGTAACGCTTCCCACGCTCGTGTACTCGAGGCATGCCGACGCGAAGTAGTTGGCCGCAAACCACAGCATCGAGAACTCGAGACTCAGCCGTGCCGTTTCCCCCACGCTAAGCTTCTCCTCCTTGCCCGAGGGCGAGTCCAGCGCGTCCAGGCTCCCCTGATCATCAACCAGCAGCCTCTCCCCAGCGTCATCCTCAACCCCAGCTTGGTCGTCCTCCTGAGACTTGAGCGGGGTCATCCCAAGCCGGCGTTCCCGCCACATTGCCAGCGCAGCAGTCATCAAGGAATCCACCCCGTTCTTCATAATGTATCGTATTGTAATCGGAATGAGCGAGATGGCGAAACATGACGTATTTATATATACGAGGAAGAACGGCTTGCTGTATGTGCCGTCGGAGAAGATATCCTGTTTGCAACGCGCATCGGTCAATCAGTCAGGCGCACGCACGAGCTCATAATCACTGGTGTTTGGCACTCACGCTAGCCAGGAAATTCGACAAGGTCCATAAGCACACCACGACAAGCAGCAGCGCGATTCCCAGCGTGCGCCGCGCAATCCCACCCAAACCTAGCTTTGCTCTCATGCCTCCCGAAGAAGTGCCTGCTGTTCTCGAATCATAAGTCCTTGCTGAAGACGAAGGAGACCGCGAGGTCCGCTCCGCCGCCGCCACCGCCGTCGCCAGGAGCCCCGTCCCGGAGTGCGACCTGCGCATAGAGGACGAGGACGGGTGGTCGGCGTGTGAAGTGTGATGGCCGTGGTTCTCGTGGGTATGGTCGTAATCTGTATCGACTGCTGGCCCTGTAGCACGGTCCGGCGCTAACTCGCCCGGCAGAAGCGGCTCCCTGGGCAACATTTTTGAACTTTGTATGACGGTCACACTCCGCCGCCGCCTCAGTTTCGATTCAAGGTCGAGGAATTTTAGAATCGAGCAAGATTTGGGAATGCGCCGTGTAGGTCACTTCAATCTGAGATTCTGTTACTCAACCACAGGAAGAAAGAAACGGTGCAGGCCCGGCAAAGGAATAGACCAGAGTACGCATTTGAGACGCCTCTCCTGGTACAGAGTCGGCTCGGCTACAGACTGGGTTCCGAACGCTGGTTCCGACGGGTGGTCTGGAAGTGAATAAGGAAAGGAGAGGGAAGCAGTTAGCCTGTTAAACGACCGAGCGAGTGACGCGAATATAATAACCACAGCTGCAAAAGAGAGGCCTTTTGCAGTGTGTCGGGTCTTGGAAATTGGCGGTTGGCAGTTGGTGATCGGGCTTTGCTGAAGCTCCCGTCGTTTGACGCCGTTCTGACGGGACCAACAACTTCGTGTTCCCCCTGGCTGCACCCGATGCCTAAGGATAAGGGTTAGGGTTATATATGCTCAAGTCAGTACGGAGGGCCAGCGACGCTTCCGGCCTGAGTGCTGTGTAAATGTGTAGACAATCTTACTTTCATCTTATTCTTGACGCAGTCTGCCAGGAGGTTGTTGCAACGTCTCTAATTCCGGTACAGAACATTGCATGATTCCGGAGGATATGGTTGCCGGCTATCGCCCAGGGTAGGATCTTCCAGGAGTCCTAAGGCGGCGAGGGCTCTGGTGAATTCCTTGTCCCTTGTAAGGTATGTCTTGAGTTCTTGGTATGTGATCCTCGAACCGAGAAAGTGTTTTTAACTCTCTATTGGGAATTGCAGGTTCAACTGTATGTCGATTACGAGGTACACCGACGCACTTCTATGACGGACTCTCAGCAGGAATCCTGTTGCCTCCCAGCGCTCAAACGACAAGCCCCAGGACTCCAACTCTGATGAAAACAACAAGCTCCCAGACAACCCGGCGTGATATCATACAAAGCAGGAATCACAAGCCAACCCAAATCAATCTAGCGGTGGCTCCTAATTCAGCATGCGCATCCGTCCCTCTCGTTCTCGATATGGATGTTGATGGGATCCTGAAAGTCGCCGCTGAACTCTTCAGATTCCTCCTGAAGCAGTGCGTTTCTCGCAATGACTGCGGGGGGTCAGCATGCAAAGGAAAGGCGATTTAGAATGACAGCACTAACCTTCAAAAGCCTGCTCAACGTTGATCGCCTCCTTTGCGCTTGTCTCGAAGTACGGGATGCCCCCTTTTGACTGGCAAAAGGTCATGGCCCGCTTGGTCGAGATCTAGTGATGGGTCAGTCAGTCATTGGCATATAACCACACCCCGGCGCCAACATACCACTCTCTTGCTCTCCTCGACATCGATCTTGTTCCCAAGCACCACAAACGGGAAATTATCCGGGTCTCGTGGCGAGGCTTGGATCAGAAACTCGTCCCTCCAGCTGTCCAGCGCATCAAAGCTCTTGGAATTGTTGACGTCAAACACTAGGACGCAGCAGTCGGCGCCACGGTAGAAAGCCACACCTAGCGACTGGAATCGTTCTTGTCCCGCTGTGTCCCAAAGCTGTGATCCATGAACCATGTTTTAGCACGCCTCCCTTGAGAGACGAGGATTGGGAGGGCTTTCGCACCTGCATGGTCACCTGGCGATCGTCCACTAGCACTTCCCGCGTCAGGAAATCGGCTCCGATTGTGGCCTTGTAGCTGGCGCTGAACTTCTTGTTGACCTGCAAGTCGACCCAGGTCAGCAGGTGCGCTGTTGTATGCGCTATTTGATCCTTCGGTTACGAGCGTAGGGATGCCGTACATATTGGTTCATTAGACTCGTCTTGCCGACACCGCTGTCACCCAAGATGATAACCTGAATCCCAACCATTAGCAGTCCGATAAGGAAGGCCGATATCAGCGTTGGTGCCTGCAAACCTTCAGTAAGACCTTCTTCCTGGAAGCCATGGTTGTCGGCTTGGGGAAGCGTTGATGACGTAGAGAAGGCGTGCAGGTAACACTTGACCGGGGCTACCGTTATACCGATGCTCTAGGATCTCGTTATCTCAAAATATATGAGAAAGCTGTCGCTGAGTAAGCACGGTTAAGGAGTGGCTGGCGTAAGGCGCACGATTCTTCAGGTCGTCGTTGTACTAGACAGCTGGAGCAATGAGGGTTTGCAACAGCGATAAATGAACGAGGTTGTTGTTCGGGCCCAAGGTTGGAGGAGTGACGAGATGGAGCCAGCGATAGCTCGCTGCAGCGGAGCAACAAGGCAGCATGGATGCGACAGGACCAATCACAGTTCCCATTGCGTGTTGGTCGGTGGTCCACTCTGGAAGCCATGCAGTCTTGGCCCGCCACCCCACATCCCTACGTATCCTTGTGGGTCGCTTCAGCTAGGTGAGCTCGAGGTGAGTATCGGGGTGCCTCACCTTAACACCTCAAAGCATTCGTGTGATCGTGTCCGTTCCTCGTGACAAGTCAACCGCCTTCAAGACAGGCCTCTACAGGCGCAATATTTTGAAAGTTGGGAAAGCTGGAGCAAAGAAATGGAGCGGGTATGCCAACCACGAATACACTTAAAATGATAAGTCGTAAGGTGGAAAGGGAAGGAAAGGTCGGATTCGCTTCATCGACTACTCAATTACCAGTCATCGTCTTGTCGCTCACAGTCTTTCGAAGGGTTGGCTGAGAATGTTCGAGACCAGTATCAGCTTTAGGAATGGCAGATGAGCAGCTCCTGGACAGGATCCAGGGTCTAAGCGACCTCGAACTGGCAGCTCTGCTCTGCCTTGTGGCTCGCGAACACTGCCTCATCAGCACAGAACCCGACAGTGTTGACGAGCTTGCTGAGGAATTGCGCCTGGTCGCCTCCAAGACCTTCAACCTCAGCTCCGCCATCGTCAGCTGCCACGCTCACACAACCCTTGACGAGTTCGCAACTGCCCTGCTGGTGAATCCTCCCTCCCGAGCACCGTCGTCGCCAGCCGATACACGCTCTGCGTCCCCCTACCATTTGCGGCATGACCAAACCCAATTCACGACGGCGAGGGCCTCATCCTCGGTCGGATCCTCCTTTCCGTTCCCGCGAGCTCCGCGCACAGCTCCGGTCTCGCTATCCCCTCGCATTGGCGAAGCGATAAGCCCATCGTCGCCCGCACTTGGCGCTGGCTCCGGTAACTCGCAGGCCTCACAAGCAGCACAACAACCACGAATTGCCAACGTCGTCCTGGCAAAGGATCTCAACAAGGCCCCTCGCGCCGTCCAGATCCAAGCACTTGAGCTACTTCGCACGCGACGCATCTTCACGCGCACCAACGTCCAGGCCGCTCCAAAGCAATTCCTTTTCATCGCTCTTGTAGGCGCCGGGAGTGGTGGAGAGGCGCGGGTAACGCCGCACCTGAACGACTTCTTCTACCTCGCTCATTGGCATGATCCAGAGGAGGATGGGTTCCCGTACTTGGACGAGGAGTTCCGACAAGGACCAAGACATGGCGACTTTGATGACGATGACGCATCGACAACCTCGAACAGCAGCGTGATCAAACGGGGCTCCTCGTCTCTCGGAGCGGTAGGATTAGGGGTAGGACTCGCCGATAAGAGGCTGCCGCTTAGCGACAACAGCAACATCAACATCAACAACAGCAGCAGCAGTAGTCCCAGCAGCAACAGCAACAGCAACAGCAACAGCAACAGCATACCCATGCCCACTGCCTTTCCACACCAGTACCAACACCAACACCAATACTCCCACCGAGCCCCAACAGCATCCATAACAGAAGCACCCCAGCCGCAAGACCCTCCCTTAATCACAGAAAGCGACATATCCCTCCTAGCCCAGCTAAGCCAGCAAGCGCACGTCGACGTGGACGTGACGCGCTACCAGATGAACCTGGTCTGTTTTCTGCGCATGCACCGCGCCGTGGCGGGCGGCGTCTCGCCCGCCGCGACCAAGCACCTCGAGAGGCTCTCGCGGAGCCTCGCGCCGCTGCACGGGCTCGACTACGTCACCCCGTCCCTGGTGGCGCTGGCGGCCAAGAAGGTCTACCTCCACCGGCTACAGCTGGTGCCCGTGTCGGCGCCCGAGCGGGAGCGGAGCGTGCAATGGGGCAGCGACCCGGCCGCCGTCGCGGCGCTGCTCGAGGGCGTGGGGCCCGAGGACGTGATTGAGGAGGTGCTTGGCATGGTTGAGGTGCCCGGCTGACTGTGCATGGAGGATTCCGGTGGGGTTATCAAGGAGGACCGTTTGGGAAGGGAATCTCTATAAGGAAGAATCTTTTCGGACGCGAATAGATTAAGTAGCCTGTCGTCTCATCAAGCAGGCAAGAATAATAAAGAATAAGACATAGAGCCAGGATGGTAGTACGGTACATACAATGTCCCTGATTCCGGTTTCTAAGGTATTAGTGCCTGTCCTACGTAATATCATATAGTGCTCTGCTTTCCTCTCCTCCCATTTTTCGTTCATGACGGGACTGGGAACAGTCCCTGTTACCGCATAAAGTCCCCATCTATAAACATTTCGGTAGTGCCTGGCTTCGATACCCCCTGGTAAACGCCGATATAAGCAGAAATTCGCGGTCCTTTGGCCCAGCCGACCCCGGCAGATGCATTATTATAACAGCTAACGCTGAGTGATATTCCTGAATGATTGCTTATTTCCTCTTCCTTCCTTTAGTGCAGCTCGGTAATCTTGCATTGCCAGCCCGACCTCTTAGATAGCAACGGCAAGCTGTATGCAATGGTTAGCACCTGGTCCGCAACATACCCAAACAGAATAATAGGAACTCACCTAGCCCCCAAGCACCAGCCGAGCTCATTCCCCTTGATCTTCTTGGCGATCCTCACCTCACGGTCAAGCGGCATCTCATAGCCGGTGTGGGTAAGCGCAAGCATGAAATTCAGATCCAGGCAGTGCTCAGGCCTGCCGCGTAACTCCTCAAGCGCCCCGGGGACGCTTGTGAAGACATCCCAGGACGACTCGCCGCCGCACACGCGCTTAGCGAGGTCGGCCAGCTCGCGGAGCGTGAATGAGTCGGGCATGCCCAACGGGTTGGTTCGGTCGTAAAAGTACGAGAGGAAATAAATGTCCTCTTTGGAAAACGTCTTCGCGATAGATGGCTGGTGCACGCCGTTGAAGGAGCACGGCGCGAGCTTGCACTCGGCATCCTTTTTGAGGATGCGCTCCGCGAGCCTGCGGCATTGCGCGGGTGCAGGAGACGCTGGGCCCGTCATGTTGAGGTTTTCAAGTTTGCTGCCAAGAGGATGGTTGTCAGGCAGAGTGACATTGATAAGCTTGGACATGCCGGATGCGAAGCAGGGGTTGATGATGGGCTTTTCCAGCCAAGAACGGTCGTCCTTGTGCGCCTCGTAGACGTCGTTGACGAGGGTGGAAAATATGGTATCCCGTGCAGCCATAAGGCCATAGTGCAAATGAGAGTGCTGGTAGAGGCTAAACTTGCGTCCGCCGAAGTCAAGTTCGTACTTGTGGTCGCCCTCGGCCAGCTTCTCGGGCATGCCGCCGGAGGTGAGGCCCTCAAAGTTGGGCTGGAAGACAATTTGCGTCGAGCCGCCACCAAGATCAAACACGGCTGCCGTCTCGCTGCGGTCAGGCCCGCCAATCTTGCCTAGCAGGTAATTGGTTGTAATCCACGCGTAGACGCCCTCATCGGAACCGTCCATGATGTCCACGCCATGGTCCTCCTTGGATACGACGGGAAAGGGGTAGTTGTGCTCGAGGCGGTCTCTGACGGCGTCCAAAATCTTCTGGCTCTTCTCCGGGCCCACCAGACGCAGACCAGCAGTGGCCTTGACGGCGATGGGGCTGCAAGGCTTCAACTTATCTGGAACGACCCCGAGAGCCGCATCGAGGAGAGGATCCAAGCTCTTAGCGGCCGCCTCCGGATCATCCTTGTATCGACTCAAGCCGCTGCTCCCGCCTTCGATCTTTTCGGTCATCTTGAATAGGACCTCGCCCTCGAGCTCGGGCGCTGCCCCGCAATTGTTGAACTTGTAGACATGGATGCGCGACCCAGTGCTGCCGGCGTCAATCATGAGGACATATTGCACGATCGGCTTGTCCTTTGAATAGGACTTTGTGCATCTCTCAGTGCCGTAGGACGAATCCGACGGTGTCTGACCTTGACCCGACGAACCTGATGATACTAGGCAGAAATCGTGGTGAGTAAGAGTCCAGAGAGGCTCCAATTTATTTTGGACTGGAAGCATACCTCCACCATAGAGATCCACCCCGGCCGGCGAAAAGTAAAAGAACAAAACGAACACGACAAAAAGTATGGCGCCAGTCTTGATGTAGCGGGCGCGCTGCGACTGCGTCACCCAAGCAGATTGCATCTTCATCAGCAAGGTTGGCTCCCGGTTGGTGTCGCTGTAGCGATCAGGCTTCTCGTGGGGATCGTAGGCAATGTGCTTTGTCGGCAGCGATACCGACGTGCGTCGCATAGGGACAGGACGAGTTCGAAAGCCCGAGGTGGCGGCGTGGAGGACTCGGGACTGGAGGGTCGCAGAAAAAGGGGAAATGGTGTTACAAGACCAGTCCACACATGCCTGCCGAGAGTGGCAATCGATCAATCAAAAAGGGCGAGTAAACGAGGGACAAGAAAGAGAGTCAGCAGCAAAATCACGGAATTGCACGAAGGAATTGCTGTCGCCGGCTGCTCTTCCAGGACGATTGGGGACGATGTCGGGGAGTAGAAATGGAGATTTTGGTGTTCTGGTCCGAAATGGGCCTTGGGCTGGTATCGGTCAAGAGCGGCGACGCAGGTGATAGGAGAGCCCTGCTAGCGTGGCGCGGCCTAGCAAGTGAAAGTCTAGCCCTGCGGCCTCGTAACTTCAACAAACTTGATTTCAACCTCTACGACTACGACCATTAAGTGAGTCCAATGAGTTCGGATTATTGATCAAACTTCGTTGCCTTACGTACAAGACAGAAGCACCAGTCATATCATTCCTTAACATCATTGCCCCTTGGAAACCTACCTACCTACATACTAGTAGCATGAGAACTTTTGCTCTGGTCATTCTTAGCGCGGGTTACCCAGGCATACTCGCCGTGTATCAATAAAGAGTGAATACCTTCAGAACAGTACCTAGTCTTCCTTTTACACCAGTACTCTTTGTTGCACGCTAAACTACTCCAACAAAATCCGATGCTAGTATACTCAAACACAGTGACCTTGCACCATCCCATCTAGTAAGGTATGCAGCAACCCCTATTCCCACAACTGCGAAGCGCCTACTCCTGACACCATAACACAACAACTCCCTAGCAGTCATCCCTATCCCCGTCCCAAGCATCCCCGACATCAGCCCATCCCCGTCCCCACCGCCTCCCCTCGGCCTCACCACCGAGCCTCAAGTCCGCGGCCGCCTCTCGGTCCTCGGACCAGCACCGGACGAGGTAGTCATCCCCAACCGTAATCAGCTTGCCGTCGCTCGTCCATGCTACGGCGCCAACCTCCTTGCCGTGGCCGCGCACCAGGGGCGTGCCGCGCCGCGCGAGGGGCACGTTGAGATCCGCCTGTCGCGCCGCAAAGATGCCCCCAAAGCCGCCGCTATTTGAGCGGGCCAGGGATGGCGGTGGCGCGGCCGGCGGGACATGGGTGGCGGTGGTATCGGTTGGTGCGCCGACGTAGTATGTTTCCTGCGCCTCTGATGATCTTGCTACTGCCCAGGCGTCTCGTAGGTAGCGTTCGTCGGTGGGGAACAGGACGGCGCAGCCGTCGCCGCTGCCGACGGCGAGCAGCTCGGAGCGGCCATCGGCGCACGGCCGGATGCTGGCCTTAACGTAGAACGACGTGGCGTGGAAGAGCGGGTGACGGAAGCCGTATAGGGGACCGAGCCCCTCGTGCGCCGTACCGTGGGGGTGGTGGCGCCTTCGTGGCGGATCGGCGCCGGCCCTCGCAGGGGTCAGCTCGCTCGCGTGCCCGAGCACCAGGTGCGCGGTGCTATAGGCATACACGGTGTTGTCTTTACAAAGCGCATACAAGCGCGCACCGTCGCCACCCAACGTCATCGAGCAGATACCAAACGGTCGGAAAGCGACATGGCTTGCGGGCGGCGCTGTAAATGATATTGGCGTACTGGTCTTGTGGTGTCGGCTCGTGTGCACGGCGCGGATGTCCCAGAGTTTTATACTTGCGTCGGCTTCGCACGCGGTCAGGAGGAGGTGCTCCCGGCCCGGGGGGAGGAATTGGACGGCGGTTACCGAGACTTCGCCGATGCGGCCTGGCACTTCCCCCATACGGGCAACGTCAGCGGATGTGGTGGCCAACTGGCTTCTGGTCTGCCGCAATGCCCGAGCATGTGCGTCATAGATGCTGTTGACGACGCAACCGGGGCTCGTGGGCTTCGGAAGGCGGTGGTGTAGACCTGCTTCGGAGACGATGGGCATTATATCTTGAACAGGTCCGCCGCGGCAACGCAGGTCCCAGATCTGCACACTGCCATCGCGTCCGGAAGTTGCGAGGACACAGCCTGAGCCGCGTCCAGGTTGGAACCGAACCTGCTTCAGGGATGCCGTGTGGTGACCGAGAATTGAGATGGGTTTCTGTGTCATCATATCAATCACCCTGCCGGTCTGATCTCCCGATGCAGTGGCTAGCAAATAGTCGTGGTCAGAGAAGGCTAGATCAATAATGGCATTGCCATGGGCCTGGAATGACAGGTGGATCTTGGAAAAATCCCGGCTGGAGTCGAGCAGTCGTACATAGCCTTCTTCGTCACCAACCGCGACTAGGCTGTTTTCTAAGAAGAGTTAGTGTGCTGAACTATAGATAGCCTTGCCTAATCCGACCACTTACTGTGACAGGTCGCTGTACAGAAGGGTATGGCACGAGGAGCACCATCATGGCCGGATGAAAAATGCACATCTTCGGGTCGGCTGTAGAAGTCGGCCGTCTCAATCCTCCAGTCCGAAACAGGACACGCCATCCTGCCCGTCATCCTCTGGACAAGCTGACCGCCCAGTCCTCGAGAGTGAAGCGGCACCGGCCTCTTAGAGGTCGGTGTGGCTTGTCCAGCCTCCTCCTCATCCTCGTCGGACAGCCCATCATGCCCGGAAGTTTCTTCTTGAAGAAGCCGTCGGGATTCCAGGGAGTGAATGGGACTCCGCAATGCCGGGCTCAGCTCCGTAGTTGAGAGTACAGCAGGTGATGACTTTAACGGCGACGGCAGATGGCACGACTGCTGCTTCTCGGGAGTATGGTGGAGCTTGCGGCGCTTTCCTTGGTGGTCATCTTGTTGAAGACGTGGCAAGCCATTGGGGGTTTGCTCCTCCGAGATGGGCCTCAGTGGGCTTGAGGGAGTTTGGCAGCGGTTGAGGGCTGGAGCAGTGAGGTCGCGGAGGGCCTTTCGGACAGCACTTGGCTTCGACGACACACGCGATCGGGGCGTGAAGAACCTCTCGAACTTCCTAGGTGTTATCGAAGGATTTCTTCGCTCCTTGCGTCTGGGGGGTGAAGACAGCAAATCGTTGGTGAGAATCGCAGATCTCCTGGCCGAGGTGGGTGAAGGTGTCTTCTCTGACATGATCAACGGGGTAGAGTGAGGTATCCTATTATTTATTAGGGTATTCTTGTATAATGGAGTCGACAGCCCTCTCTTTGCAGCAACAATGATATTCTACCATGTACAGGCGGCAACCATGCTTGGATTCGCGAAGTCCGTCTGTTGAAAAGAGAGAACCGGAACCCATGCGCTGCGTGCCCGCCGCCGTCGATGCACTAAAGGGAGCTACGCCAGCAGAACGCGGTCCGCGGTGTGTACATGGAATGACGCGCTGACGAGGGATCGATGAAAGGTGCTGGATCGGCCTATCAGATGTAAGTGCTGTGCTCCAATCGACGTGTCAAGCCAATCAGCGCTGCCAATCGCGCTAAAGTGTGTGCATCTTTGGGCCCCGCTGGCGGTTGGAGCCCAGAAATACCGACCCCACCCTGAGCTTAACCTCGTGTGGTCTCGGCTTATCGATTGTCCTTATCAGCGAGCATCTCCGCCAAAAAAATTCAGTGCACACCTACACTGTTCCCGCCCTATACGCTTCAGGTCCATCAACAACAGCAGGGGAACAGCACACCTCGTACGAGGTCTGTTCGCTCGCAATACGAATCGCATCACCATGGCGATCCAGAAGAAACATGGCAAGGGCCGTCTCGACAAGTGGTATAAGCTCGCCAAGGAGAAGGGGTACCGTGCTCGTGCTGCTTTCAAGTTGATCCAGCTCAACAAGAAATATGGCTTTCTCGAGAAGAGCAAGGTCGTCCTCGATCTTTGCGCGGCCCCAGGTGTAAGTTTGCCATTATGAGTCTCGGCACCGCCCAAGATTCTGAGAGCTAAGTGTTGTTAGTCATGGTGTCAAGTATGCGCAGAGACGATGCCCCAGAATAGTATCATCATTGGCGTCGACCTCTCGCCCATCAAGCCCATTCCCAAGGTGATTACGTTCCAAAGCGATATTACCACCGAGAAGTGCAGGGCGACAATTCGAAGCCATCTGAAGACATGGAAAGCCGACTGCGTGCTTCACGACGGCGCCCCCAATGTCGGTACCGCCTGGGTGCAGGATTCATACAACCAGGCCGAGCTGGCGCTACACTCGCTGAAGCTTGCGACCGAATTCCTGATTGAGGGCGGAACTTTTGTGGTATGTCCCGGTGCAGAGCGAGGGGTTGTGCATCGCTGACATTCATACACTTTCTTGCGCAGACCAAAGTATTCAGATCAAAAGACTACAACTCCCTGTTATGGGTCCTCAACCAGCTCTTTACGAAAGTCGACGCCACTAAGCCCCCATCGTCCCGCAATGTTTCGGCAGAGATTTTCGTTGTGTGTAGGGGCTTCAAGGCCCCCAAGCGCATCGACCCTCGCTTGCTCGATCCGCGCTCCGTGTTCGAAGATCTGGCAGACCCAGCTCCGAACAACGAGGCGAAGGTGTACAACCCGGAAGTGAAGAAACGCAAGAGAGAGGGTTATGAGGAGGGGGACTGTATGCGTCGTACCATCGCCGATGATTGACTACCGTGCTGACGTCTCGATCACAGACATCCAGTTCAAAGAAATACCAGCCAGCGAGTTTATCCAGACAACGGACCCGATTGCCATCCTCGGCCAGTACAACAAGTTGACCTTTGAGCAAGCAAAAAATGGCGACGTAGCCCTGGCCGCGCTCAATAAATTGCCCGAGACAACGGACGAAATTCGGGCCTGCTGCGCTGACTTGAAGGTTCTTGGGAGAAAGGAATTCAAACTTTTGTTGAAATGGCGGCTAAAAGTCCGCGAGATTTTTGGATTTCCAACCAAAAAGACCACCAAAGCTCCGTTGGCAGAGGAGGTGGCGGAAGTGGCGGAGGTGGAAGATATGGATGAGGAGCTCAGGATCCAGGAGGAGCTTCAAAAAATTAAGGATAGGGAATCGGCCAAGAAAAAAAAGGAGAGACGAAAAGAGAACGAAAAGAAGCAAAAGGAAATCGTGCGGATGCAGATGAACATGACCGCACCTATGGATATAGGTATGGAACAGGAGGGCCCAAGAGGGCCGGATTCAATGTTCCGCCTGAAGTCCATCGACCAAACAGAGGCCCTGCGCAGGATATCCAAGGGCAAGATGGCTATTCTCACCGAAGCCGAAACGAAGAAAGACCTCGACTCCGGAATTGGCTCCTCGGGCGAGACGGACGACGAGAGCGATGAGGAAGCGGACCGGCTAGAGCGGGAGCTGGACAACATGTACGACCGGTATAAGGAGAGGAAAGCGGAAGCCGATGCGAAATACCGTGCCAAGAAGGCCAGGCAAGAGCATGATGACGAGGAGTGGGAGGGTGTTTCGGCCAGCGAGAAAGGGGATAGCGACGACGAGGAAATGCTTGAAGAGGACAGCGACGAAGATTCCGATGCCGAGGAACGGGGGGATACCGGCAAGCCTCTTCTTCGGGACCTGGACAATACGCCCCGGGATACTGACGGGCTTTCAAAACGAGCACGGGGTTTCTTTAATCAAGATATCTTCCGGAGTATTCCAGGGCTTCTAGACGTCCCAGAAGACGAAGAGGAAGGGGAGGAGGAGGAAGCTGCTGCCGGCGGAGAAGATGGAGAACCAGAGATTAGTGCTGACGAAGTGTCCGAGGATGAATTACCCACGGTGCAGGAGCAGCGGGCAAAGCGCAAGGAGAAGGGCACGGCCAAGGATGGAAAAGGAGATGATGACTTTGAGATTGTGAAGCGGAATGAGGATGATGATTGGGAGGAGACGGAGAAGAAAACGAAGGATGGCAGGCCTAGTAAGTTGCGTGATCTCGATCCGACTACGCAACATACTAACGTCCCAGACATCGACATCATCACGGCGGAGGCCATGACGCTAGCTCACCAGCTGGCCCGCGGCGAGAAGACGGCCCACGACATCATTGACGAAGGGTACAACAAGTATGCGCTCAAGGACCGGGACGGTCTACCAGACTGGTTTCTGGACGACGAGAGCAAGCATGACAAGCCGCACAAGCCCATCACCAAGGAGGCTGCTGCTGCCATCAAGGAGAAATTACGGGCCTATAACGCCAGACCAATCAAGAAGGTGGCCGAGGCGCGGGCCAGGAAGAAGCTCAAGCAGGCTCAGCGCCTCGAGAAGCTCAAAAAGAAGGCCGATCTGTTAGCCGGGGACGAGGTTGGTTGCAGCCAGTTTTTTGTCTTCGCTTGCTCCTTGGTTCACGTTTTCTAACTTGTATCGAAACAGGGAATGTCTGAGAAGGAGAAGGCGACCAGTATCGCCAAGTTGCTTTCTGCTGCCGCACGGAAGAAGAGGAGACAACCGGTCAAGGTTGTAAAAGCTACGGGCGCGAACCGTGGTATTTCGGGCCGGCCAAAGGGGGTCAAGGGCAGATATAAAATGGTTGACCCGCGCATGAAGAAGGAAATGAGGGCCCTCAAGAGGATTGCCAAGAGAAAGAAGTAGTGGGCGACGTATATGGGTGTACATACATGTCAGGTTGTTGATATGCTTGCTCCCGTCTAGAGAGTGATGACAACAGATTCAAAGGCATGTAGAGGTGCCACCGCTGCCTCTCCAGCACTAGATCTCTCTGTTCGACACAGATCGCACGAATGTGCTGAGCGGGTAGAGTGGTCCGCTAAAGTCCATGTCATACCTTGGCAGAAAGAGAAGAAGAAGCTGTGTTAAGCAAGAGCATGGAACGGGAGGCACGGGAAAGGCGACGCTTACCAGTAGTTGACGGCAATGCACACCCCTTCTGGTGAGCAAGACTGCGAAACCTTGTGATACCTGTGCGAATTCGGATGAAAGTCAGCCACCACCAAGCCATTTCCTTTCCATCCCAAAACAATTGACCCGCCAGCAGAGCCGCAGATATGTGGAACGCACCACATGCAAGGCAAGTAAAGCATATCCCCCGGGTTGAGCGTCACCCTCATGGGCTCAGCCAGTTTGGAGTACCGCGTCTGGTTTTCCCGAGGCAAGTCGGGGTCCCAGGTGGCAAAGGGCACCCTTTCCGCCTTCTCGTCTTCGACTACCAATTCCAGGCGCCCGTCCGTGTTGGTGTTGGTGCCGTTCCCGGACGACGGGGACGACGACCGCTCGTAGCGCGCCGGTCGCAACATCTGCTCGTTCACGCAGGGCTGGCAGACGGGCGGAAGCAGCACAAAGTGCTTCTGGCCGGTCACCTGCACGTAGATGTTCTCGTAGTTGTCCTTGTGGAGTGCGGTCACGCTGCGCGAGTTGCCGATCCACAGGTTGATGGCGTCCGGCTCCCGGTCGAGGGCGATGCGCGCAAAGGGGATGGTGCGCTGCACATGGCTGAACAGGGCAAGGTATTCGTGGCGCAGGTTGTCGTTTTGGGTTTGGGCGTAGCGGACTTCTTCCTCTTCCTGTTGCGGTCGGGTTGGTTGGAGTTGATGTTCTTGCTTGATGAGATAGTCTAGAAAAGTGCTAAACGGCTGGTCTTCTTCGTGAGGTTTGGCAAAGACTAGGGTGGTGTTGCCCTCGGAATCGGTGAAAACGGTAGGAGAGTCCGCGTTGCTTGTGTGGTGCCAAAAGGCATTAGTATCTCCTAGGGTGTGCTACATACAAGGAAGGATTTGGAGGCAGTAAGGGATCTAGACAATATACCCTTTCGGAGTGACGGCTACGTTGACGCTCTCATCCTGGAGGAAATCTTTGAGAAATTCAACGTTCCATGTTCGAGTCGCCTGCCAGTCTGCTGCTGCACCTCTCACAACAAACGGTGTATTCCTAGCAACAAATCTCATGAACTCGAGCGGGCTCGGCTCTTCGTCGAGGTCCTCGATGATACAGCTGTTGAGCTCATTGTAATTTGTGATGAGTTCAGCAACAGGGTCTTCGGGAATTTGAGGGTCATCCATGGGCAATGAATATCATGAGATTGTTTCGTCTATCCGCGTGAAGACAGTTTCACTGCTGTAGGTATCTCAAACCGAAGCGGCAGTGACCTGGGCACGGGCCACCAACAGAGCACCTAACGTTAATCGTCACGGACAAGGCATGAAACTGTAGACACGCGTACCATCTTGAATGTGTCGTTGAAGCAGATCGGTAAGCTCAGAGACGGTTGCATAGAGTGATGTTACACCAAGCTCAAGTGCATCACTGGTTCCTGCCTAGGTAGACGAGGACTCAATTCCCAGGACCCTCCATAAGTACGGCAATCCCCGTCTGCCAAGGCCTATGTGGTACAGTGTTCAGCTGTTTATAAGGTACTGTACGGATACGAATGAACGTCGGGTCTCTTTTCACTTTCGGATCGAATCCATCCAATGCTGCCAAGCAAAGACCGGGGACCAGAATCAATCCCATCGAATTCTAAAAAATTGCCATTGCAGATGAACCTTACCTTGCCATGCAGCCCCACATGCCGATGGACATCGTTCGACAAGACGTTTTGACACTTTGAGAAGGAACTTGACATTGAAAGCCTTGTACACGAGTTCTTCGTCGCCTTCCAACGAGTCCATAACCAGGTAGATCCAGCTTACAGCCTCATTGAAACTCCCAGTCCGAATACTTCCTTTCGCGTGGCTCTGAAGCTGGACCATCTGCTTGTACAGTACTGTACACTACAGGCTCTCTGCCCCTCGGATTGGCGTTGCCCGCTCCCCCCACCATATCCGGTTTCCTCTATCGACGCCATCGAGTATAGCGGAGTTAGCGCGAAATATTTTCGTCCGAAAGGCCTTACCACAGCACCCAGTACTCCATACTCTATCCGCTTCCCACCTATTGGGCCCTTATCCAAGCACGCCTCGCTGGCCCACGGCACTGCTCCCAAGGATGTGCCACGGCACGTAACTCCAAGGCCCTTCCCTCCTGCGGGCGGCTCATCCTATATCCTCCGCCATCTCCATTCAAGTTCTCCAGCGACGCGCTTTCCGTTCGATTTTGACACTAGAAGCTCGCCCACGGCCATTTCCCTCACCGGCGAGTGTCTGGGAAGCACTGCTGGCTCCACTCACATTCATGGGTAGGCCCCAGGGCTACTATGCTGTGGTATATTCTATATCCTTTGCGAGGGTGCGTACTCGGGAACTAGCCGCTTCCTGCGCTCTCCCCTTTCGCCGCCATGTGTTGACTTGCTGCTAGGACAACTGAGGCCCCTGTGCTCGCTCCGGCCCATCCTCTTCGGACAGCCTTTCTGCGCTACGGAACCTGGGCTGCCCGCCATGTCAAGACCGTGCTGCCTCTATCCGGGGCTGTGATTTTCGTTCTCCTCTACCTGTTCCCCTTTCTGTACACCACAGACACCACCAACATCACCACCGGAGTGTCCAACCTCCCTCACCATGTCTGGACCGACGCCCAGCCCCTGGGCGAGCCGGTTGCCGTCAGCCCCGATGTTATAATGCGCTCAATCTGGGTCCACGGCAGCTACATGAAAGCCCTCGAGCGCGACGTACTGCTAGGAGCTCTTGAGCTGCAAGATGAGCTGCTTGGGCCGACTATCGACTTCAACCCGCGCCAGACAACAAAGCCTCTGGAACCGCCTGACTTGGCTGGAGACCTGGATCCCCAACAACGAGATTCCTTCCACGTTATCAATGGCCTGACCAACCAGTCTTGGTTCTTCCACTCGCCGCTCCAGTACTGGTCTGGCTCTGCCGAGAAGATCCGCGCCGATCAAGACATTGTGTCTACCGTCAATATGAGGAAAACGCAGCCGACTTCCGTCAACACCACCCTGCGCCACTCGATCGTTTTCAGCGGCAAGCGCTTCGAAGAGCGACGCCTAGTTTCTGCCGATGCACTTGTCATCACTTTGATTCACCTTCACGATTCCCCTGTCGGCAGGCAGTGGGTGAGGAAGGCCGAAGCATTGGCTTCGCAGCATAGTGGCAAATGGCAAATCATTCCACCCGACGGCCGAGCCACCTCTAGCCAGCTTTACGAGTTCCAATTCCGCCCAATGTCCTGGTCTGACTGGGCCCTCCTAACCATCGCATACTCCCTTACCCTCCTCTACCTGTTGCACTGCCTGTCCAAGTTGCGTGCCGTCAAGTCGAGGCTCGGTCTTATGATCACCATTCTGGTCCAGATCGCTGCCTCGATTGTTTCCAGCTTCACAGTCTGCGCTATCTTCAAGATCGATCTCTCCCGCGTTCCTTACTACGCTTATCCCCTCGCGGTTCTCGCCATCAGCATGGAGAACTCATTTCGGCTCATCAACGCTGTCATCATGACTTCATCAGCTGTAAGCAATAGCGACAGGATAGGGGAAGCCTTCGGTGCCACGGCTCACATCGCTGTTGCCAATCGGGTACAAAACTTTCTGGTTCTCCTCGGCCTGTCGCGGATTACCTACCCCGGAGTCGCCGCCTTCTGCACGTTTGCGGCAATTGCCACTCTCTTCGACTTCTTCTATCTTGCAACATTTTTACTCTCTGTCCTTAGCGTGGACGTGCGGCAGAGAGAGTTGAGTGAGTTGGAGAAGGCGTCGCTAAAGCGGAAGAAGCCTTCGCAAAACGGGCAGGTCAAACAGCCCTGGATCGACACTGTCACACAGATCCGTCTCGGCGAAACAGCCATATCGACAAGGGTAGCCGGAACCATGGTCCTGGTTGGCTTCGTCCTCATCGCGCAGGCTCATTACACTCCAGACGGCCACCGTCGCTGGCTGAACCAAATCTTCAGCCTCTCATGGAGGAGAGCCGCTGGGAGCGCGCCAAAGTCGTCCTTACTTGTCGACATTCATCAGGCCAGAAGTCCGACGTCCTGGCTCCGCCTCCAAGATCATGAGACGGCGCGCGAAGTGATTAACGTTATTAAACCTTGGGCTCACAGCTATGTAGCGCGGGTTTATGATCCCATTGTCTTCGTCCTTCGAGGTGCAGACCGCATTCCGCATACGAGAGAGCCGCTGTTTCTACCGGCCTTGTACGATTTCTTCCACCATCGGATTCCCCAATTTGTCGTCTCCTTATTGACTGTTTTGGCGGCCCTGCGCTTGTTTACGAGCTTTCTCGTTCGAGGGGAGTTCCAAGATGACTCGGGACCCGAACATCCAGACCATGAACACTTTATCTCTGTTCGATCGCTGAGCAGAGGACACACGCTAGATGTCGTGAAGATGGCAGCATCCCCGGGAGCGCAACTTGCTTCGGTCGGGCTCGATCGCGCTATTCAGATTTGGAACGTGCCATCAGGCGTGCGACGCCAGGTACTCACCGACCCGGATGTCCCTTTAGAGAACCCTTTCCCTGTTTTGAGTATGGCATTTGATGATGACTCAAAATGGCTGGCATTGGTCTCGTGGCAGAGAGTGTTTTTCTGGAATATCAATGAGCAACGGTGGGGGCCCACAAGGAGTATAGACTTGGGCGGTCACAAAGCAGAGTCTGTCTTCTTTACAACCAAGAGTCAAGATTCACCTCCGGCATTGGTGCTGGTGAGGAGGAATGGCACGGGCTTGGAAATTCCACTCCAAGAAGCAGAGACAACTGATTTTGTGATCTGCAAGACGCCGCTGATCTGGGCGACCGGGTTCCCAGAAAGAGGTATGTTTGTTGCTATTAGAGAGAGACTCCCCTAGCACCGGCCGACCCACTGACAATGTACCTCTCAGCTCACCTCCCGCAACACCCCCCTCCAATGTCTATCTTGACAGCCTCTCGGAAGAACTGTATTCACTTAGTCAGGCAACAGGGCAATGAATGGGTGTCCAGGGAAGTGAAGCTCAAAGAGCGGGAGGATAGAGACGTGCACTGCCTGCTACCCATCCCAGCTCTGTCGATGTACCTGGTTGGCCGTTCCCAGTCCGTGGACTTGGTAGACATTGATTCCGACACCATTATCCATACGTTTCAGACGGAGCCAATGCAGCCGCGGACGCTAAAACGCATACTGCCGATACGGAGTCAACAGCCGGGCCTCCCGTCCTTCACACTATCCTATGTCAATTCAGAAACAGGGAATCTGGTGGTCCACACTTACGCTCCGCAAGCCGAGAACGACTCGATGCCCCCTAGCAGCCCGATATGGCCGGCGAGCCGCAGCCAAATTCAATGGAGCCAGATGAAGGAGATTATCAGATACGAGGCAAACCCAGGAATCTGGGAAGCTTTGCCAAGTGGAGCCATTGTGGGCGTGCGCAAGAGACATGATTGCAAACCTCGGCCTATATTATCACCGAATGGGCTCCGCAGGCGCATTGGTAGCCGTTCCGAGTTATACAGCCATGCTGCCTCATCTGCGGTGACGCATGGTTGGGAGGCTTGGGTTTTGAACCTCCACCCCGAGGCGAAGAGCGGATTTGAGACGAGGCCTCTCGATGAGCCTACCGGAATAGGGAAGGAGCAACAGCAGGACGATCTGGGTCAGCTAATGATTTCGGAAGTGGGCCCCATGGTTAAGTTGAGCGCCACTAGTGTGGCAGTTGGATTCGGGACGGTCGTCAAAGTCATCAGTGTCGGGCACGAGCACTTCGACAAGGCCCTTGACGATATCGGCCAACTCGGGGCTGGGGCGCTGTTGAATCTGACGGGAAACAGAAGGAAAAAGCTCTCTGCCGGCTCTGGAAAAGGCTCCACGGCCGCAGCGGCTGCTGTTTCCGCCGCCGCCGCTGCTGTGAAAACGTGATGGATAGTAAGTAGGTGGGCAGCGGTTGATGGCGGGCCCAGGGCGGTGCCGGAGAGGCAGTGGCGAAGGTTTGCTAAAGCATTGATATATACCCCTTGTCTGGGCATTTGGTTCGAAAGAGATTGGGCTGTTTTGGCGTACAGATGGCGGGTCCCGGGACACAAGCAGACACATTTTGAGGCCACCTGGATGGCCTCTAGATGGATTGGCATAGTAAATCAGGCTGGTTGGATTGAAGCTTGAAAGGATATTGCCAGTTAGAACAGGACACGCGATACCTGTATCATAGCACATGGTAGAATGGGCCAGTTGAATTGGGTCCATGGTTTAGGGTTGCATAAGGGGGTGACAGAGAAGATACCTGGCATTGTAGATATTGTTGAGAATTGAAAAGAAACACTGCAAATCGAAGAAGACAACTAAGAAGTAATCGTACCCTCCTTTCCAACGCACCGCTGCGATCGGATTGGTCCATCAGTCAGTCCTTTGGCGTCCACACTCGGGCCCCAATTGCACTGAGGTGTAGTGTTCCCGTATTACTCTTGGGCCTGGCCGCCCTTTATATGATGTGTCGTGAATGCATGTTCGTTTCTGACGTGATCTATTTCTAGCCGTCTGGTGATGAGTAGTAGGCATGTCGTGTCGGTCGTGAGATTTCGTGTCCGCGTGCCACCTCCTTTCTGCGCTCGTCCCTCCCTTGCCGCGCTCTCTTCCCTCCCTTCCTGTCCCTTATCCGAGATCTGACGGTGGTTCTCGCTCGTCCCCCAATCAATTCTGTCAATCATTACATGCGTGTCTGAGTGAGCCTTTTCCTCAGCACTGGCCCTCACTATCATCGCGGGCTCCCTGGCACATAGCGAAGTTACTCCTACAATGCCAACGATGAACGACTTCGATGACTTTGGGTTCCCTATAATCTCTGAACAAAAAGGAAAGGTCATGAAAACAGGAGTAAGTCAGAGCTACATCTGAGACGTCATAGTCATAAGGTAAAAGGGGAAAAAAACACAAGAGAAAAGAAGGGGAGAAAGGGGGGAAGACATCAAAGAAACAAAAGCCCGGCTACGGATATTCAGATATCATCTACCTTCTCGAACGTGACTGCCTCCCACTATACCGCTGCTGCTGCTGCTGCTGCTGAAAATGATCGTCGGGAAATGCACCTTGACCGCCCTTGCAGTCGTCGCACAACTCGTCGAGCGGAATGGTCTGCCAGATGCGCCGCTCGCCGCAGGGCGTCTGGATCATGCTTGCCGGACCGCAGAAGCGGGCGAAGGAGAAAGTCATGTCTGTATTTTGTATACGGTTTCTTGTTAACATCATCATGCTTCTCTTCTTCTCCTTTCTTTGTCTCTCTCTCCCTCATTTCTTCTTCAAGGAAGGGGACTTGAGTGTTGAGTGTTTCCCGCTTGGGAAAGCTGGTGCCCCCAGTGCCCTGACGGGGGAATATGGGAGGGGGGAAGGGTAAGCCTACTTGGAGGAGGGAAAAAATAAGTAGGTCTTGTCATTTTGGGACTTTGGTTGGTGAGGCAGCGTGCAGACATAGTGTAGTTCAAATATAAGTAACAGGGAGAACAAACGTTTGCAGGAAAAGGCATGAGCGTAGTAGAGGCACATGGCTTGAGAGCAGTGCTTCTCCCTTGCAGTTGACTCTTCGACAACACTTGTAGTTGACCGCGGGAGGTGGAAGTTGACTGCTTTTCGTCCCGGCTTGGGGTTATGCTTGGGAATGTTCTCGATGATATTTGCAAGAAGAGTATGACGAAGGACAAACAAATCAGGAGTCGGCTTCTATTGTAGCTTCACGTCCTCACTCTTTCGCCGGATAGCCGCATCAGACGTCTGCTTGAAGACTGCAAGGTCAAGCGCCGAGGGTCAGATGAGCGACTCATGCCATCTTATAACACCCATCTCGGGCACCATAAATCACCAAGCAGCATCCGGATCCCATGGCCGGCTGAAGTTGAGTGGCAACAAGCTCTCGCCTCACTTGCGCAGCTCAGATCTATCTGTGCAGATGATTTGCGGCATGTGTGTTGGAGGCTGACGAGAATTCCCAGTTCTGCTTGCTTGGGGCTTCAGCTGCGTCGCCCGTATCTCGTGCAGCCTCAGGCTGTCACCCTCCAACTTTGCAGTTTTGGGCAACACACCAACCTGGAAGTCCCAACGGGCCGAGCTGACTCGCCGAACCGTTTTTTAACACACGGGTCATCAAGGCTAGGTAAGGCGTTACGGGGGAGGTTGAGTGTAGTCCAGCGTATTATCAGGGGCTTCCGCAAAACTTTCTACTTCAGCCAACGAGTAACCATGCGGCCTCGGTCTCCTCCCGAATGGCCAATAGTACATGTACAATAGGAGCGCCTGAACGGAGCAGAATCCGGCAGGAGGGCGCGCCCCAGGATTGCATCTTGAGATTCGTCTCAGCTGATTCCAAGGCAGGAAGGCATTTATTTGTGCCTGGTTAATGGCTTGTGCAACTCTTTCAGCAGCCGTTCGGTCGCCCCAGTACGGTTGGGAAGGAGGCCCTAAATGCACGAGGAAGCCGGTCCAGAGACTTGAAAAAATAGAAGGGCTCTTAACGGTATAGGGCTGCAGGGCAAAGGGTCGGTGACGCAGTGTAACTGTAACGACCAAGACATCCGCCGCGGTGACACGAAAGCCCAAGGTATACTTCGTACTTGGCGATCGGAGATGGTATGGGCTCACGGGGCTGCGAAGTGTCCGAGCAATTCAATGACAGCGCTGAAAACCAAGTAGAGTACGAATGCGGCTCATGTTAAGGTTGGGGGCTGTCGAGCTCATCATATTGGATCGAGTGTCTGTGAATATTTCCAGGCTTGCCACCATTCATACTCGGTACTTCCATGGTCAGCCGAATGCGTTGCTCACCGCCAGTTCGGCATCGTCGTTTGTCCAAGGATTCGGAAACGATATTGGCGGCCGCCTGCGCTGAGCTGTCATCAAGAGCAAAGTACACACATACAGCATATGTGGAGTGACTGTATGTGGTGTAAGCGCCATGAAGCCGTCCTGTTTCCTCAAGGGAATGCCGTGAAGGGGGTGGTCGCTTGTTTAGAGGCCCAATACTGAGTAAATGCGTTGTCGTAGTCGATGAACAACGTCCAGCCGAGCTTGAAAAAAGGTGGAAGGCTGGGAATCTGTGGCGCTTCCTTGGTTCCGAGATCGCAGGGGTTCAGCTGCTGCCGCTTGGATCTCGCTGGCGGCTTGGCATTTACCTTGGCCCGTGCGAAGGTGATGTAAGGCACAACTTTGAACTGGCTTGCTCACTGACAGGCAAGCAGAAAATTACCGAAAAGACAAACAGTTAGGTACAGTGTAGGTCACTTCCAATAATCAGTGACAAGATGTGGAAAGGGGGAATATGTAAGTTGTGAGGCTAGCGGTACAGTTTTGATAGGTAATGTACGTACGGTACACAGTACAACGGTCATTATGTATTGCAATGGCCTGTGCGCTGCATCACGTCAGGCAGCTTCCACTAACGCTAAAGTGCTGACTGAGGTGAAGAGCAAGCGCTCGTGCTGGCTTTGATTAACTGCACCAGCTCCCTTGAACTTGCCGTGTCCAGTTGACTTCATCGCTGAGTCTGAGCTGATGATAATTCTACTGTCCCGTTGTGCTCAACTTCTCAAGCACGATGCAGAAACGGGCCGCATGATTGCCGGCGCCTGCGGCTCCCCAGATTCTGGCCGTCATCAGAGCGCTCATGCACGGCGTCTCCTGCGTTTCGCGCGTCTCGACCCTGCCTGCCCTGGTTGACCCCATCGCTGTCCCCGCCCAAAATGGAGCCCTGGAGCGTGCGGCTTGCAGCCAAGCGATTGAGAAGGCGGTGGACAACTCATCCTGCAGCTCGCCATCTGCAAGACCCTCTCAAGTCTCATCCAAAGTCAACGGCGTGGCTGACTGCCCTCGCTCTTTCAATCAGTCAGGTCGATCGCACCCAATGACATAGTCGCTCCTTTTCTCCTATCTTGGCTTTCGACTCGGCCTGTGGTGCGCTGCAAGTTTTTCTCGTCTCTGTAACAGTAACTAGGGCCCGCCGCTAGCGACTGCGCTATCCGAAGTGCGCTCATCCCAGAAGACGAATAACCACAATTTACCACAGAGCCGGGTCGTCTCGTCTCGTCTCTTTGCATTCGCTCGTTCATGCATACGAAGACCCTCATTGTGCGCTGCTGTTCCTGCGACTTCACGTCTCAGACAGACAGTCAAGACGTCTCCAAGCCCGCCGGCTTCCATCTTGTCCTCTTGGCTGTGCCGTCGCGTTGCGCTTAATTCCATTGCCTCGAACTCGAACTCTGGTGACCACTACTGTCCCAACTCACTCACCTCCATTAAAACGGCTCTCGACTTCGATATCCGCGGCTCCGATCATGAGCAGGGCCGCCAATTGACCCACTGCGCTCACCGAATTGGGCCCCTGCTAGCCAACCGCCTGACGCTGTGCCGGCCTTTCAACCGCTGGTACAACTTCACACGCCTGCCTCACACAATCGCCTTTTAGCAGGTCGTCGCCATGCCCTGCCTCATTTTCCGCGGCCCCAATACCTCCAGTTCCGAGCTCCAACTCTCCTTCGGGGTCTCTTCCTGCTAACGGCCGCCCTCCGAGGCTGTTGATTCGCTCTACGACCTGTACAAATTGTCCTCTCCAGAACTGCTTGATTCGCTGTATCATATTGGTCAGTAATCCTCCAATGATCAAGTAATCCGCCCTGCGCTCAATTCTGATCTCCAATGATGCAGTTTTGTGTAATTAAGGCCACGGCTTCCCTGCTCCCTACGTTGGGAACTTGCTTGTGGAACTGAAGCCTGAGTCTCCTCAACGGCTGTGCGGTACTAACACAGGTTGTTTTTCACATCAGTGATGCAGATTAGACCGAACAGGCCAACAGTCACTCGTTCATATCACTATTCGTGGGAACAGCTTGCTTTCACCGTTGTTGTGGCTGGGAGGGAATAAAAAACGTCGACCGTCTAACCGTGAACTGGTGGACTTTCGCCGCTATCTCTTCTACATTGCTACCTCATGGCTTCCTCGGAGGTGGACCAGAAGTTCCTCGGCAAATTAGCCAAGGCGGTCGAGAACGATAACCCTCTCCTTGCATCGGTCTTGTTCAAGATTCTAGGGCTCTCCATCAACCTATCTGAACAACTCATCAGTGCCCGGAAGCAGCGTCGACAAGATGCAGCTCAGACAGAAGCCTCGCTCGACTTGACCCTCCACATCATTTGGTTGTCCCGCGAAGGACTGGTATTACTGCAGCAATACGTTTTACCTATGGTAGGGAACTATGTGGAGCTAAAGGTGCTGGCGTATAAGTTGCGCGCTTCCTTCTACCACATCTTTGTTCTCTTTCACAACACACCACCCGTCTCCACCATGGGCATGAACACGCCCGAGAGCCAGACAACGTCGACCGTCCCAGGACTGCCGACAAGAGTGGACAAGGGGAAAGGGGTTGCGAGAGATGGGGACGAGGATACGATCCAGAATCGCCAACATGTGCGCGGTGCCGATGGTGGGCCCGTAGGACCTCCCCCGGGGTTTGGACCGACACCCCCTTCAGCCTTCTTACTGAAGCCCGGTGATTACCTTCCGGAAGCACACCAATATTTCCGCGAAGCGGTTCAACTGGCCGAGGAGCTATTATGGGGGTCACACTCGCTCCGACTCTCGGTCAAGACCGAGTACGCAGCCTTCCTCTACGAATGCGTCCACGATGCCGAGGCCAGCCGAAAGTTGGCAAAGGACACCATTGCCGAGGTGTACGAGGCAACAGAGGGCATCGATAACGACATGTTCACTGATGCCTGCGAGCTGGTCACGGTGCTCGGTAAAATGATGAAACGGGGGCTGGGGTCAAACACAAACACGGCACTCCGGAGTAAAGCCCACGGATCTAGCTCAGGCACAGAGGGGACTCCGCAGACGGAACAAGCTGAAGGAACCGCACCACCAGGGATGATATGACGCCGCTTGGTTGGAGGCCAGCGGGTCCCCCGACAATTTCTATCTTTGACAACGGCTTCACCCTATCTCAAGCTCTGATCTTATCCCGTCCATAGCAGCATTTCCGGTCTTTTCGAGCAGTATATACTCGACATCTCTACTCGGCATCGCCTCCCAGGGTCAGCGGTGTGCATGACCCCAAACCAGATTCTGGATCTGGCTTGGGTCTCTTGTTTGCATGTGTGTAAATATATCGACGGGGCATGGGTTGTTATCTTTTTTTGCATATTCTGTTTTGGTTGCTTTTTGTCTTGTTGTTTTCCTTCTTTTCTTTGCTTATGATACCCGGTACGTACGTTCACAGCGGGCGACGGTGTCTTTTACTTCCTCCTTGCCTTTTTGGGGAAACGGGGCCATACCTAGTCGACTTGGGTTGGTCAATTTGGTTAAGGATGATGGTTGACTAATTATGTATGTATTATCATCTTCCCTGACCTTGTTTTATTGCGGTCGGGCTGCTCACGGTGATGGTGAAGGGGCTGCTCACTTCAAGGTTTAGGCGACGTCGAGGAAATGACGGGTGTTTGGTACGTCAGGGATGGTTACTCCTTAAGGGGGTTGGGATGTAGATGTGTGTCATTTAGATGTTTGGATTGTCCTAATCAATAACATATGAGAAACAATGACTTGAGTCGTCATTTTAGCAATTTCCTCGGGAGGGAGCAAGGAGGGTCTAACATGAGATAGTCGATACTCCCGTAGCGGATCCAGTTCTCTGGTCTTTGGGAACAGAATCCAGCAGCATAGGAAGGGCATGGGTTGAATGCGGTCTTTCGAAGCCGTTGTTCTATAGCCATGGAGCTGAATCTGCCCGTGCCGCAGCCAGAGGACTGGGACCTTCGGCATCCGGTCGCGTGGATATGTCCGTACTGCGGAAGCTGGAGCGAGTGGATCGCACCCTTCTGCGTAGGTAGCATGTCTCAACTCGGTAAGGAGAGAGTCGTCGTCCGTTCGGAACAAGTATGGTGTCATGATCGGGGCAGGACTGGTTCTGTACAGTACAGCGTTGAAGACGTGACGTGTCCGAGCTGGTTCTCGCGGGAGGCTCCGAGTCTTGGGGCGCGCACCGCGCTGTTTTGGGTCCCAGGATCCATGTCGAGCCGGCCTCTGGGTGGGTAAGGTAGCTGGAGGTAAGGATCGCCCGAATGAACTGTCGTCGTGGCTTACTTAGAGAGGAGGAATCCCCTGGATGAGATGGGCATGTAGGAATTGTAACTCTGGATTAACTTAGGTAGTAATACTTACCGGGAGGACCGGGTACCGAGTACCGGAAGCTACGTTTTGCAGTAGTCCTCAACAGGAGCTGGTGCCCTTCAATGGCGTTGTGGCGTAGTGTGGTCCAGGGGTCAGTGAGACTGAGGTAGTCTGTGATGCTCAAGGGTTCTGTTTATTTCACAGCGTTCTTGATTGACTTTCTGGCAGAACCCTATTCCAAACCCCCCCAGTGTTTTAGCCATGGGTGGCTGTAGCCCCAGGCACAGCCAGAATGCTTATATCTCTGTCTCCACCGACATCTTCCATGCAATAATGTATCATGCGAAGAGTAGAGGCCCTTGAGGGTTCGAGTTTAATATCACCTCTATGACCTGATGGGCGTTTGGCAGGTACTTTGTCTAAGCAGTCAGGAACATCCGAAACGAACCTGCCCGTGTCCTTGCGGAAGCCCAGTTGGATGTTGTGAACGAAGTGTTGCCTGCCCACTTTGACCCACCAGACCCAGTGAACCTACTCTCTGGCGTGGCCACGTTCCAGCCATGGCCAGAGTTCTGGTTCGATAAACTCTTTGCCAATAGTGCCGAACGGACGCCATGATAAGGTGCGAGATGATTCGTCTTGAAGGCGAAAGTTGTAGCGGTGTCGTAGCAAGTCGGCCAACGGACCAATTCCTTGGGATCCGTATAGCGCTGTGACGATTCAACGTCTAAGAATGATTGGGGCGACCCAGTCCAGGCTGCTACGGCAGGGTCAGGCGGCGCCATCGATCCGAAACCCCACCGCTCTTCGAGTGTTTCCAGATAGCGAGCGATCCAGTCCAGAATCGCAGTGTCGCCCAGAAGGAAAATGCCTGGCCACCACGAGGCAACCCTGGGCCGGCGAACTGCAAACACTTTTGCTAGCTGTAGCAGATTGCGGGACTCGAGAAGAAGCTTGATGACGGTGTGAATAGAGCTGAGCCAAGGGCAGACAAGATTGGTCTCGATATCTGGCTGCCAAAATATGCTCCAGATGACTGAGCCGACGGACCTCGGGTGCATGCTCAGTGTCATGTAATAGCGAAGGTCGGCCGTGTACTGACGAATTTGAGAAGCTTCTGTTGTAAAACTGTTCCTGCTGCCACTTTCAAGTGTGGGAAAGACGAACTGCGGAATCAGATGGATTTGGCGATAAAATGGAAGGGCCAGCGCTGCAAAGGATGCTGCTATAGAAGGTGAGATCTCTCCAGGCCTGTCCCTAGGCCCTGCTTCAGGTCCCAATAGTCCGAACAAATCACATAGTTCAATGAGCAATTCGGTTGCCTCGAATGAATCCGGGGGCTGTTCGTTTGAAAGGGCTGCCTGTTCGTGGACAGAAACGATCACAAAACACGCATCACCAGAACAGAAGGCAGCCCACAGCGGGAAGTCTCCCTCATTCGCCGCCCAGCCGAGTTTCGGTGAAAGGATTGCGCAGAGCCATCTCACCAGTTTGCGAGACGGGGATGCACCCAACAAGTCGAGGACAACATCACAGGTCTTGGGCCGGGAAGGCTTGACAGTGATGGGCAGTAGGGAGCTGGGGGGGTACACTACCTTTTTGCCCTGCAATTCCAGAAGGCGAGCGGAGAGAATATATGACCAGCACATGGTCAACAGCGAAAGGGCACTTTGGCTAGCCCAGGGGCCATGACCTTGACTGGGAGATGCGGGAGATGACAGAACGCGGCATTCAATTGCTTTAAGATAAGAGAGAAGGAAGGTTTTTCGGACGCCATGGAGGTATTGCAAATACGGAAGAGGCTCCGAGTCGTTGCCGACGCGGTCGCCGTGCTCGGGATCCGGTACATGCCACAGCGGCCGCCCAATCAGCCAGCCCTTCCTTGGTAGACGGTCCGGGAGCGCAGGAACATCCTCAACATGATGTAAGGATCTCCAAATCCCGCCGGGAAGGCCTGAGGAGGGAGCGATTCAGCTGATCTGACAAAGCGGGTCCATGTCGCTAGACCCTCGTTGAAGACGAGGTCAATAGCGGCTGATGTTGGTATAAGAGGGTCGTCATCTGCACCGACCAGCCTGTCCGGAATCGAAGACGAGGTGTCTGACGATTCCGAGGTAGCACTACTCGTATTACCGGAGGGCAGGGCTGAGTCGTCCCGCGTCACCACATGTCGATGACTGTTGGGTTTGCTGTATTCTGTCCGAATGATATGCCTCCCCGTGAGAATCCAATCAAGAATCTGGTCGTGCACGGTGACGAGAGTCATAAGACAGACGAGGTTGATGGCGATTGGGATGGATGAGACATTGAGATCTGAACAAGGTGGGTACTGGAATTTGGCGCGAATGCCACGTTGTTCTGTCCAACAGTTGCGTCGTCCAGTCCAGCCGGTATGGATGCGGAAGGAGCCGGCGAGACTGCGTTGTGGGAATGGTCCTCGGGCTCGGACTGTTGACCTTGAAATGAGAAGCTCAGTAAAGGCTTTCTCCAGTTGCCGCACCAGGCACGGTGCAGATCATCAAACCATGCACTGTACGGTACCGTACAGCGTATGGATTGTAAGTACAGTACGTGTATGACAGCTCGGGCTGTTAGTGCATCCAAAATTTTGTATGCAGAAGTCATCCTCTCTACTACCGGTACCCTCTCTAACAGTAAGAGTTGTCCAGGACGGTTCAATACAAAGCCAATCAGCAGAGTCCCGATGATTTGCGCCCCTTATCAACGACTCTCAGTCGACCAGTTGCGCCCACTCCACAGGAAGCGCATTGCACTCGCCGACTCATCAGGATCGAACATACGAAGTTGATTAAATATCCTGAGACCGAATTCCAAAATGGAACCTGTTCAATCTCTCGCGGCCAACTATGCCGCGGCCATCAAAGTCATCGACGAGGCGCACGCACAGGACCCCAACACGATCGCGGGCGACCATGGCACTGTCCCGTACGAGCTTCACTACGCGCAGAAAATGACTCGCTGGCTGGCCAAGCGCAAACCAGACGCATCACCTGCGCTACAGCTCGCCTGCCGCGCCCAGCACTTTCGCCGGTAGGTTTTAGGTTTTGGCTCATCAATTCTTAAAGTCCTCCATGCCCTCCTTTTGACCCTCGTATTTTACCCTCGTATTCTAACCTCCATTATTCTCAGCTGGGAACTACCCCGATCCAGCTACCCCATGACACGCGCGGGCTACCTGACATGGCGCGCGAAGCAGAAGAGCCAAGCAGCGTTGCAGGTTGCCGAGCTGCTGTCTTCGTCGCCGGCAATCCAGCCGCCGCTGGGCCGGGACGAGGTTGAGCGGGTGGCCGCCCTGGTGCGCAAGGAAAACCTGAAGGACGACGAGGAAACGCAGGTGCTTGAAGACGTTGCGTGTCTCGTGTTTCTGGACGACCAGTTTGACGGGTTCGAGACAAAGCCCGAGATTGACGAGGACAAGGTGGTCGGGATCCTGAGGAAGACGTGGGCTAAAATGAGCAAAGAGGGTCAGCAATTGGCCCTGGGCATGCAATTGAGCGAGCGGGCCACGATGTTGATCCAGAAGGCGTTGGCCGTGGACGGGGAGGGGTCGAGTTAAGCTATTTTCCTCATGAATTCAGGCGAGGTTTGACGGCCGAACCGAGGCGGCGGGGCGGGGCGGGGCGGGGTGTGATTGTTACCGGCTCGGTATATTGCCTGCCGAACTGCGGGACGGATCGACGTGCATACCGAGTTGCCCGGCCCAAACTACCGGGCCCGGTAAAGTGGTTCTCGGAAGAGTGCTTGGAGTCAGTGGCATTACAAACTTGGTTCACTATCTCAAAATTCTTCCTCTTTTTTCCCTTTTGCTTTGATGCTAGGTTATTTCCCTCTACCAGAACCCCTGAAGATGGCGTCGACAATATCGCCATCAGAACTGTCCAAACACAATACGCTCACCTCCCTCTGGATCGCCTTGGATGGCCTTGTTTACGACTTCACCGAGTTTGCCCCGACTCACCCCGGCGGGGTGTCCATCCTCCTCCAGCATGCCGGCCGAGATGGTACGGCAGCCTACAATGCTGTGCATTCTGCTTCTCTTGTCAAGGCCATTCTCCCGACTTCCAAGCATCTCGGTCGTCTGTCCTCGCCGCCAGCGCCAGCTCCTTCCCCCTTGAAACCCCAATCATTGGCACCTGCTAAGCCCCCGCTGTCCTCGTTGATATCCTCGCACGACTTTGTTCACGCGGCGCACTCTTTTCTCTCCCCCAAGGCGCTCGCCTTCATCTCGTCGGCCGCCACTGACTGCCACACGCACCGCCGGAACAGCAGCGCCTACGCCGACATCACTCTCCGGCCGCGGGTTCTCATCGACGTGTCCGCCTCGATTTCGTTAGCAACGCACATGCTCGGCCAACCCGTCGCCTCCCCGATCTACGTGGCGCCCACATCTCTCGGCAAAACGGTCCACCCGGAAGGCGAGCGGGAGATTGCGCGAGCATGCAGAAAGCTGGGCGGCATGGCCCAAGTAGTTAGCACCAGCGCCAGCTTTCCCATCAGCGACGTGATTGCCGCCTGGAAGGAGGATGATGACGAGAACAACAACACCCATGACCCGCCCGTGTTCCTCCAGCTCTACGTCGACAAGCAAGCCGCCAACACAGCCGCCCTGCTCACCTCGCCCCCGATCCGCGAGCACGTAAAGGGCGTCTTCCTAACGGTCGATGCGCCTGTCCCCGGCAAGCGCGAGGCCGATGAGCGCGTCTCTCTCTCTCCGACCACCACCACCGCCATCACCACCCCGGAAACGAAAACCCCAACGGCAACAACAACAACAACACCCCAAGAAGTAACCACAACCCCCATGGCCGGGCGAACCACGCCGGCCGCCGATGCCCGCGGCGCCGCTCTGGGTAGACTGATGGCAAGCTACATCTCGCCCTCCCTGACGTGGTCGGACACGCTGCCCTGGCTGCGCAGCTTGCTCGAGCCACCACCCCCATCATCATCATCACCACCCGGAAGAACCCAAGGACGAAACAATAAAAACAAACCGAGACGAACGCCGCTGGTGATCAAGGGCATCCAGACAGCGCAGGACGCGGTGCTGGCCGTGCGCGCGGGCGCCGACGCCATCGTCGTGTCCAACCACGGCGGACGCAGCCTCGACACGTCGCCCGCGACCGTTTTGACTCTGCTCGAGCTGCAGCGCTGCTGTCCCGGGGTCTTTGACCGTCTTGAGGTCTATGTCGATGGCGGGGTTACGAGGGGTACTGATGTCTTTAAGGCGCTTTGTTTGGGTGCAAGGGCTGTGGGTGTTGGAAGGGGCGTCATGTACGCGCTTGGATGGGGGGAGGAGGGGGTTAGACGGTATATGGAGAGTGAGTTTTTTTTATTTTTATTTTTATTTTATTTTATTTTATTTTTTTTGAATGTTTTGGACTCGCATGGTTTGGAGGGGAGGAAGTAGAGTGACTGGTGTGAGGCTGACGATTGTGGGCAGTTTTGAATGACGAGCTGGTGACCACCATGAAAATGTGCGGAGTCACGAGGTTGGATGAATTGCATCCGGGCTTGCTGAACACGCGGGCAGTCGATCATCTCATTCCTGAGCAGCTTGGGGAGGAGCATCCGTATGCCAAGTGGAGAAGGAGCAAGCTCTGATGTCTAATGAGGGTAGGGATGAAGGAGTAGGAGACTGGCCGGCTTCAGGGGTGGGGACTGTTTACTTTTTGCCTGTTAGGGAAATCAAGGGGTTTGAGCAGACTTGTAGGGTTAGCAAATAGATTTCTGCATGCTACCCAACTACTATATGTTCTGTACTTCAGCCAGCCGTAAAATGGAGACCATAAGTACCACATAATCAACGTTGTTCAGCCGCGAAACTTCATAAGTGAGCAGTGAGCAGTGAACTCCACAAGTGCCTTTGATATGTCCACAGTCCATCCTCGACGACATAATCTACTCTCAGTCTTAGGCAAAAACAGGGCCCCTGCTATTCTGCCGCCTGAGCGCCCAAATTCCCCAGAGAATCAGGGCAATGGCAGCTAGGCCGCCGACCACGCCGCCGACAATGGCGCCTATCGGAACCGAAGAAGAGGAGGAGGAGGGTTCGTGCGGCGCGATAGGGGTTGCGTTGCTTGAGTTGCTGCTGCTAGAGACAGTAGTGCTAATCGTAGTGGTGGAAGACGAGCTGCTACTCAGGCTGCTGCTGCTAGACGAGGTGCTGGTCGGCGAAGGAGTCGGAGTCCTCCATACCTTGCCCGTGCCGTCGGCCTTGGCGCAGCCGAGAAACGTGTAGCCGATCAGGCCGTCATCTTGGTACTTGTGTGTGTAGCAGCGGGGGTAATTTGAGTTACCACTGTTGGCGGGTTAGTAGGTAGTAGGTAGTCACTTCAAGTTGTGTCAGCATGGTTCATGTTGGAAAAGACGTACCACCACAGCGTTCTGCCGTTAGGGTATGTATAGCGATACTTTTCCGCTGAGTCATAGCAGACTGTGGGAACCAAGCAGTCACTTGAGAGGTCATGACTTTTCGAAACGGTATCGCAGCACCCAAAGTAGGAGTTGACATCGTTGTATGCGCAGAGCTGTGTGCTGGCGCAGAACAGGGGAGACTCTGCCCGGGAATTAGCAACGCGTACCACTACTAGTTGTGTGAAACTCATGATTTCACGGTAGCTCACCCCTTTTGCCGTCCATGTACCCGCACACGTTCGTGTTAACGGTAACGGTGCCCGGATCCGGCACTAGTAGTAGTTTTCTGGGAGTTGATATCTCTGGGGGAGCGGTTGGGACTGGAGACTGCGAGCCAAGCGAGAGCATCGAGTCAACCGTCTCGTGAGCCGGAGTCCACCTCGGCTCGTCGCTGCTCCATTTCGAGACATTGCCTTGAACCTGGTAGACAGCGCAGGTCAAGAGTGCGTAGCCAAGTGTGTTTTTCATCGCCAGCAGATAGTACTAGTAGTGATCAAAACAGCTGTGAGAGTGCCCTTGGAAGAGAAAAATCGGGAGCTTGAATCCTCAACGACGCTTCAGCTGGAAAGGTCAAGTTTATGAGTCTGGCTGATGAACAAGGCTACTAATATTAGTAGTGACTCCAGGGACCGTCAGAGATTGATCGGAACGCTCGCTCCATCTTGAAATCTTGCGGCCAACCTCTTAACAAACATGGCGTGCCAGCAAACATGTCGAGAGAGTCACAGAAGCAGCAGGTTGGCTTCATGGCAAGGCCAGCATCATCAACGATAGTTATCCATCTAGAGCGCTAAGGAAAGATGATATGTAAGGGGTCATCCAACGGGCCATCCAGTCTTACGACTTAGTCTGTCCTCCAGAGCACAAAGCCCACCCGTGACTCAGACCCCGTTCGATACACAAGTACAACCATGTACGATTGGATTCTGAACGAATATGCGAAAATATCCAGACTCCATGCTAAATCTTGGTACATTCCTTTTCCACATGCTCTCAGCCCATCACAAACCCCAACCTCCCCCTTCAACTCAACTCATATCCATATCCCACGCCGAAAAATCCGCCCCAAAATCACTCGCCCCCGACAACCCACCAAAGATCTCATCCCCTCCCAAATCCAACCCCCCTCCCGCCGCCGAACCCGTCGCGCTTCCCAACCCACCCAAATCCATCCCCGACCCCTCCAACCCAGCCGTATCCAGGGACATGGCATCAACAACCGAATGATCGCCCGCAGCGGCACCCGTGGCCACGGCAGCAGCAATAGCATCGCCCAGGGCATCGTGCCCGCCGACGCCCAGCCCGCCAACGAGGCCATCAGTCCCCTGCAGCATGGCGGCGGCGACGGCGGCCGACGACGCCGAGGGGGCCGGCACGGCGAGCTGCGCCTCGACGCGGCGGTGGAGCCTGACGACCGTCTCGGCCAGGACAGGGTCGGTTTTCTGTATGCGCCGAGCGCAGCCCTCGGCCTCGGCCTTGAGCGCCTCGCGCAGCGTGATGCGCCGCTGCTGCTGCGACGGTGCGTGGTGCACGTCACTCCCATGGCCGTCGTTGCCAGCGCCGCCACCACCGAAACTACTAGTACCGGTCAGCGCGGCATCGCTCGCTGCGTCCGGGGCGCAAATCATGGCCGTGACAACGTCGTATGCAATGCTGGACTGCGGGGTGTGGGCGAAGGATTTGAGCTCGTCGAGGAGGATGGCCAGGAGACGCTTGGCGCCGAGCATCTTGAGCGCAACGAGCGTCTGGCGGTGCGTGTACGTGGCGGGCATGCCGTTCAGAGGCGGATGCTGGGCCCATTGGACCAGCGACTGGACCGTGTGACGGATGGCGGCGGATAGGCCACCGTTCGCGACGGTGGCGGTATTGGTGGCGGGGCTGCCGTTTGCTGCGGCGGCGGTCGTGTTGCTAATGTTCGTGTGCGCGCTGGTCCACGACTCGAGTTCGTTGTGATCGGCGCCGCCTGTTCGGCGCGAGACTGAGAGGTTCTCTTGGATGGCGCGAAGGAGCGGCTCCACCTCCTGGCATTTGGGGTCCTGGCGTTGGTATGACCGTAAAGCGTGCTCCAGCGGCTTGGCCACAATGTTCAGTACAGACGAGAGCATGGCTGATGCTTCATTGGAGATGGATGTTGGTTGCAAGATGAGCTGCAGCATCTTGATGATGGCGCCCTGTATTTGGGGGCCGCCTGCCCACAGTTGGTTCGACAAGTACAAGATCGCCGGGACAAGAGATGGTAACAGGAGGACATGAACCAGGTCTGTTATCCATCAGTACCATCTTTACAAGGTTATGAGCAGGGGATACTCACACTCGACTCCGCCTTTTAACATTTCGTCGCTGAGACGCCCGGCGCTTAGAGCGAGGACAACTTGGTGGAACAGAGTGGGCACTAGCAGATAGAAATCCTGCGGAGGACACGACGACATGGTCTCATCCCCGAGAGCCCCGGCTTCGGTGCCAAAAAGACTATGAATCCAGCCGGCAAGGTGGGCCTTCTCCTGGTCGTCCAGCTCCTCCAGTGGCCGGCAGAGATCGCCACCGCTCAAAAGCTTCGCCATGAACGAGTCTGGCGAGCGGATGCCCAGATCCGCCGGCGAGAGACCGTACCGGTACACAAAGGCGAGCAGGAGAAGCAGGATTGACCCGAACTCCTCGTACACGGGCTGGTATTCGCCCTGATCCTCGTCATACGCGCCCCAGTTATCAAGGAGCTCACACAGCGGGTGCAGAATCTTATGCGGTCTCTCGAAAAGAAGAAGGACGTCCAGTGCCAGGGGCTTTCCGGCTAGCTGGCTGCATAGCTGCTTGAGGGTCATCGTTTCTTTGCTTCGGCAGAGACTCCCAATCACCTGTAGCCACGGGTCAGCATACCCGTTGAAGCACTCGTTTGAATCCGCATCACATGCCTCAATGATAGCCTGCGCTGCTGCGCCCACATTCCCATTCATATTATCCAGCTCCGCAATCAGCTTCTGTGCTCTATCCACGTCTTGGAGACATGACTGAACTAGATTCTCCTTCACGTAACGACCTTCATCTGGCAAGGACTGGTATGTTATATCTCCCAAAAGGCTTTCTATTGCCCTCTGCGAAAGCAATCCATGGAGCTGGCAAGAGAAGCAAAAGTCTTGCCGGACCGAATCGTGAAATGAAGAACCTGTGTTGCTCATTTCGAACATGCCGGAAAGCGTGGGGAACACGTTGGTGTCCACCTGGCCCAACGCTTCTGTAATGCACATCTCGGGATTGAAGGGATACATTGGTGACGAGGCCGCCAGCGAGACTAGGATCAGGGGCACTTTGTTGACCACGTAAGACTTAAGCACATGGCCGGTTTTTGGCCCCTCGTTGCGGAAGACGGCGTTTGCTAGGATGTCAAAGGATGCCAGGATGAGTTGTACGGCTGTCGATTGTAAATCCCCCTGATATCTGTTGTGTAGGTATGTAAACAGGGCGACATCGTCGAGCAGAGGCCGACCGACAAGCTGCCTGGCATTAGCATCAGACAGGTAACAGCAGCGCTGGTCGAGACTCACCGCAGCGTTTAGATAGATGTATAAGCCTGCTCTCGAGTTGACTATGGGCAGATCCGGAAGCTGGAAGCTGTCTAGACCCAGGAGGTTGTCCATGTAGCTGTTCATCTCGGACACAGCCGCGTCCTTCTTATCTGCGGGCAAGAACTTGGAGAGAGTTTGCGTCCGGAATAGCTCCAACTGCCCTGCGATCTCGGACGACGCTTGCATTACCAAGGGGAGGAAACGCTCCAAGCTCTCGGAAAGCGCTCTGCAGATGCCTGCCGGCGCTGTCAGCCGTTGCTTCGCGAGATACAGAACGGGAGTCGCTCCCTACCTTCGAAGCTTGGGCGATTCAGTGTAGACAGAACTACCTGGTTTTGACTAAAAGTGAACACAAATAGTACAAAGGCGTTTCGAGACTTCTCGGTCTCGTCCTTAGCCTGAAGACCGTGTATAGAGCCAAACATATCTCGCGAAAAAGCGGCCGCAGCTTCAGTGTAGAGCGTCATCCACCTGGCTATGACCCTGGCCACGTCGAGGACATGCTTGCTAGTCTTGATTTCCGAGCCATGGTCCACCGCCTTTGCAAGACGTAACAGCAAGTTCTCCTCAAACTCGTACGAATGCTTCCATCGGGCGATTTTCCTTGACTCCTTTGTGGCACCATTCTGCTCCTTCTTGATTGTGTCGCCAGCAAACACGGCCGCATCGTGCGTTTGTGCCTGCACCAGCGAATGTGCCGTTGAGTACTTGTATGCTGCCTTCAGCACGGCGCCCGCGCTCAGGCGGCCCTGCTCCTTGAGCTCGTGCAGGTACGCCCGCTTTCGTCTGTCGGGCGCGTAGCAGAAGCTGGGCGTCGGACGCAACAAAAGATCGGCGAGGAGGTCTGGTGGAAGCGGATGCTTTGCGAACAGGATCCGGGCAAACTCGGCGAAGCGGTCGGGGTCCAACCGGCAATTCTCCGCTCTCGTCAGGAGCTTGTTCCATTCTCCTATCGCGGCGCGCAAGCGTGATAATGCTGTGTTCGTCTCCATGATGGTCGCATTGGTCGGATGGATGCTGTAGTGTGAACGAAATCGGACGGGATTTTGACTGTCAAACGGCGATATGTTACATATTCCTTCTCCAGATTTGTGGGAAAGAGCCTTGTATTGTACGCATACTTTGCTGATTGGAATGCTAAACTACCTTAGAGTTCAGGTTCAACGGCTCAGATGAAGCCGACTTGGACTCTCCTGTACAGTATGTGAAGGCGCGATGGTTGAGGCAAAGACACTGTGCAGTGGTACAGGTACATACAGTAGCAGTAAGCACCAGTAGAAGCTCGAAAGAATTCCCTACCGTATATTCTTGGGAAATTGAGCTAACCCTACTGCAAATGCTAAGGCTAGCAACCAATCCCAGCCTTACTCTGTCCTACCTGCTTCAACTTTTCATGCGATGTAATGTCGAAGCATACGGTTTGAAGTGGGCGGGACACTGAATAGATACGTTAGACTCGCAGTAGGGTCGGCTCAATTTCCCAAGAATATACGGTACTCGTCAGGGCTTCATAATCGGCATCTGCCCCACTACTTCGTAGAGGGTCAGGGACGCTGATTGGGAACAAACTTTTGATTGGGAAAATGGAGGTACTTCCATTTACTAGCGCATTTCATACAAATTCAAGTATACTAAATTTTGTGCATTATACCATCAAAGTCCATAACATAGTGATTTATCCACCACAGAAATTCCCAAGGATACTCGATTAGTTGCATCCACCTACCTTAACAGCATCACAGATATCGCTCTATCGCCACCATCCCTCTAATGTAGGCGACAAAGCAATGCAATCTACCTGCAAGCATTTGAAAATGGTCAAATACTATATATATGGCTCTGAAATGTATATGAGCTCGATTTTTCGCGTTGCTCTAGCGCGGTTCAAAAATGCGTATGCATGCAAGCAGTATAGGTGCAAGAAGACGGTATGACATTGGATTGCTAGCAAATTTGTATGGTAGGGCATGTAGTGGCGTCAATTTTCCCAATCAAAAGTTTGTTCCCAATCAGCGTCCCTGACCCTCTACGAAGTAGTGGGGCAGATGCCGATTATGAAGCCCCTGACGAGTATTTAAATCTCGGGGTCATTTGAGCCTCACTTGGCCGAGCATAAGCGAAATACTATGACTGTACCAAAGTAAGTACATTTGATATTTAAGGTACATACGCCCCTGTATTGTACACTGAGGTACAATACAGACAAAGACCTCCGTACTGTATCCGTTCTCATCAGCAGTTCATTAATCCAACCAGTTCCTTGGTACTTCACCTCAACTCCTGGTTGCGTGTAGACTGATCAACCGTAGCCCAACTCCCATTGCAGAACGTCTTCTTGTGCATGTGCCGATCTCAAACCCCTCGAAGACCCCAACGGACGACACCATGTATCTTCTCAGTCTCGACCCTTTGTACTCACCTCGAAAACAGCACGGAGACTGGAACTAGCCAACCTCAAGCCTCCTTAGTCATACAGCAACCCGCCCGCCCACCAACCGGTAAAACCCTCTACCTAACGCGAGAATGAAAACACAGAGTATAGTACAAACCAGCGCCGTCCAGTTCTCACTTGTCGCAGTAGACCCAATGAGGACATGCCATGGCCTCAGTCCTCCTCCTGCTTAACATGCACTCTTCCCCTTGCCCTCCCAAAGCCAGGAGCCATAGACGCAGCCCCGGGCCCAACGGGCTGCGTTCGCGCCTCTGGTGCCCTTGGCCCGAGCATCCTAGTCGTTCACAACACACCGTTAATCATGAGCCATCAGTCGTGAGTCGTCAGTCATACACCAATGCCCGCCCTCTCCTATGCAATTGAGCCGGGACAAAAGCCGAAAGGAAAGACCATGCCGTTCTCCGGCTCCAGGATCCAAACTGAGTTCAAACAAACAAAGAAACCTACCAATCCTGCATCGCAAGCCATTCACTCCACGCCGACTCTGCAGCCACAATCTCCGCCTCGGTGACATTGCGCAGCGGCTTCAGAAAGGGGACCGCCTCGGCTTGTCCCATATCGTAGGCGCGCTTGACGTCGAGCCAGCTGCCGCTCTTGGCCGCAAACAGGAAATTCCGCCGTTCCTGCTCGTGCACCGGTCCGATGCCCGCGCGCCTGAAGAAGGTTAAACCCATGAACCACATCAGTCGGATCAAACATGCCCTTTTCCACTGAAGTGGGCGGGGGGTAGGGAGAGGGGGGGGGCAACCCTGCTTTATCCTCATGATTCGTACGTACCAGTCATCCCCAAAGAAGCCGTGCAGTACAGCAGGAATATCAAAGCCCGTCGCTACCAGCCGGCGAATGTACGGCTGCAAGACGGTGGTGTCGGCTACTGGTACCGGTCCTGGCAGCCGCGCCGAGCCGGGGCTGTGGTGAAAAGGGGCGGCAGCTGCTGGTGGCGTGGGGAGGAATCCCGGGGCCTGGGCGAGAGAAGGCGAGGAGCCGGAGCGGGAGAGGCGGAATTGGTTGGTATGGGCGACTGCTGCCTTTTGGAAGGGTAGTTGGATATTAATGAATGCTGCCAGGGCCTGCACGGGGCCGTTGTACTGTGCATGTTCCAGGAAGTAGCGGAGGCAGGATTGGAAGTAAGGGTGCCAGTCGAAGATGTCGAACTGAGCGTCAAGGAAAGGCTGGGACAGGAAGGGTGTTGTTAACCTTGGCTGACCAAGAAAAACCGGCCGCTGTGATGAAGTGGTGAACTGGGTGTGACGAAGGTTGCATGAAGGAGAACAGTTGAAAGCATAAACATGGAGATTTCGTATAGTACCTGTTCCTCCTGGAACGACTGATCGCCTTCCTGGGGCATCGCCATTGCTTTCCGGCCACCTGCCAGATAAGGAGGAAAGGGAGGAATGAAGTTGGCTAGTATACGGATCGAGACCGTCAAGGTGTTCCGTCCTTTTGATTCAACGGGCTACGCAAATAAAAACAGAGCTGAGAGGCTAATTGGTAGGTATCGAGGTATTACAGCACTTTGCTTCGTACTAGAAGAACCGTTACCGGGAGCTGATCTGTTTCGTCTTGTTTTTTTGTTACTAGAGGAACCTACCCTGGAGCAAAGCTCGGTTTTCCAGACTGGCAGGGCTGCGGCTAGGACGCTGGGGAGAAGACCCTAGGACTAAACGTTACGTTGATCAAGCAGGAGGGTGCTAATTCGGGAGCTCAGGATGCCTGATGAGGCACAACGAATTGATCACAGTAGGTAGGCAGGCAGAAGATGATGGGAGGAATGGGGGTCGGAGACACAGGAGTGTTTGGGCCCGCAGGGGTTTTATAACTTTAGAACCGGTTGCGCCTGACTGAACCTTGAAGGCAGTTAAGTGCATGTGCCTGTTTGGGAAAGAGATACCAGTATTGTACTGTACACTAAGGTACCTTGTGCATCTAGAAATGCACGTGGAACTGCTGAGCTGATGGCAGGGGACTCCCAAGACTACGGTAGCCAGGAACCAGGGCCGGCCGTCTCTGTATGTGAGGTACTCGAGCCGCGGTTAAACCTACACACAGACTGCGATATTGGAACCCCAATGGACCGTTTAAGCGACGTCGATCATCGAATACGGAATGTGTTTTCTCTCAAATACATGGAATAGGGAGCACGGAAACATCCCTGCTGGGTATAGTGTGTGTCCTCTTCTCCTTGCTTGTACTTCAAGGTTGGATTCCACTGCTGGAAAGAGCCGAGGGCCCGAGGAGCACATTGCAAGACGATAACAAACATGAGCGACTTGGTGGCGCCAAATTTATAACCAAGGAATCGCAAAGTGGACGATGCGGACGGAACTATTTTCGAACTGTACCTTTCATCCTTCGTCCTCCGCGGGTTCCATATCCTATGCGTCGGCCGAGGTCAGTGAACCCAATGGAGGTACGGTGTCGTGGAGAATGTGAATGTTGCCAATCCTTGAACGAGAGTGCCGACTCTGCCGAGTGCCGTGCACCCTGCAAGGGCACACTGCGAGGGCAAGGCCGGCTGTTTGGCGCGCGGTTGGCCGCGAATCAGGACCCTCTTGCAAGCCAAGGGCGCTAATCAATCACTGGACGACAGGGATCCGGTGCATGGGGATGTTTACGCTTAGGTACTGCACGTACCTCTGTACCTAGCCCCGCGTTGAGGGATACGACAGCCAAGTCGGTATAGATTGTACATGGCGTGCATCATGGCCATCATGGTCGAGCTTCTGTGTTGTGCAGAGGTCGATCTGGGATCCTCGGCGCAACGTACAGTACATACCTACACGAGCAAACAGTACCTTAGGAGTAACCTTACACTGGTGCAGTGGTGACTGATGTCGAGGGACCCAGAATTTCACATGGGCTCAACATCGCGGAGAAGCCGATAAGCTGGGCCAATGGATGACATGATGTGTACTACAAGCTTGCACCGAACCTCGGCCGGCCCGACCAGTCGGTTCAATGGTGCTCCGCTCATGGCAGCTAGGCAGGGCTCACCTCAAGGCTTTGAGTCGGACATGGCCGGGCTGATGAATAACCGGAAGCAGCCCGATGCCTTCAACTGATCGCGACAATTCATCCGTGGGCCGGAATACAAAATGACTCTATGGGCCTCAAACAGACCAACAGAGCCTGAGAGCACGGGTCGCAGGAGTCAGGACACAGACTGGATAGTGTGGGGGTCGCAGCCGCCATGCATCCTCGATGATGCCGCTTCCTCGTTCCAAATAGTGGACTGTACAATCCTTCACTACCACCCCAGCTCGGCACTGCTACCACACCCACCTCTTATGGCCACTAACATTCTTCCGCCGACTTCATAGAATCGCCGGTGAACCTCGGAATGCAGTAACGACATGACAGTACTAGGTAAGGTAGGTATGCACTTGGTGTGGTCTAGACTTCTAGAATCTAGACTACGGCTTCAACGGCATTTCTCTGTAACAAGCAGCATTACCTACCTAACTGATGTCGGATATAGGATGGGGAGGTAACCTGAGAGGAACATCGTCACAGGGCCAGACAACGTTCAAAAGAGCTCAAGGCCCTACCGAGCGCCTCTAGGCATTGGTTCAAGCTTTCATGGTACGTTAGACGGCCTCTCCGATTTGATCGAGACCACCGCTTTACGATCTGCGTTACTACGCTTACAGATACAGAAAGCGATAGCAAGGGGGCACTGCGCACTATTCGTTCATTTCCGTTCCATACCTACGGTTCAAGCCTCCCCTCGGTGGTCATCTAGTACTAGATACTAAGTAGTGCTCTTCCCCCGGGAGAGCCCGACCAAGACCCGAATTGCCAGCCGTTGCAAACACAGTTCTCCTTTCCAACCCATCGAGCCAGTCCCTGTACCATGCGGCAAAGGTCAGCGGTGTCCCATCATGGTGCAACAAAGGGCCGATTCCCGCATCGTCGACAATGCGATTTTCCCACATCTGCCCTCGAGCAGCGCCGCTAACAACGAGGCCGATCCAAGAAGCGCAGCCAATCTCGCAGAGCGTCAGCAGGCCCGAGGTGTGCTCCTCAATGACTCGCCACTGCCGTTCAGACCACCCGTCGCGAGCGCAATTGTAATCATGCTCTGTCTCAAAGTCTTCCTCATTGGGTTCCGCGGGCAGAAAGTCGGAAGGATGGAAGGTGGTCGTATGGAGAAACGGCTCAGCAAGGCGGTCCATGTCGTTGGGGGGTACCGTATCCTCATCCATCGTTTCCCACTTATTACTCGCAGTCTTGCGTAGAGGACATATGCCGTAGTGCGGGCCAGCGCCTCCATTGCCGGCTTGTAACAGGAAAGAGCGGTATTCCTCGGGCAGCCGGACACCGATTTGGGTTTCGATTTGAGAGACCTCCTTCTCTGATAATACGGGCTCTAGCTCCAAACGGACGTGGTCATGACGGACTGATTCGGGGGGTAGTGCGGCAGCCAAGCGGGCGAGTCGAGGCTTTATGTCAGACCATTGCCCCGCTTTGTTTGGTCCGCCGGGTTGAGCAGTGGTCGACATTCTGCAGCGATACCAATTAGGCTTCTAGCGTCTCTAAGATATCAACATCAGTTTCAACTTGGATCGTTGTTACGGCATGTTCGTTCATCAAGGCTTCGTGTGCGGGGAACGCCGAACCGGTGGCTGTCTTCTAGGCACCGTTCCGAGTCATACGCCACTTCTGCGGAACGCAGCAAGATGTCATTTCGGGCAGCCAATACACGTGTAGAGCTCTCTAGCTGCTGTTTGAGGCAGTAGGCTGAGGGACTGTCCGACGCGCTCAGCTTCTGTCCGACTCAAGTTGCCGCAGTTGGGTGCCACGGAGGCAATCTACCGCTGGCGCTCTAGTTATCAGCCCGACATTGTCGTATGGGGTGGTGTCTTTAGTATAGGTGTTGACATGGGTTTTCTTCTGCCTATCCATGGATAGGGCTAGAGGATCGAAATAGATTCGAAAAGTACCAATGCTGATTACGATGCCTCAGGGGAGTATCATCGTAGCGGCGAGGTCCAGAGCTGAGGCGATCTGAGTGGAAACCATACTGATATCATATAGCGGGGTTTTACCGGCCGTTGAACAAGCTTACTTGCCGTAGACATCTTTCATCGTAAGACTGTCCATGGTTGTTTGTTGACTGTTAACGAGGGCTCCAGCCGAAGCTCGTAATTAATACCTACCTATCTACATACCTTAGCTGGGTAGGCAATGAATAGGCACCGCTATATGCATACTCAGGGTCCACACTTAACACTACAGCCGCGGTGCACGAGCCACGACGAAGCTAGCGTGCGCTAGTTACGCTAAACGTTGGTAGCAATTACCTCAGCTAGCTGGAGGCCAGATTGCACACACGACGTTTTTGCGATATCCGCAAGCTTGCTGTTGGGATTCGGTTTCTCTGCCAGAACTCCCAATCCTCTTCTTTCTCTTCTTTGTCATCCCTCTTTTTGCTCCTTTCGTCACCGGCGCTATGGTCAGCTTCAAGTGGTCTTCTCTCGCCCTCCTCGCCCTGCGAGTTGCGACCGTCTTCGCCGCGGACGATGTAAGTTAATTTGGATGCCACACCTTGAGCCCCTTTTCTTGCTCCTCCATTCGCGCTTCGCGTGCAGTGCTTGCAGCCCAATTACTAACGCCTAGGCCACACAGACGGACTCCGAGCCTGCTACATCGGCCCCGACCGATCACCCGGAGCTCAAGGCCGACATTGAGACGACCTTCCCCGACGCCGACATCTTTGGCGTGAAGCTCGTCAATGGGCGCGTGACCAAGGCTCTAATCGAGGTGACCAACCATGAGGATACGCCAATTGACGTCGCCTTCATCGGCGGCGCGCTCAAGACCACGCAGCCCTTGCCCGAGGGCGCTCCCGAGTCGGCCCGCATCATCCGCAACCTGACAGCCGTTCGATATGGCGTGTCGATCCCCGCTGGCGAGAAGCACCAGCTGCCCTTCCAATTCGTTCTCGACATGATGCCCCAGGACGTCATGGTTGAGCTCGTCGGCGTCATCACCCACACGGCCACCAACCAGATCTTCCAGGTCCAGATGCACAGCGGCCCGGCCAGCATCGTCGAGCCCCCGACCAGCCTGTTCGACCCTCAGATGTAAGCCCTCTATCATCCGCATTTTCCTGCCCTCCCGGCTCTAACATTGAGCTCTTAGCATCTTCCTCTACCTCTTCCTGACCGGCCTGTTCGGCGCGACGCTGTACTTTGTCTACAAGACGTGGATCGAGGCGCTCTTCCCGCAGGCCCGCCCCGCCAAGGCCGCAGGTGGCAAGAAAGCCCGCAAGTCACAAGGCGAGCCCCTTTCCGGTTCCGAGTCGGCCGGCGCCACCAGCGGCGCCGACGCCAAGGACTACGATGAGAGCTGGATCCCTAGCCATCACATCCAACGCCCCGTGGCGAAGCGCGTCAAGGGCAGCTCCACCGGCAAGTCTAAATAATGTACCATGTTAGACGAAGGACTTGCAGAGGATTAAGAGCCACCGAAAAGTTGGGCCGCCAAGCTGGCTGGTTCAGTGAAGATGAGTGAGGATATAGGGGAGCGGGAATGCCCATTTAGCTGCACGTTATAATCATCATCCCTCACGTTCAACCCTCTGTATCTATATTAGGGTATGGGAAGGAAAAAGGGAACGGACGGCGCTGGAAGAACGAACAATTTGAGGCATCTTGATTTTCCTCTTTACCAGGCGCATCGGTTTTGTAGACTGATAGTACTTGGGTTGGGGTTTGCTTTTCCCAAACCGCCGCATCGACGATATTGAGGTATTGGTATCTAAAAGCAGTTTGGTTCGCTGCAACTCGACGTATTGCACCGCATGCCAGGTACCTCCAAAACATTTCCAAGAACTGAATGTATTGAAAACTCGAGAGGGGTATTCCAGGCAGCGTCAGTGTATATACACATCTGCCATACATTTCTATGATCCCAAACCCAACATTACAAAGGAGAAGCAAGAGCAACCAACAAAAAGCGAACGCGCCACCAGAATCCCCTTTCAGTACCTCAGTAACGCCATGCCGCCTATTCCGGAGAACAAACCACCCGACAAGCCAAGCTATGCAATCCCCCCTAATCCCCCTCTTCTCGCTCCTCCTCTCTGATGCTGGAGAGTCCCTAACCTCAAGAACGGAGAAGCTCATAAAAAGATCCCTCTCCTCCCCTTCCGCCTACCGGCGTCTGCCAACCCTTTCCCAACACCCCCAGCTCCGTCAAAGCGATGCAACTCATCAATCTTGGCGAGCACCAGCTCGAGCAGCTCTTTGCGGTGAATCAGATCCAGATGCCGTCTCACTTTGGGATCCTCCCGGGCAAACCGCTCCAGGCCGCCCGCCGCCATGTGCTCGTGCAGCTTGGCCTCGACCTCGCGCGGGAAACGGACGTAAAAGTCGTTGAGCATCTCGACGTTCAGGAACAGCACCGCCGTCTGGGCTAGCTTGGTGGCGACGGCGTCGAGGAAAACCTCTGGGCAGTAGTACTTGTTCTCGAGCGACTTACACTTGCGCGACTTGGCGGCGAGGATGCGCATGTTGATGATGTCGGCGCGGTCACGGAGGAAGACGGCTTCCCGGCCTTGGGTGGTGGTGGTCAGTAATGGTAATGGGAATGGGAACAGAAAGGTAACTTACCCCTCGTGAGTAATGCTGCGCTGAAACCGCCTGCTCCACTAGGATGGTCACCCTCGACAATGATCTCACCCTTTTTCGCCTTGTCGACGAAGCCCATGACTTCTTTGAGCTTCTTCTTGCCCCCTACCGAGTTCTCAAGGCTCTTCATCGCGGCTTGGCATTGTTCTAGTTCCGTCTGCAAGAGCCCGACAACATGTTCCCTACCCTGTGCCCATTCTTGCGGCTGGATATCGGGGTCAAACTTGTACGGCTTGAGCGAGATCTCAATGCCGTCGCTAGTGGCATAGGATCGGTCAGCAAGCACCGTAGACGCGGCTTCGCTGACGACCTTGCGGGCTGAGGGGTGCTTAGCAAAGGACGACTTGTCAAGGAGCTTGTCAATGTTGGACTGGACGGCCGAGGCCGCTACGGTTGCTGCGAGACGGCCAACTCCGAGTCTGGTGAGGGCGGAGGTCGCCGTGTCGAGCTGGCGATGCCAGTAAGGAGAATTTGGGTCGGCTTTTGGTAGGTCGGCAATGCTGTCAGGTTCATGCGGAGCGACCGAGAGATCTTCAATCGGCCTATTCCAATACCTGGCGGCAAGCTGATCAAGGACTTTCTGATCCAGTGCGTCCTTGAGCAGGCCTTGCAGCTGGGCTCGCCCAAAACTTGAGGCGAAATCGTGAAACTGGTGCTTGAATTCGTCTAGGCTTGCCGCCAAGTACGCTTCTGCACTCATGGGCTGCTCGTTGTACTGCACCTTGAACTGATATGTCGTCTCTTCGAGCTCCCGCTGAATAGCTTCGGTCGTCTCCTGCAGCCTGGAAGACATTTGTTGCTCCAGAACTTGCATCAGTTTCTTTCGAAGTGTTATCGTGCCCGTATTTACGCCGGCATCAGGACCAAACTCGGGTAGGTGGGAGTTGAAATAAGCCTTCTCGTTCCGGTTGATGCCTGCCAAGAGATTACCGGTCTCCCTCCTGAAGAGCCCGGTTTGCGCAGGCAGCTTGGATATTACCCCGACATAACCCAACCGGAGCGGATACTGCCTATCGCTCAGAATCGCATACCCCTTTTCAGGCTCGACCAGATCCATCTTGGTGATGACACCAATCGTCCGCTCTCCTCTTGGGTCGACTCTACGGCTTGCCTGAAGCGCAGTTGAATTTGCCAAATCCGTGTCGGCCGCTGAGATGGCCAGGATAATATTAGGGCCTCGGATGTACTTATCGCAGAGCTCCGAGATTTTGCGCTTTAGCTCCCGGGGCTGGTTCTCCCCTGCTACCTGAATGTATCCGGGCAGGTCGATCAGAGACAAGTCTGGTATCCTCGGCGAGTGGATGGTGAGCCGAATGGGGTCATCCGTGACACACTCCGACTCGGGTACAGATAGGTTGAGTTCCGTGAGCGTCTTTTGAATCATGGAGAAATCGGTAACCTTGGTAAGACCGAGATCAGGGAATTCGCCATAGTCCGCCCTTGCTTCCGGGTCGTTCACAAGGGTGAGCTCGATGGGGCGCCTAGTAATCATGTTGCTTCCCTTTGGGAGGAATTCGTGGCCCACGATGGCTTCCAGCACAGAGCTCTTCCCTGATGATTGCGACCCAATCACGACGATGGATGGCAACGTGACACTGCTCGACTGGCCCACCTTCTGCAGAAGGTTCCGGATCTCGATCATCTTTTTGGTGATGTACATCATGTGGTCGTCCTTCAGTATTTCCTCGGGAGTCCGGTCATCGCCGTCGGTTTGGTCGTACCCGTATGCTGCTGCTGAGGCTCCAGCCGCAGCGACTCCCCCTACTCCGCTCTGTTTGGGCGGCTCCGGGCCGCCTGGTCCACCTGAACCGCTTCTGCCATCGCCAGATTCGCCTTCGCCTCGCATGATTTTGTCCAGCCATTCAGGCATCTCAAACTGCTCCTTTTTGCTATCCCAGCCGCGCTTTGTCTGTGCAGCGATATCTCTCGCCCCCCCCCACAAACTTGACGCCGTGGCCGTAACCGTATTCTTCATGTTGCCGTACATCTCCTGGGCAGAATTACTGACCTCTGTGAACGCCGTCAGCACGGTTGTTCCTCATCCATTGTTTCTCAGGTGGTGTTATCCTTACGAATGGCCTGATACTGTATCCAGCCCACAGCACCAATCATCAGGCCGCCAAAGAGGGCAGGGATCCTGATGAACTTGATGGCCAGCTTCGGCAGCAAGCGGGCGAAGGAGGCGTTCCGGACGATGACTGCATTGTGGTAGGCGTTTGCCGGAAACTGCACTGACCTCCGGAAGCCGCGGGCTGCAATCTCGGCTCGTTGGATGCCGCCAGTGGGTAGCTGATGGAACTGGCGGATGGCACGAACAGTGCCGCGACGGACGACGGGGGCAATTGCCCCAGCTGCCCGGAGCTGCGCACTCATCGTGGTAAGCCGGGCAGTGAGACGCTAAGTATTCCGGGACGTCATGAAAAGTGAAATCGCTGCGAGCGTTTGGTGGTGTGGGATGGATGTTGAGACCGTGAATGCAGAAGCGCAACTCTCAAGACAGATGACGCTTCTTCAAACACACGAGATGCTCCTTTACCACGGCTTTGGCGCTTGGTGGCCTGAGCCCCACCTTCTACTTCCGGTACTGTAAGTTACAGTATTTTTACACTAATGTATTGTATGTGCAGTACCTCCTGTGGAGCGCGATACCCAGCCTCTAGAGTTTGAGTTAGTCGCTCGAATATTATAGTGAAGGCAAGCTCGCAACCATATCCAGAGTATATATCCTCGGATTATTACCTCTGACTGTGCGATTTGAATCCATTTTCATATTACCTATAGAGAGACATCCTTAGAACGAGGGGGAACGGGAGGTCCCGGTCTAAGGGCGGCGCTCCGGCCCCATTAACTGATCCCCAATTCAGCTAGTGTAACGCCCTATGTGACTGCAGCTTATCCGCTAAGGAAGTACCTACTGCACTGTAGAACCCATCTTGGTGCAACGGTTCTTCGAGCTACTGTGTACAATTAGTAGTGCTAAGTTGAGTGATGAAAACATTGTAGAATGCATGGCTGTCTGTCTTATACACACCGGCACTAATTGAGGCGCTTGAAAACCTCGGACGATTTGTTTACAGAGGTCGATCTAGAACCAATTCCTTGGGTGCTAGCGTACTATGTATTCAGAGACTCGGGCGACTCCCGTCATTTCACTCGCCAATTTCGTCAGCCCTGCGGCGCGGGGCTTTTGTCTCTTCAGCCATGCGCCGGCCCGTCCCCGACTTCCATCCGTTACTGGTTTGACAAGAACGCCGAATCTGTCTCGCATGGGGGGCGTTTTGTCACACGTCTGCACAATTCAGGAACTGGAAGGCGCTCGGTCTGGAGCAGTTCGGAGAACCGTCTTTTTACTTCTTCAGACGAATTTCGGACTTTACCCTCGACTTGACCGCTTGTCAGCGATTCGTGTCAAGGAGCATCGATCATGTGTCGGTTTTTGGTACGGCAATCTGCCCAACTTTGTTGTTTTGTATCCACTTGCCAGAAGTGCTATCCGCTGACAATATTCACTTCCTTTTCTTAGGTCTACAAGGGAAGCGACGAGATCCTGCTCTCGAAGCTTGTCCTGGACCCGGCGCACTCCATTCTTAAGCAATCGTTCGACTCGCGACTTCGATTGGTGAGTCTGTCGAGACTAGGCTTCTTGCATCTCCCGAGGGATCATAGCTCAGGGAACTCACCACCTCTTCTGCTCAAAGGATACCCGCCGTGGACAAAACAATGCCGATGGTTTTGGCATTGGCTTCTACACCGACCCAAAGCTGGGTGCCGCGCCCTGCCTCTTTACCTCAACCACGCCGGCTTGGAACTGTGCGAACCTACAACGGCTGGCTTCCAAGACGGCTTCCCGCTTGATTTTTGCCCATGTCCGCGCAACCACCGAAGGCTCCTTGAGCGAGGACAATTGCCATCCTTTCTGCCACGGCAGCTTGATGTGGATGCATAACGGCGGACTAGGCGGGTGGAAGCAGATCAAGAGGAGGCTTGGCGAACGGCTGGCTGATAAGTGGTACCTCGGCGTGGTCGGGGGCACAGACAGCGAGTGGGCCTTTGCCCTGTTCCTGGATACGCTCGAGCGGATGGGTCACGACCCCAGCTCCCAGCCTGAGAATGGATTTGGGCCGACGGTACTCCGAAAGGCGATGCTAAAGACGATCGCACAGATCAACGAACTGATCGATAACATCCCCGAAAGTGTTATCCATGCCGAGAATGTCGACACAAGGAGTCTGTTGAACTTCGCCGTTTCTGACGGCCATAGCATCATCTGCACCCGCTATGTCAGCAGCTCGACTGATGAGGCCGCGAGCTTGTACTACTCATCTGGGACACTTTGGGAAACCAGGGCGCCCACACCGGGTAGTCAGGACTATCAGATGGAACGAAGCGATAAGGGGGCGGATGTGGTGCTGGTGGCAAGCGAACCCCTAACGTTCGAAAGAGGTATGGCCGCTGAGGCAGGATTTACACCTCATTACCACTAACAAGCTTAGAAAACTGGGTGAACGTCCCAACGAATTCGATCCTCACAATCCACAATCAGACGGTCATGGTTCATCCCATCATCGACCGGTACTACGACCGCAACCCGCAGCACCGCCGCTCTACCGCCTTTGTCTGCACCAAGGGTCTCTCGGCCAATGAGAAGGGCACCTCCAGAGCTAGCACCCCCCTAAACCTAGCCTCCACCATCCCACTTCCCCAGTCCCCTGAACACCATCACCCCCTCCTTCACGAACAACCCCTTAAACGTTTCCTCGGGCCCAATATTCCAACACAGCCGCATAGCCTAAGATCCCGCTCCCTGAGCTCAGAGGGGGTCTCCTCCACGTCAACCTTGTCGACCGTCCTTCGCGCCCGGACCCCTCTGGCGCACGCAGAACCCGCACCTTCGAATACAGCGGCACCATCCGCGGTTGGGGGAGCTGCGTCACCACCGTCAGATGCCAGACATCTGACGGCTCCACCCGTGATACGCTCCGCATCGTCGCAGCAAGCTGTCCCCGCACAGGGTAACATCAAGAAGAAGCGGGCGGGCGCGACGCTGACTGCGCTGGAGGCGGTTAATACCCTCCCCTACGTGGATACCAGCCCGGTCACGCCTGAGCCGGAGAGAACAGAGTTTGGGAACCCAAACAAGATTGCGCGGATGTTTCCGGAGTTGGCGTTGCAGTGATATTGACGGCTATAGAACTTGCAGGGTGAAACATGTTTGGCGTCTCGGTCTGTCGGTTGGGAAGGGAAGGGCATGGCGAAAGGCGTGCGCGATTGGTATCATTTCAGCTACGCATCTGCGTGTGTATGCATGTGATGGGCGAGATGCGTAGCTCTCTTCAACGGGTCGGTTAGGAATTGACGTACCGGTAACATTTGGGAACTGGCGGTTTTAGACGTGGGATGGACTCCAAAGGCTCGATATCAGGCCGTGTTAATGAAACAAACAATGCAAAATATACACGGCTATTGCTTCGAGCACTTTGTACACCTAACAATCCATCTACATACTCCCTTACCCTTCCGTACTCGTCTGCACCGTTACCTCCCACCTCAAATTCCCTCCCCTGCCGTACCCTTCCCCCAGCCGATTCTGCACCACCCTCGCAAGCCGACTCCTCAGCTGGCTCAGAGTCGCGTCGTCCACACACCCCCGCACAAGACGCACCTTCAAGTTCGCCATTGCCAAACCGTAATGCACTTGCCAGAACTGGGCCTCTTCAACCCCCGCGACTTGCGGTTCCGACTCGATCTCGCGAACCACCGAGGAGACGGTAGACTCGCTAGCCCCACCGACGACAACAGTCCTCTCATCCGTCTTCTTCCCCGCCGCAACCGTCTTCCGATCACTACCCATCTTAAGGTCTCCGCCGCTGCTACCAACCGCAGGCAGCCCGCTATAGCTCATGAGGAGCATCAGGCCCTGCGCGACGGCCAGGCGCGTGCCGAGGACGAACATGCTCGCGGCGATGGCGGCGCAGATGAGGCGGTCGAGCCAGACGAAGTGGGGGACGCTGACGAGCGGGAGGAGCAGCATCAGAAAGGAGAAGCACAGGGTGAGGAAGTGGAAAGGGTTGGCGAGGATGCCGGCGGCGGGGAGGATGCTCCCCAGATACGAGGGCAGCGGCACGCGCATGACGCGGCGGATGCGCCCGTGGTTGCGCAGCCCGTAGGCGCTGACCAGCGTGCTGGCCGCCGCGGCAAGGCTGGCAAGGTCCACGGTGCCCGGGCTGATGTAGCGAGCGCCGTGGTGGGAGTGGCCGTGGGAATGGACTCTGTCAGGGGTTGCTGCTGCTGCTGCTGTTGCGGCAGTTGGGTGATGCGGGACATGCTCGCCGACCGACTCTAAAAGGTGTTTTAGGTTGTGCGAGATGAGATCAAAGCCGCCAAAGACCAGAAACACGGACATGGCGAACCCGGCGAGCACTTCAGCGCGCTGCAAACCGAAGGGGTGGCGAATGCTGGAGCGCCGCCAGACCTCAAAGTTTCCCAGCACATCAACGGCCACGCACACTGCTGCCGAGCCGACATCGAAAAAGACGAGGTGTGAGAGGGCCGTCATGGCGAGCGAGCCCTCGGCGCTGAAGAAGACATACATGGCCACGGCGGCATGGCAGCAGCACCACCAAAGCCGGGCGCGTTGTTCGCGTTGCATGCTAGCCCATGCTTCCTTGAAGGTCGGGACGGGAAGGGAGGCCGGCAAAACGGGAGGTGGCCGTGGAGGCGGTTCTTGGAAGAATTGGTGTTGGGCGCTTATGGAGCTGTGTTTGTAGCGGTGACCTCGTCTTTGGCCGATATTCTGTATCAGGGAAGGTCAGCTAGCTGCTGGGTAAGTTGGGCAGCAGCAGAGCTGGCTTGCCTAAGGAAACGAACGTACAGGCTTGACAGGACCTGTTGAGATGAACTGTGTCTGGAAATTGAAGGGATTCTTTGGCGCGGACGCGGGTGACGCCGCGGTGGCAGACCCCTCCTCGGACGCCATGTTGATGAGAGTGGATTCAGGCGTTGGAGGACGCAGCAAGGCTGCGTGTTGAGGGTGGAGGAACGCAGAAGAGCTGCGTCGCGTAGGTGCTGCGACAGAAGGCTCAAGTCCCTGAACGACGCTCGCTGCCGAACCTTGGCCCGTATCCTTATCGTAGTCGTCGCAAGTGAAATGGAAGGAGGGCTCGCCCGGCGCTGACGATGTCCCTGAAAGTTCAATTGAGGGCAGGCCGGGAGCCATGTGCCCGGCTCACGACGCACTCCGCAGCCCCGATCCGATTTTGGCTGTTCTGGCGTCCGCTTTGCGTGGGTAAGGCAAGCTAAGGTTATCGCGATCGCTCAGCGGAGCCGAGCGTGGATCTCAAAATCACCCTGGGAGAGGCTCGGCAATCTTACCGGTTGTGCCAGGCGTGGGGTGAAATACGTTAATTTCAATAAACACGTACTGTGTAAAGTTCCAGTTTCGTGTTGGCTGACAAGGGCAGGATGCGATCCGATGTCCCATGTTTCGCTACGAGGGACCTTGTAGTGTAGAGGTATGGCTTCGTCTACACCACGTAGGTAGTGGACCTATGTCGATGGTGTGTCTTGCTCTGGCCGTTGGTTCCTTTCCGAGGCCCTTGATAACCGACCCTGTGGTGGCAGACTTGCAGTGCTGGAATATCCAATCCATTCAACAAATTACGTTGTAATTTACGGAGTACTTGGGTACGGAGTACATAATACAGTGGGACTAGAAAAAGGGGCTAAAACCATTACGTTAGTTACAGTTCCCGTACAGTGTCAGGGGCCAAAAGGTGGGTCCTCATTCCCTTGCCTGCCGGAACATAGCGATTCAATGAGATGGATGGAACGCATGTGTTGAATATCGTCATTTGAAACTCATGTGCCTGATAAGATATTCTGTAAACTCGATGTTCAACCAAGAAACCACTTTTGCACTTGCTACTCCGCAAACGATCCAATGCTGTTCGGACAGAATTGATGGCATTCCTTGAAATATGACGGACCCTCACATTGCCTGACGTGCGCTCCTTCCAGATTTTGCGATGCCACTGGCACGACACCAGCGTCCACTAATGCCGAACTGTGCGTTCGACTAGACGTCGTATGTCACCGAAACCTTATGAATGCAACCGGCCTGGAGAGCAGCAGAGACGAAAGAGGTCTGTCAATGGATCATCAGCCTCCGTCGCCGGCCGGCCCAGACGCCGATGCGCCGACGGCTGTTCCACCTCGCTCATCCGCACCCACACGCAAGCGGAGTTCGTCTGGCGCAAGTGGATTGTTGTCCAAGCTCCCGTTTATGCGCTCCACGGGAGAGCACCGGCCGCGATCACGCCGCAACACGCTCGAGACAGAGCCAACGCCGGCGCCAATGCAGCCATTTCCGACCATCCCCGCCGGTGCTGACCCGCCCAGCCGCCAAGCAGCCGCAGCCACTGCTGCGCCTCTGCCTCTGCCTCAGATGCTCCAGCTCCAAGCAGTCCAACAGCAGAAAACACGGCGCCGTAGAGGGTCGCTGCGGAAGGTTGCACTGCTCGGCCGCGGCGCCCAGCGAGAGAAGCGCGAGGCCCGCAATCTGACCATTGACACAAAGCTGCATGTGAATGGGAACAACGGGACGGTTCCCGAATCACAGAACAAGGGAACGGGAATGCTCACAGCAAGTCCTACCACCCTCGACGGGTATCCGAAGTCGGGCTTGGACCTCAAAGACGGCGGAGATGGCGACAAGGCACCATTCGGCCTCGGCATCTCAGATCTCACGCCACGGCCTAGCATGGATGGCTACGCGACCCGGTCTGGCACACCGTCGTCGGATCCGGAAGCAACACCTACCACGGCCACGGTCCCCTCTACTGCGCATCCCACTAGCAATCGGCGCCATGCGGCCACGGGATTAAGCCCAACAAGAAGTTATAGTACCACAGATGACGAGGACGGGCTGCACATGTCCCGGCCGAACGGCGCCACCTCGGCCGCTCGACCACCCGCCCCGTCATCTTCCCTCTCCTCCTCTTCCGCCGCCAGCCTCGTTCGCCCGGAGCGCGCCTCCCTCTCGTCTGGGTCCGAATCCTACATCCTCACATTACCACACTCTCATTCCCATTCCCATTCCCATCCCCGGCCTCTCGGCACCGCATCCGGATCCAGCACCCTTCCGTCAATCCAGCGGAGAAGAGGTACGATACAGCGCGCCAAATCCCCGCTGGCCCTGACGTCCCTGGCTGGACTCTCGACCACTCCGTTGCCCCCGCCCGACGCCGACTGGGATTACTCCGAGACCGAATGGTGGGGGTGGATCATTCTTCTCGTGACGTGGACCGTGTTCGTTGTCGGGATGGGCTCGTGTCTCGGGGTGTGGAGCTGGGCGTGGGACGTGGGGACGACACCGTATGCGCCGCCCGAGCTGGAGGATGACCCGACGCTGCCCATTGTGGGATACTATCCTGCGCTGATGATCCTGACCGGGGTCATGGCCTGGGTGTGGGTTGTCGTTGCGTGGGTCGGGATGAAGTACTTTAGACATGCCCAGGTCAGTGGGGACTAGGCAATTGTGTTCTGTTCTTTATCTAAGTAGTGTTCCTCTTTTGCATATGATTATAACGGAGGGCCTCGCGCTGCCACACACAGTCGTAGATATACCCCTGGCTTACCTCGCGTTGTATTGTACATACCGTCTTCACTTAGAGGCATAGAGATATCATTGTTGGTTGGTTGGATTGTGGACAACCAGGACTAGAACGGACGACCTAGAGAAAGTTTCGGCCTGGAGTTGTGAAACCCGTGAGTTCCTCACCAGGCAGCATACTCTGAAGCTCCTGAGCCATCCTGAATTGGTAGACTCTCAAGGCCCCATCATGGGCCATGATTTTGTTTGACGTCCTGCTTAGCTCTTGGTGAGAATGCCTCCTCTTAAGATTATGCCAACCGCAAGGCCGTGACATTGAGCCTTCTGCTTCACCAATTGGAAGCCTTTTGTCTTGGCCATCGCTCTCCTTACTACGTATCACCTGAACCCTCATTCTCCCAAACTACTTGTCACTGGTATCGCCTTGCTTTCTGCGCGAAATCCTGACTTCTGAGTCACCCTCGGCCCCTCTCTAACACCACCAACGCAATGGAGCACGCATTGGGTTCACAGAACCGGCCTCCACCGTCTCCAACAGCTTGCCAAAAAATCATGCCTCATGGTAAAGTTGGCAAGCGCGCGGGTTTCAGAAGCCGCCAGCAGGAGAAGTGGACACACGGGAACAGAGGCTCGCCGGAACCCGGCGCTGTGGTTCAACCCCCCACGAGTCGTTCAGCTGACAGTTGATTGGGCCACGACGCGCTGCGGCGCTTTGGCTACCCAACAAGTACAAACAGTGATTTTGTACCTTGGTCTGCCTGGTGATGCTCGCAGCTGCACAGAGCACCCATTGGGCCTCGACTCATCGTCGATTCGTGCTTGGAAAATGCACTACCAATTTAAGCGTCGGTGGGCCCAGCCGTCAGTGACATCCAGGAGGTGTCTGCGGTGCCTTAAGGCGTTCGATCCTTAAAGCTGCTTGGCAGATTGCTGAATGTACGGAGGTAGTTTTACTTTGATATTCAGTGTTCTATCCGCGATAGAATGTTCACATCGGGCATTGTACAGGACAGAAGCTCGAGTGGCATCGCTGCAGGCTTGTTCATAAGCAGTCTCGAGGCAGTCTGGTAATCATCCACTTGTGTGATTCGCCCCAGATATGGACGGAGTGGTATCGCCACAAACGTACAGTACAAGTACATACAGCATCTCTGCCGCGATTGCCGCTCGTGGCGGTGACCAACGGGGACTCGAGGGACTTCAGGTCGCTTCCTACGTCATCAGCCACTTCACGACTGTCTCGGCTTAGGTGCACGCGAGGCTTCGGAGAACTCAGGTTTGTTTGCCTGGCTTCAACACAGTTTCCGAGGGTTGGAATGGAGGATAGGTACTTATACTGCAGTTCAGTTGCCAGTCTGAACTCCGAAATACACGGGTCGAAACTCGGCCAGCACAGGCTCGCTTGGAACCTGGAAAAGTGATGATGATCTACAGCATTCTCGAACAGCGCCTGGAGGAGAGGTCTTACAACCCAAAAGAGTGCCACTGTGGGTGCAGAAGACATCATATGTGGCGGGGAAGAAGGCAGCTTGGGGCCGGAAGAGGCATCACTCACATCAGGAGTTTAGGGCCAGGTTTTTCGGCGGATTCGGCACTAACCACAGGAAGAAGTGAAAGTGTTGTGCATCAACCCCGGCTTCCGCCTAACGTTAACTGACAGCGAAACTGATGTTCCCCTCCTACACGTAGCATGCTAGCCAACGTAACATGAAGGGTCAGGTAAAGTTACTGCTGTATGTAAACACTAGGATAGCGAAAGGCAGATCAGACGGCGGAGGGCGAAGGCCATCAAGGTTATCGATCGTACCGTGAAGCGTCAACGTCGCACAGCACCGGCTTCCGAAGACTGCTTGTTTCGACGAGGAAAAAAGACGTATGCAATACCATACAGCTAAATTACTAGGTATTTTGGTAAACTATGCGCCCGGGTAGAGCTATGAGTGCTATGGTAAGGTTGAAATTGGCACCCAGATGGGTGAGGTGTGAATGTGTTTGTATGTACATACAGCAATTACGTACTGTAACCTTGAATTTTACACTAATGTAGACGCATTTGGCAGGTGGAGGGTAAGACCCGAGGCCGAGACGCTCTTGGGCCGTCTCTTGGACCATTGATCAATTTGTCAGAAAGCAACCTGAAACTTCACTCATAACATAACTGCGCGGAGCAGCCCTGAGCCAATATAGTATTCAAAGCACGCCTGGATTATATTTGAGAGAAAGCGCTTGTGGGTTAATTTGTTCAGTCTTCGAACCATTCAGACATCTGGGAGGCTCAAGCTCTTGTCTCGGCGGCCCAGCGGGCCAACGGGCCTACCATGTGTGAATCGAGAGCGATCACGGACGATCCTGGTCGATGCGGACACTGGCTCGAACGGGCGGCCACAATGGGAGCAGACAAAGGGGAATAGGACATGGGATCGCTCCGATCAAGTGATTGGCCATATTGATTATTACCGGTTTACAACAGCTCGTAGAGTTCGAGAACTGCCCTGGCCTTGTGCGATGCGTCTCGAGCTTCCAGATTCCATGGGAATGGTCCAGGCCAACCCCCCGCAGCCATTGTGGTGCAAATTTGCCTCTTCAGCAGTCCCTTCGGTAGTCATTGCCTGAATACATCTCCATGGGGGTTAGTGGTAGAATTGTAAGCTCCGCCTTTTTCATAGACGGGGCGATGGCGAAGCTCTTGAAGCTACATCTGACAATGTGTAGGCTTTTAGTCGCTCTGTAAGATAGATGGCTATCATAGTTGATATTGACAATCTCAAGATCTAGCAATGACAATTGAGAACTGACAGCCAAAACAACTTGGAGCGCGCAATTGAGATTGGTCGCGTCTGGTGTCACCGGGAGACAGATGCAAGACGTAAAGTTACTGTATTTCAGTAGTAGCGGCAGTACCCACCTAATGTTACAGCCTTAGGCATCGTCTCTGCACTCCAAACCCTGGTCCGACCGCTGAGAGGCGCTAAAGATTTGGGGGGAGGTGCCGACTGCAAAAAACCAGGAGCTCCGCTCGTTCAATCTGATCCCCATTCACCCAGCCTCTCGCCATCAGGCACGGCGGACGTCGGTCACACACCTCTTCTCGTCCCCAACAAACACTTCCCACGATCCGGCCTGTGCATTCGCCCTCTGCTATTCCTGATATCTATTATAGCGACCGTACAACTTCGCAATCGGTACCGGTACTGGGCGTACCACATCTCAAGACCCTTTGGTCGCGGCTGAGGCATTTGGTGAACGGCTGAGGTGACTCGACTCGCTGCCCATCAATCGGCCTGATTTACCCCAGGCCGTCATTGAAACGCCCACGAATTCGGCTGCCTTCCATCATCTCCGTTTAACCTGAGCTTTATCATCCTTCTCTTTCTGCTCGTTCTTCATCGGTCGTTGGCGTTGATTCCCAGTCGACGTTTCTGAGGGTTGACGCTTAGCGAGTTTCGCCCTTCCGAGTCTTCAGAAGGGAGTACCAGGTACGCCGTGCTTGCGCACCCATTCTTCCTCCTGCAAACGAACGACTCGAAAGGTTTCATTTCCAACACTATCTCATCAACTTAGGCAGGAACGAAATATTCTCAACTCGCCGTCATAAGTCGCAGCAAATTCTGGTTGTCGCCTGTCCCACTGTCTTGCCGCAAGCCCACCTCTGAGATTGGTGGCAGGCGAGCCAAGATGAGGGAAGCGAATTTCAGCATACCCAATGTCAACAAGGCATCCGTGGGCATCACCACGGCCTTGTATGACCGACGAGCACTCGATTGCACATCCACTTTGCCCCTAATTAATTCGCTAAATCACCTTGCGTATCTCACCACGTCATCCGCTCGCATCCGCGACATCCTCACGGTCGATGGCGGCATCGAAAAGCTTGTCTGTATCCTGAAGCAAGGGCGCAGCAAAGACATGATGGACATGTGGAAGTGGAATCTGGCCTTTCAGTGCGTCGTCAACATAGGCGTTAGGGGCACAGAGGCTGTCCGGACCCGCGTCGTCGAGGCCGATATGGTCCCTGTGATTGCGACAATTCTTGACAATTACATCAAGGTCATCGAGAAACTCCGAGAAAAGGCAGAGGAGGCCAGAAGGGCGGAGCGTCACCGGCTCGGCGGGAGCAGCCGCGTTCATAAATCATCTAGTTTCTCTTCCAGGGCCGGGAACCTGGATGTGGACCAGCGAACATTTCGGCGGCAAGCACCTCCACCGTCGATTGATGTGTCTGCGGCCTTGGCCGGCCCGTCGACGGCGGTAGTCCATTCGAATGGTGATGTGACACCAACTGCGCCGCAGTTTCAAGTGACACCGCCGCCGGACCGGACCCCCTTGACTGCCGACATACCGCACCATCACGGCCGGCCCCATGACTCGCGCCACACGATTCCCTCTCCCCCTCCCTTCACTGCCCAGTCGCTCGCGCCTACCGTGCCATCCATGGATACCGCCGGCGGGTTTCTCAGGCCGATTCGGGACACCGATCGCCTCGTTGGCATGCTTCCGTTCCCTCGGTCGACGTTGGCTTCTCAACCCGCTTCGCCTACAACCCCTTTACCGCCCCCTCAGCTTCGGTCTCCCACCGTGCGACCCGCCTCCATCCTTGCGCCTTCGTTGCGGCCCCGAAGACGGCCGTCGATCCGCCACCAGCACTCGACCGGCGCCGAGACAGATGACATGAACGCCGATAGCATCGTGTCCGATGAGTCTCAGGATACCGAGATGTCTGGCACTGGAGATATGCAACCCGCCGTTGGCGTCCAAGAGATTACCGTAGAGGACGGTGAAAGCATCATGGGTGGTGGCGGAATCGAACTGACGACCCCTACTGTCTCCGAAACTCAAGAAGCCGGGACTTTCAACATTACACACCAAGGTCCAGTCGACGGCAGCGTTCCCACAAACAATACCCCCACGCCAGTCCCTACCATCGGCTTCTCTCCTAATCGACCCACTTTAGTGAGCCCGCCGCAACCGAGTTTGCCAAACGCCAGCGTCCCGCGTTATCTACTTGATCGCCAACTGAGCCCGAATCCTCAGTTGCTCGCTGCCATGCCGAGGGAAGAAGATGTGTTGATGTCGCTTCAGCTTCTGGCGTATGTTTCAAAGTATTGCAATCTCCGAAAGTATTTTCAAAAGAGTCACCTGGTTCCCAAACTCAAGATTGGGAAAGAGATCCGGCTTCTGGACGGTGTCGATCCGGCCGCCCTCGAGGCCGAACTGGAGGAAGACGATGAGACATGCGAGGAGGAGTACTTGCTCCCGAACGACCTGAACATTTTCCCGCTTGTGGAGAAGTTCACGATCCGGTACCACAGCACCGACATGCAATACTGGGCCGGGGTAGTTATGAGAAACCTGTGCCGGAAGGACGACACGCGCGGCGGCATCCGGCAGTGTGCCTACTACCAGTGCGGCAAGTGGGAAGAGTACACTCGGCAGTTTGCGAAGTGCCGCCGCTGCCGACGGACCAAATACTGCAGCAAGGAGTGCCAAAAGAGCGCATGGGCATACCACCGCCACTGGTGCATTGCCGCGTCACAATAATATGGAAAGCGCTTCTTTAAAATCATGGTCGTTATTGATACCCTTCAGGTTTTCCTTCCCTTTCCCGGAATACCTCTTTGCATGGCGTTATTCCATAATGTCTACTGGCAAACTTTTAGTTGGCTGGCTCCGAGCCTGGCATGACGAGACACTGCAAAGCAAAGCAGAGCAGAGCACTTCATCTCTGCCGCAGAGCACACGGCACATACACATACATTACATACTCCTTAACCCCGGCATGGCATGGATGGCGTTGCAACGATACCACGAGGATTCGGATGAGTCCTTCGAACATTTTCCACACGTCTCAAGACTTTTTGTGTTTCCTTGGTAAAGTTCATGGACCACAGACACATACTCGGCGGCCTCACGAATTGTATACGTTCCCTTATTTCACTCTCCTGTTTGTATGTGATTGTTTACCGCTTGAACCGGAGGGACTCGTCAACGGCTTTTCGAGGTCAAACTACTTCCGGTCGGTAAGGGTATGAAGTTCCGTGCTCGCCATCTTGGATTGGGTTGGATTGGATTTTGGGAGCGCGTCATCGGGTTCTGGCATGATAAGTCTCATTTAACCTGGAGCAAGCTGAGCCCTTGCCACTCTCCCTCTCTAGCAGCAGCAGCAGCAGCAGCAGCAATACTTAGCCGGCGTTCTTCTCTTTTCTTGTTCGTGTCTTCTCCTACTTTTATGACGATGCGATTGAGTTCATATATATTACGTTTCTTTTCTTCTTATGCCCTGCTATGATGGTGCGGGCTATGGTCGTTGGATGAATGAAATGAAAGGAGTGGTTTTCTTCCCTCTGTGCCGTGTCCACTCCTGTTTTGTGTCCTCTCTCGAGGTATGTTTGCGTGGGTGGGTTGAGTCTATGTGTCTGAGTGTTGCGATTCTAAGGGTAGGTGAGCCGCGCTGTACTTGCAACACTCTTGTGGCGGTCATGGGTCTGGACACCCGGAATGCTGATAAGCAAAACCGTGCCATGCCGACTATGGTGGGGATCTAACTGCCCCTGACTGTTGGTCAGGCTGGGTTGACTGACATTTGAAGCGGAGGGCGAGGAGGTTGGATGCTTTCCTCCGTCCATTGCCGTCCCAGGGACGAATATATCTTTTAATAAGGGGACTGGGATTTTCTGTTGGCAACTCCTTGTTTTTGAAAGATACCTGAACATGACCGATATGGTGACGAGGGGGCATGAACATGACGATAATCTTCGGAGCCGGTTTCTTCCGTGGTGGGCTGGCCTTCGGGGAACAGAAGAGCAGAGGAAGGGTAATAGGGGGTATATACCACATCTTATGTTGAGGTATTCCAATCCTGATGTGAGAAAGACCTGCCTGGCACGGAGAAACGATCAGAGGGAGTCGCCCGGGCTGTCTTTGGGAGACATTCCGCTACGACTTGAGCCTCGGCAGCGGTGGTGCGGCGAGCCTTGACTCAGAAGTGGTGAGAGAACGCCATGCCTCTCTTGGAGCGGGACGGACAACGAGCCGGCAGGATGGCGTCCGGATAACAGTATAGTAACTAGGGTGAAGGACCCGGCGTGGAAAGGAGACCGACCGTTTACGGCGTGGCTGTCGTTTACTCTGGAGTAACAGGCCAGATCGAGCATATGTTTCTTATTTACCTGGTGATACCATCACAAGATAATAGCATAGGTTTGCATCAACATTTCGAAACAATCAATTCCCCGAGTTTTTGTCCTACACTACATTGTCAGGGAAGCGTTGCTGGTGTTACCCCTGAATCGATTTTCTGCCCCCATCTTCTTTGTCAACATGGCCCGGGTGTGTGGGTCGAAAGGAGACAATGACGGAGGGTCTTGCTGCGTTTTCCAAGGATCCATTAGAGGTCTAGTCCAGTCAATCGGGGACACAAGGCAGGGATAACAAAGGTCCTAGGTATTCAGCCATACATTCCTGCGCCCTCGACAGGCGTTAGGAGTTCATGTTGAGTTGCTTGTTGTGACTCGGTGGTTGGCTGGGCCCATTCCACGCGCACAATTTCCGCATGCAGAGTTATTAACATAAACAGACGAAACACCCTTGCCTCTTGCGCATCGAAGCAATTAGCTCCATTTCCGCCACCCTGTACTCCGTACACTTACTCCCTTACATCTTCTACCTCTTCGCAGCCATTGCCTTCCTCCGACTCTTACCCGGCCGCGGCGCCTTCCCAACCTTCTTAGTGGCACTCCCGCCACTCTTCATCCGCTTGGCGCTGAAGCCGCTGAGGTCACCCGAGGACATGGCATCGCCAGACTTGGAAAAGCGCTTCTTGCCGCCAAACCCGTACTTGGCGTTCTTCTTTTGCCGCTTAGGATTGGGCTGGCCGTGATCCCCGGCGGAGCGCTTCTTGGAGGACTTGTTTGATTGCGAGGCAAGCTCGTTGTCGACTGCTACATCGAAAATATCGTCCGCCTCATGAGTGCCCAGGGCGGAAGACCCGCCTTCTTGACGTTCTGTGGGTAGCACAAGTTAGCACCGAGGCCATTAAACGAACCATGAAGCATGACAAATAAATCAGATGGGATAACGTACTCCGCTTGAGCAGGTTGATCTTGTCTAGAGCCTCGCGCTTCTGCTTCGCTCGCTCCTGCTGTTTCTGGACCTGAACTTGCTTGCCAAATTTCTTGAGGTCGCGCTGCTTGCGCGCCTCGGCAGCTGCCTTCTTTGCCGTCGCTTCCTCGATCAACTTCGCCTTGACCTTCTCCATGGTTGCGTCGCTCCGGACCGTCTCGGCAAAGTAATCTGTCGGCCGGGTGAAGGGGACTCCCTCCTTACGCAACAATGTGCGCGCCTGTCGCGCTGCCTCGAGCGATTGATTCACAAAAGCCAACTCGCGCTGGAGGTCATCCTCGACAGAGGGAATTGACTCCTCTGTACGCTTGGAAGAGACGACGGATTGGTGGAATGCGAAGGGAACGGTTTTGGGGTTGGTGTCGAGGGCGAAGCGCCGGAGAGCGGCAAGCAGCCCCTCCTTGTTGTAGATTGTCTGTCGCGTGCGAGTTCCGGCGGCGATGTTTTCTTCGTCTTCCTCGTCCAAGTCGGAGATGAGCTCGTCCACGTCAATTTCTTCCTCCTCTTCTTCCTCTTCAGCGTCATCTTTGTCTTCCCTGTCGCCATCTCCATCGGATCCAAGCTCTGATTCCGAGTCAGAATCGTCTATCCCTGCAATGTCGATGCCCCCTTGATCCTCATCGTCCTCGCTATCCTCTGATTCGCCATCCTCATGGCTTGATTCTTCATCTCCGTGCTGCCGATTGTCTATCTTGCTGCCATTGCTTTTCGGTGCCACCTTCTTGTCGTCTTCGCTATCTTTGTCCTCCCATTGTTCCTCGTCGTCCACTATCCCCCCACTAATGGACTTCTTACCCTTCTTTTGGTCGCCTTTTCGCTCTTTTGACTTTCTGTCTGTGACAGATTGCTTTGCCTTGGGCTCTGCGTTGAGGGATTGTGTCGCGCCTTTCTTAGCCATCTTTTGTTGGTAGTGGGGAACGACGAAGGGAGTTTGGTATAGGACTTGCAGCTTTGTCGCCGAAACTTTTTTTTGAGTCTGAGGATTGCAGCTGAGCGATAAGATTAGATATGAGATAACGAAGGACGAAGCTTATCAGCGGGGCACTTTTCCCAATTCCCATGCCAATGAAGATCTCCGAGAACGTAGTCACGTGGCTTTCATGTGATGCGATCAAGTTCGGTCCTGAACGTCAAGTCATTGAACGGCTTCCAACTTTCGTCAACACCAGAGCAAAATCTGGAGGCCACATTTGGTGCCAGGCAACAAAATTCACTGTCCCGCCCTTCCTCAGGCTTACCCCCCGTCTTTCCCACTTGCTCGGTCACCCTCAGGAATTGTAACAAGATTGTCTGCAGAACTTCACCGTGGGTTGCCCGCATGGGTATCACTAGTACGGATACTCTAGGCTCATATCGATCACTACCTCCTTCAACCTCCTTTGGTATCTACCCTATTTATAGTCGTGATCGAGAAGGTACTAGTATACACCAGACAGGAGCTGTCTAGAGGAAATACTCAAGCGAATGGGTATTCCCACCTGCCGATATGCTGGCTTAACTGGGCCAAATAGGTGCAAAAAAAAAAATAAAATAAAATCGAAAGTTCCCTTGATTAACGCAAAGCTGAACAATTATCAGGCACATGCTCACAGATTCTGATCACACTCATCATCTAAAGCAGCACCACTCACTCAATGTTGAGAATCATGCAGTCACCATCATCAAAGACAAGAGATTTGGTCAACTCGGCCTCGGATTGTGTATACTAAATCGGATGCCCGAAGAAGTATCGACAAAAAGTACAGTCAAAGAGACAGCCCATAACAGCCCTCAAAACCCTCCTAGATCCTTCCCTTCCATGTCCCCCATCGTCCCCACTATCTCCCAGTACAAATGCAAATGAAACTATTCAGATCCAATCAAGCAGCGCCCACCAACCTCCTTTCCCTCTTGTGTCTCTCCCCAAAATGGAACAAGAAGGTCGCGAATCTCCTCGTCCCATCGCCGGCATTGGGAAGGCTCAAAGCAAGATAGAAGATGCTGAAAAGGCGCTTGATACCTCAACTTGAAGTGGCGATGCCGAGTATCCGTCCGGAAAAAATTGCCCTGCGTATTGTCCATGCACCGAGGATCTGAATCATCCGTCCTGAGAGTTTGGCGATCGGATGGAAAAACACCGAAGATCCAGATCATATGGGAAGTGCCGAGAAGCGTGCCAGGGAGCCCGTTTCAACTGTAGCGTTGTTGTAGAAGTGTATGTGCCCCGAGGAGCAGTCTAAAAGAAGAGGGTTTGAGATGGAAAAAGGCCGAGACCGAATTGACTTTGGTGGTTGGGTTCGGCAAGACACGACGAGGCATCTCCCATCTCTCCCGCCCCGCAAAGTTGTGACTTCGTAGTCCTGAGAGGAGAGCAGAACGAGTCAAGACAACTTTGAAGGGTTGGGTTTGACTGAGAAAGGGGAGTTGTCGGTCGAGATCAGATGGAAAGATGACAGAGAGGACCCGTCTTTTAACTCATGCCGATCGGCTGGATGCCCCGTGTGATCTTGACCTCCGGGAGGCCCCGGGTTGTCAATTTACATGACAATGCAGTAGGGGTTGAGGTTGGTCTTGGGGACCTGAACTTGAGTGGTGGAAGGCATGTTGATTGATTGGTTTGATGGTTCTGTGTGAATCAGAATATCTTGATGAGGAGAGAGAGGAAAGTCGGCTTGAGGATGGAAAGGATGGTGCTTATTATACTTTTTTTCCCTGGCCAGCTTGACTCGAAGTCCTCGGCGCCGTTGGCATTCGTGACCATGCCTGCAGGTCGTGGCACCATTCGGATCAAACTACGCACAATAGTAAGCAAGTGCGTGCCTTTGACGTTTTTGATTCTTTGGCCATGAAGATCCTTCCTGGATAAAGACATGCCTCACTCCCCGAGTCCCAGTGTCCGACTCTTAATATTGTTCTCTTCATATTGTCCCTTGGAGGACAAGGGAATGTCAGGGAGGAACGGAAAGTGATGCCATGTCGGACAACGAATGGGAAACTTTGACATGTTTACATCGCCAGCGATTTCTTTTTTCGAATGTTTTTGCTTCATTCATTCCCCTGGACATAGGGTCTGTTTGCTTTGAGACGGTGATAGAGATGCTCGAGTTGTTGTGGCGTTGGGCTTAGTATTGTTCCCCCTGACACCTTAGTATTGTTTATCCCGCCCCTCCCTCTGCCACGAGGGCCACGAGGAGTTTCCAACGAATGCACATTCAAATCCCGAGCGAATAAGAATCGAGTTACGCTGTTCCTGACCCTGATGAGAAAGAAAAAAGCCATGTGGCTAGGAATCTGGCAAGCACAAAGCGGAGGACTTGACAGGGAGAATCTAGAAACTGGCAACCTCTCGGTCCCAATGAGTGAATGCTCTGGTAAAAAGAGCACAAACATGGCCTCACCGATTCTACCGCCACATAACTCGACTCAAGGTCTCGAACCACTTAGAATCGAGTGAAAGGAAGCCTGTTTGTGTCAGTATTGATCGCGCAAAACTGGACGCTGCGGGTGGAAGGAGGGAGAAAGTCCAGACCAGTCCTGGGCGGAAATCAAAAGGAAGCCATGACAGAATCATAGGTATGAATCAAGAGCCCGAAAGGAAACCACAAGTCAAACTGTCAAAGCAGGTGGCTGGGGACAGGAGGAAAGAGATGAACAGGGAGAATAGCGCAAGCGGAACCGAGCGTACCATTTTCCCTTGAGGGTAATCACGACCCAGCTGGCACCGCTTTCATCCACCTCCTTCTCCACCTTGCTGCTGAAGCAAATGGCGCTCATGATGCCGTCGCCAAACTTCTCGTTCATGACCGCCTTGAAGGCATAGCCGTAGTTTTGCACAATCTCATACAGTCTGTAGATGAGGGGCTCGACGGGTGGCATGGGTCCCGCGCGGCCACGATCAGGGAAGCCCATCATGCCGACAAGGGCCTCGGGGGACATGTCCAGCAACCTGGACAGCTTCTCAACGTCCTCGGGCGAGGCCTGTGCTTGGCCATAGAAGAGGGCCGCCACGGCGACTTCGCTTCGTCCAAGTTGCCGCGCAATCTCCTCAAAGGTGAGGTTCTTCCGCGTCTTGGCCTCAAAGAGTGTCGGCGCAAAGGAGGGCAGGCGGCTGACGATGGAGGACTATGTTGCAATGATACTCAGTGCTTCTATGCTCCCTTATTCCGGGCCGCATACAGGGCAAATAGAGTACCTACATCGAGGGATGCGAGTTTCTGTTGGTCTGCCATTCTGAATACAGTGGAGAGTAGTTGAGCGGTTCTCAATTTCAGCGTCCTTCCAAGGTCTGTATGAGAATATGTGAGTTCATCCAGGCATGAGATATATAGCCCCGATATCCCCGCTTCCCCCTCCCACTCTCTGCCGCGGTACTGTATTGATTGCTGGACGTCATGGAGCTGCAGGTGGACCCCACTACCGGCTCTCCGGGCGATTTCTCTATCCCCGCAGGAGATAAATCGGAGACTCGGGAAGCTTTGGAGCTACACCAATAGGCTATAGCTGACCACGCACAAGTATCTGTCCGGCCGGACTGACTCGGACCTAGTGCCGCAATCACGCTTCGTTGGGCCATCTCAAGATCTGCGGTCTACCCTCCGTGGAGGGGCACCTTGGGTATCAAATGTAGATAACTACTTGCTGGAGACATCCTCCAGGTTCAGAAGGTTCCTGGCCTCGCCCAGTCTTCCTTCGTAGCCGCCTCCAAATCATCAACATTCAGCATGTCAAGCCCCTCGTCGACAAGAACTTTCCAAACATTATTCCTCACGTGAATTGGCCATCCAGGCAGTTCCCAGTACCGCGCCTTCAGCCCCCGACTGTGCGCCTCGCTGATATGGGCCCTGATCTTTGCCAGCTGCTCGTCGCTCGGCGACCCTTTCCACCAAACACCCCCAATGGCCTCCATGAAAGAGGTGCTGGCGTAATACGAGTTGGTCGCGTCGTAGGTCGAGTTCTCAAGGCGGTCCAGGGGCGCATCGAAGAAGGCATCCCGGTATGTTCCGTTTGCAACTATCTGGTCGAAAGGCGTGTTGCCCGTCCCGACCACGGTGATGGGGCCTTGATGGAATTGCCCGTTCTCGGAGTAGCTGAGCCATCCCCTCTCGCGCAGCGGCTCAAGCTGTTCCGTGACCACCGGCCATGTTTCTGGCCCGGCAGTCTTGAGGTCGATCATGAGGACCAGGGTCTGCGATGGATTGGTGTCGAACACGCCATTCCCATTTCCGTTGTAGAATTCCGTCTTGGGATTCATCCTGGTGAGGATATCGACTAGAGGATTGACATAGAGCGACTGGAACGTGCGGTTCCGTGTCAGCGACGCCGTGTCATGGCCGACGAGAAGGTCGCCGTCGCGCAGCCAAACGTCCGCCTCAACGCCGGTGCAGCCCGCGTATAGCGCTGAGAAGAGCGGAACCCTGCGCCAATAGTCGTTGTGAGAGTGGCACGGAACGGGCAACACATCTCGCAGAAAATCGGTAGGATACCACGCTAAGCCGTCAGTGCCGGTACCTGGCTTGCCCCAATTGGCAAAAGGGTCCTCTTTGTTGTCGCGTCCACTGAGCACACGGCGGTTAACTTGGTTACCAAGGCTCAAGGCCAGGACCAGCGCTCTGTACACCTAGTTAGTGTGAATGCCAGCTGAGATCTGCACTTGGTCTAAACATACAAGACCACTAAACCGCATATTATGGCATATACGCTCCGTGGCAGTTTCGTCCTGGGCTTTTGTCGAATAATAGGGCCGTCGTCCCGTAGCGCAAGGTCCCCACCTTCCTCGACGTCTCCGGGGATGGCGATGTATTCGGACTGTATGCCCGACTTGGGCTCTCTTGAAGTCCATAAACTCATGGTGGGATTTCAGCTGGGCAGCGGGACAACGAGATGCCAAAAGACAATCGTTCGGGGCCGTATGCCGAGTAAACCACGGGCTGGGCGTTGCTCTTTTATTAACAACGACCATTTGGGCTCGGTACTTCACCCCGGCCAGACCCACCAGCCGACACGGCGATTCATGCGGCGCAGCGGGAGATCACGTTGCCGGGAATTGCGATCCGATTTGCGCAGATCCGGCCCGATAAACGGCGTTCCTAAGCGACCGGTTTAACCCCGCCCACGCTGATCTCTTCCGCCGGCCAACTGGTGCAAGTTTCCATGCGACGTTATTTCTAACTGAGGCGATGGCCATGTCGCGTAATTAACTGCTACCCTGGGTAGGTACTCCGTACTTTCTCTATATGGCAGGTCAGGATTGCACATTGCAAGCTGTTTAGCGCTACTCCGTGGATAGACTTGATTGTAATCTTGAATCCCAATTTCTTAGTACTGTCCCGATGGTTTCACCAGAACTACATGCGATGTGCTTCAAGTTGAGGACTCCGTCGTATGTATCCGTAAACTCGAAAATGTATTGTACTGTATGGATCTCCATCGGCTGATTCGGCTCAGATTTGTTAAGCAGATGGACTGGGATGTGGACAGGGACCAAGTGCTTATCTTATCTTAGATGCAGTGGGGAAATTTTCCGCAGGATCTCGTCCCTTGATGAGCTGCTGCTTGGTTACGAGAGCAATCTCAACACTATCTACCTTCGCAGAGACATCAGGAATCTGTACAGCCACCCGAGGGTCGTTGATCAATATGCCGCACAAACATACCCGGCGAGAAAAAAAAGAGTCAGAGTAAGTTGTCGCTATTTGTTCGAACTATTGCGTTCCATCTCTGACAGCGGGCAGCTTCGAACTTCCACCGACTCAAATCGCCAAACCACTCCCGCCGTCAATCAGTTCAAAAAAGAATGCGGAGCAGAAGAAAGCGAATGAGCCACAAAAGAAGAGCGCCCTCAAGAGGAAGCGCAGCGACGCCAATACGGACGATGCGCCTCGCGCCTTCAAGCGCCTGATGGCTTTCGCCCACGGCAAGAAGCCGAGATCAGGCCTGGATAATGGTGATGCGCCGGAAAAGGGCAGGAGCAAGAGCAAAAAGAAAGGCAACGCGACAGGTAAAGGGACAGCAGACACTGCAGCAACTTCGGAAACCTCACCAGCCGAAGACCTCAAGATTAGGCCAGGGGAGCGGCTCTCGGAATTCAGCCAGCGTGTGGACGCTGCGCTGCCCCTTAGCGGACTGGTTCACAAGACGGTCAAGAACGGCAAGGACCCGCTTGGGCTGAAGGTTAGGAGGACAAAGAAGGAGAGAAAAATGCAAAACATGTACGCGGAGTGGCGGGCCATTGACAAGAAGATCCAGGAGAAGCGGGAGGAGGAACGGGAGTTGGCCGAGGAGCGAGAGATGGAGAATGAGGCTCTTGGGGTATCGTGGAAGCTGGAGCTTGAGGCCCAGGGGAAGAAGAAGAAGAAGGGGAAGAGGGCCAAGTATATTGGCGAGGCGGGAGGGCCAGAAGACGATCCCTGGGCGGAGATTGTGAAGAAAAGGGGTGAGGCCAGGGTTGGTCTCAACGATGTTGCGCATGCTCCGCCGGAACTGAAGCTTCCTCGGAAGAACACATTGGTGCGTGGCGCGGCCGTCGCGGTGGATGAGATTCCCAAGGCTGCGGGCAGCCTCCGGCAACGAGAGGAGCTGCAAGGCATCCGGCAGGAGGTGGTTGCTTCGTACAGAAAGATGATGAGTGAAAGGAGGCCTGCAGTGGTTACTTGAGCGAAAAAGCTGGAACAAACATATCTAGCGAATGCCCATTGTGTTTATGAAGGGCAGCAGCTACTGTGCCTGGTAATTAGATGACTCAGACATGCTTAAGTGCCTTCGTACAGCTGCCTGCTTCTGGGAGGGTTGCTGCGAAAACATGATACAGGGCTGACACCTTCCATCCTTCCAGTAAGCCGACAATCGAGTTGAGAGCCTTTTCCGATTCGGCCACAAGTCTACATCATTATTTGATTGCGCGAAATGGTTTGAAATGAGGAAAGGGTGCCTCTTATCTGTGAGCACATGCAAATACAAAACTACAAGTGAGAGTACCAAAGTACCTGACACCCCACCTTTCGCTCGATCAACCCTTCTGCCCCTCCACCAAACCCAAAATCTTCAGGATCCCCTCCATTTTCAATCTCCGCCACTATCATTTTACGAACACCCGGGTTCGATTCCGACATCGACTCCCCATCAGCCAAATTTTCTTCCCCTAACAATGAAGCCAGCAGCATCCCCATAATGAGCGGAGTCGGCCTTGAGGTCCTCTTGGAGGATCTGATCCCCGAGATCGCGTATTCTGGAGAGAAAGGTGAGTCTAATTCCTCATTGTATCTACCATTCGCTGTCTCTCTGAGTTTTACTTGGCGGAAGGCCTCTTCTCCAAATGAAGCATGTTCAGTTTTGTCAATGGATTCGCCTTCCAAGTTGCCGGTATTTATATGCCATCTGTATTTCCTGTTGACCACTGTCTCAAGTCATTCATCGCTCTAAGTTGGTTCGCCGGAGCGTTGCAAATGTAGTTTACGATTGGCCGCAGAAAGCACCCCTGCATAAATGTTGACAGTGAGACACAAGGCTAACATTTTGTCACCAAGGAATCACAATATCTGAGCTGCTGAGACTAGTTCGCCAGTACCATCAGAGTGTCATCCCTGAACAACATGGGGCGACTCTCGACGATAGGTCTAAGGGGCTGCAAGGGGTCGATGAGCCCGCAAACCTCGAGAGATCCCTAACGGACGCCGAGATGGCCTCAGCCCGTTGGGCCTGGGACTGGCTGCGTTCTCGTCCACAAATTCTCATCGGTGGCAACAAGCGATGGAATCGCCTCGAGCTAAGTGAAGCGCTTGCCTTGCCGGAGGCCGTAACAGCTGGCGAAACGGAAGAGCTAGCATCGGGAGAGAAAAGCGGGGCACGGGATGCGTCAGTCTCGGCAGCCGGTCGCCAGGCGAACAATCGAGGGTCTAAAAAGGTGCTTACCACGCGACCCAGGATACAACCCTCCGAGGAGCTCGTGTGGCAGACCTTGGCCCATCATGGCGTGGATTACAAGCGTGTGCCCGCGCTTGAATGGGCCTGTTTGCAAGGGATCGCAACCGCTAGGGCTGAGGGTATCCTTCAAAGCGATCTTCGCCGCTTGGTCAACCAGGACAAGCGCTCGCTGCCGAAGCGGACAGACCTGCTCGCCCGCAAAGGCTACATCGCCAAAAGAACAGTTGTTGTGCAGAAGATGAAGACCAGCAGGCTGTGGCTGATCGATTTTGCTCCTCCACTTGTCGAGGAAGAAACATGCGGGCTTGACCTGTCGCCCGAGAGTTTGACCAAAGACTTGGAACCCGTTCCATGGCATAAGCGCTGGACCGGAAACAACATCGACATGGACGCCCTCGGTAGGACCGTTGTGGGCGTTGTCAAGGCTTGGACCGTCATCCGGTACTCTGATCTGAGGACCAAAATGGGTGTTTCGGGCAAACGATGGCAAATGAAGACCCTTGCCAAGAACTGCCAGCGTTTGGTCGACATGGGCGTGTTCAAGTACACAGCTGCCTCTTTCCCGGGATCATCACGCAAGGTGTTCAAAGACTGCCTCAAGTTCGTGAGAGAGCCAAGTGCAGAAGAGTGGGACAAATTTCTCGCCACAGGAAAGAAGACATCCCAATATTCGGATCCTACCCGGCATCGGGAGCCGAAACCAAATGCCCTTGCGCTTTATGGCAGATCGGGAGACGGTGAGCAGAAGAGCGGCGACAGTCGGTCCAAATTGAAGCGTATCTTCAGTGGTTGGGCCCCAGAGAAGCCTATTGCTCAGAGTGTCTATGAGGTTATACGGAGGGCTGGTCCTGAAGGGGCTTCGAATCCTCAAGTTAGCGTAGCTACAGTCGGCTACCAGCATCGACGGTATCTTTCAAGTTACCTTAGTAAAGTTGCTGAAACCCAACAGCCGCCGCACCTCAAGAAATTTCAAATCGTCAGCAAGCTTGTACGTACGGGGAAGACCTCTGCCTACATGTTTTCGGTACCGGCGGCAGAGTCACCGCCGAACCAAGCTGGTCACTCCACAAGCGCCGGAGAGGGTGTGAGCCAGGAGCAACCGGCGTCAATCGACGGCTCATCGACGTTTACTGGCACTGATCCGTATGGTTTTGGAGCTGTTAAGCCTAAGGCTTTCGCCGACGCGAAGGATCTTTCGCTCTCGGCCCTGTCTCAAATCGCCAAGAAGTCTAGGTCCTCCTCCAGACGCAAACTCCAGGCGGGCTCGCGGTTACAAAGGGCAGCTGATGCTGAGATCGCCTCAGGGATTACTCACCAGGCCAATTCCGAGCTGACCGGTCAAGGAGATCAACATCCAGCGACCGCGCCTGGTCAGGCTCCGAAGCGGGACTTTGACGAGGCATTTGGGAATCACGGACCGGCTGAGTTTGACCTGGCCAAGCCCAACCCTAGCGCAGAAACACCATCTTCATCTGTAACCTTCACCTCAGTCAATCAAGCCAACCAGCCGCCCAGCAGCGGTGCTGCAGACTTGGAACGAGAAGACCTTGTGATGGCAGTCAGATACAACGGCGGTCCCGGAAAGTTGCGACTTTGCCGTTCAGACAACTGTCTCAGTTTTGTCAAGGGCGGGAGAGGGGGGAATAGAAAGCCTGTCACTATTCCCCTCAACGTTAATTTTGAGGAAGTAGCTACGCGGGATGCCCCCGAGGGCAACGAAAAAAGCCTGGTTTTCATCATAGGTCCTAAAGATGACACTTCTCCCTCTACATACATTTTCACCTTCGACGACAACGATGCCGAGGTTCGGGACACAGCAGCGGCGATTATGCGTGAGGTTAAGATGATCAATGCACCTCCCAGCACCGAACCTGATCAACGCGATGAACAGCACGCACCTCAAGATGATTCGGTAGCTGAGTCTGCTCCACAAAACCTTGGGCCTGCCCGAGGTAGAGGACGTGGCCGTGGTGGCAGCCGGGGTAGAGGTCGGAAAGGACAGCGGCTCGCCGGCGGAGCAAAGCCCTGGATTTGCCCGACATGCGGCGGCTCCTGGAAAAATGACCTCGGCTTGAAATACCACCTGGAGAAAGCTCAAGTTCCCTGCAACCCCAACTTCGACCCTGCCTCGTTGCTTGAGCGGTCTCGCAAACGCCGTAAACCATCACCCCCACCACCGACTCCTTCTGCGCATTCTGAAGTAGGGGATGAGGGCACTTTGGACCGCTCACGACTGGCCCGCAACGCACGGAAACCTCAGAAAGATGGTGCTCGCCCGGCGCTGAAAATTCGCGCTGCCATGAGGTCACTACCGGGCCGCGCCCAGCAATTTCGGGGCCTTGATTTCGCAGAGGTTGATGTTGATGAGGAACCTGAGAGCCGAGTCCTGGAACAAAGCAGGCCTATGCCGAGGACTGTTTCCTTGCTCCCTGCCGGTCCTGGCGCTAACGCAGAACCTGAGTCGGTAACTCCGACCTTGGCCGGGAATATTGTCTTTCCTGCAGAACGCTCAGTCACTGAGGGGACCAAGACCTCGTTGGATAGTAATGCTCCCGCTCCAACCCTTTTGCGCACAATACAACCCTCCCAGTCTATTGTGCATGATGACAGGCCCCAGCGTGACACGTTGGCCGAGGACCGAATTCCAAGGGCTCCTCTTCCCGGCCACATGGAATCTCAGCCCCTGACTCCTTTGCCAACCCCCAGGGCAGCGGCTACAAGGCCAACAAAGCCTACAAAGCCACAAAAGGCTGATGGTGCATTGAGAGCGGGTTTCTCCTCTGGAACTATCCCATCACATAGCGCCCCTGTCAATGAGTTTGACGTGCGGCGTACAAATGGAACCCTGTTGCCGCATGGGTCTCGGGACGCGTCACCAACAACGGGAGGATCCCCCGTGTCCGGTCGGATAGAGCGTTCAAAATGCGAGTATCCGGAACCGCCCTCCGAAAGAAACGTGAAGGGGACATGGGCGTCCCTCGATTCTCATGATGAGAATACGGTTGCTAGACCATTCGTGCCTTCTTCAGATTATGATCTCATGGCAACAGATGCGAAGAGACGAACCGCCCAGGCATTTGACATCATCAACTATCTGCTGGACAACAATGGCGGCGTGTTTCCCGGCGACAAAGCCCTGTTTTATGCTCTGACCAAGGTCTTCTTGCAGGAATTTAGGAACCAGATGCCCCCTACCTGGAAAAACTGCCAAACTGCGGTCAAGGCATTGGAGACTCGTAAGCTGGCGACTATGCACACTCACATGTTGAAGACGGAGAGGGGAAGGTTGCAAACGTGCACTTTATTGATCAGATCGGGCGTGGACCCGGCCGGGAGGATTCCCACTTTGATGAAACATAAGATGCGGGAAACTTATCCGCGCATCTACATACCGACTGCGTTTTCCCCCACTCAAGAGGAACTGGCCTTATTACAAGAGCTCGATAAGAAACCGTCGAGTTCTGGTAAGGATCGGAAACAGAACGCGAACGGCCAGAAGTTCCGCAGCAAGCGGCAGATTGATGACATTGCAGTCTTCAACGCACCTTATTACACTCAGAGTGCCCCTGTCGCAGGATCCAAGAAAGATCCTCTCTGGATCCGTGAGTCTGAACAGCTTCGAAAAGACGGTTCCGATAGCCGAAAGCGATCGGCAGCCGACGATCCAAGTTCCCCTTCCTTCCAGAAGCGCGCAAGGACTGGCTTCCAGGAAGCTTCGACAGGGCCAAGGAATTGGGGACATACAAATCAGTATGACGACGATATACCTGTGGATCCTAAAATCATGGGCCCAGTCCCTAATCCACCCTCTCCGTCTCATGGACGCTCTTGGCTAGGCGATGCATATCCCCGATGGGAAGCTTCCGAGGGTTTCGAAGACGACATTTCGTCCCCCAAAAGGCCCATCTCTGATGCCCGGCGCAAATACAGGGTATCTTCAGTTTTCCCGGAAAGGGATTTCACCACATGGGACAAGGAGCCCCCGTCTGTTGTTGAAGCGATCAGGGCGTACAGTCTATTGCCTTCAATAGGGTCTCGCAGGGCGCGCAGACTATCCGCCGCGCTCAAGCCCATGTCCAAATTGCCGCCAGAGCTTGGGAGGATAAGAAATCCTGGTTTGTCTAGTTTGCCAGCTTCTTTCTTTGCCATTGGCAAGGCCGGGCTCGTTCGACCAGCTCCAGCTGAGGTTCAATTCCTGGGACCCAGCACCAACCTTGACGATGGCGCCAAGGATGCCGTAGAAGACCAAGAGCGAATGCAATTCACGGATTCGACGATCAACGAAGATGTTACTCCTGATCAAGTTGGAGTCGAGCAGTCTCATGCAGCCCCCGGGGAAAGCCATGCAGCATCCCAAAAGTTCCGGTTTGTCTTGCCTGCTGTTCTCAATGGCTCATCAAGCGATTCCTGGTCAAGCCTAGAACCTGTTTTCGTTGAGCATTACGCTACCAGTGTCACGCTTGACGGCCGGTTGCCACCTGACAAGTACCTTTTAGCCCAGGACCTCCGCTCGAGCATAGAGGAAATGGCTCAGAAGCTAGAGGCCGAGGAGACTGGAGCGGATTTCTGGGTTGACAAAGAATACGCCAAGTTCTGCTCCCTGATCAACAGGATCGCAGCCTGGGAACAATCTCAGAACGTCCCGGGGCTTCTGAATGGGGATCTTGCGATGGCCGATCACCTCTACGTCAATGTGTGTCCGCCAAACTCGAAGACCATGTCAGCTACCCCGAGATGGTCAGAGGAGACGCAGTTTGACGTCGAGACCCTCCCTTATGAAGACCTAGAGGATGATACCTATCATGATTACCTGTTTGCCGGAAACAGATTGGGGAGAGCTCCGAGAGATTCCGGCCAGGCACACAAGAAGCGTCGCGTGCACAAAGCGGAAGTGAATCAGGTGCGGAGAGTTCAGGGAAGACCTCCGAAGTTTAAACTGCAAGCTACAAAGACGATGCGCGAACACACTGCCTATCCGAAAACGGCCGACGATTTCCTGAGGGCTCCTGGCGACGAGAACGAAGAACTCGACTGGTCCAGCGAGAATGTTCGGTTGGCTGCATTTGTTGTTGTCACCACGTTGCTCGGGGGTGTCGACAGGGTCGTGGATTGGGGCTTAATGCTCCGACTCATGCCTGATCAAACGTAAGCGACCCCGATCCATATGTGGGTAATAACTGACAATAGGACAGAATTAGCCAGCTCCGGCATTATTGGGGTGGTCTGAAGAAGGACCGCCAATCGACCATCGTTAGCTTGGCTGACAAGTTCCGGCGCGCGTTCCTCGAGGCATACGGGAACGAGATCCCGCCCATCAACTTTGATGACGTGCTGTCGTACGACTGGAAGGGCCTGATCAAATGGACTATCAGTCTCGATGGAACTGAGCGACGGACACTCCCGTCAACACGCACCGCATTGGATGAGAAGTTCACGCTGCGCAAGTTCAAACACGGGAATCGTGAATGGAGAGAGGCCTACTATCACCCACAGCGGTCTGTATTCAACAGATTCCAGGACGCGACATCCGAAGCCCTCGCCTTTTCGGTTGATGACACAGCCGACCGGAAACCGAGCCTTGACATGGTAGTTGCCATGTCTTGGACGCGGTCGCTGTGTGTGACACCTGTCGAGGCATACTCGGCCGATGCCGTCCTTCACAGGCGAAACAGCCTTTACCCCAAGTTAAGCAAAACCGAAATTACTGAACTGATCATCAAGGGTGTCGATCAGCTTCAACGTCAGGGCGTGATTTCCAAATCGTCGTCAAAATGGTCCAATGGCCGTCGATGGCGGTTCAATACCCGGGTGCTTGATTCCCTCGACAAAGTAGCACAGCAGGAAAAGTTTGCCAAAGCTGTCCAGTTCAAGAGAGAGCTTGACCAGGCATTCCGAGAGTCTGAGGGCGAGAAGAAGAAGCGCGTCACCTACATCACAAACGACGGCATGATCATGGCCCTACTAAACCTGCAAGCCAGCGGGCGAGTCAACATTGAGACCACGGGCCAGCCTAACGTTCCCTTGGGCCACGAACCGTTGAATTACGAGACGCGCAAGTACACGAAGAAGTACCTCCATTTCCGTCTCGACATCGTCCCGACCGAGTCGTACCTCTATGACGACGATGAGGAGCTCGCAGACCTTCGGCGCCGCATAAGAGATGCAACACCGCCGACGAGGGGCCCTGGAGGTGCAGTACCAGTCTGGTGTGATGTCTTTGGCAAGGTGGACACGGACAGATGGCTCAAGTACCTTAGTGCGGTGCTGATCACGCTGGCGTCGCGCGGCTCGATGCCGGCCGACGAGCTTGTCAAGACCCTGAAGCCGGTTATCATGCTGTTCGAGGCGGAGCTGATTATGGAGTGGGCCGAGAAGTTGGGGCTGCTGAAAACGCAAATTGAGGGGACGGCGCTGGCGGTGATGGAATGGTGGTGGATTGCGGTCGAGGCGCAGAGAGAGGGACCGACGGCGCCGAGGCCGAGGAAATCGTTGCCATCGTCGAGGCCGAGTAAGGTCGTCGAGGGGGGAATGTCGTAGACGTACAGGAGTTGGGTCAAGGAAAAGGGCTACATGAAGTTGGGCGATGGTTTGGAATGGTTTATTCGCGTTCCATTGTTGCGCTTTTTTAAGTCGGCTGCTTTCAAGGCGAGAGGCATCCTAGGTATCAACAAGGAGTGCGGCTTCACAGCGGTTGGGTTAGGGAGCTACCGGTAGGCCTTATACCCCCTCTTGGGTGCTCAACGGCATAAGCAGGATTAAGCATGGCAGCATCTGGAGATTAGTACTATTTTCCCATTTAAGTTATCCGGACGAAGAGATGACGGGCCAGGATCAATCCTCCCCCTAAGAAATATCTGCTATAATATCGACAAGCTGGTTATTGAACAATTGTGAGGGCCATTGCTGTCTATCCGAACGCCCCGACGCCATCTCAGAGAACATGCCATCCTAACCCACCCTAAGGAACGATGTAGTTTCGCCGACCCAGAATCTTATATCATCATGACCTTGGCCACCACGGCGGCCAACAAGATAGCCACAGCAATGATCAACCGGTCCAGCCATACCTCATCACCGGAGGTCCTCCGGTCAACCATCTGCAACTGCTGCGTTGTTGAGTCAGCACCGCCACGAGTTGAATTCGGTGGTGCTGGAGTCGGCGGCACTCGAGGCGGCATCGAGCTCGACGTCGTAGGCTCGGTTACCGGCGCGGTTAGCGCAGTCTGCACGAACCCCTCCGCTAACCTTGCGCTCTCTTCATCATCATCATCCGCCACCTCCTCTTTTCCCTTCCCCTTTCCCTTCCCATTTTCGCCCTTATCCCCCGGATCCCGCGTCATCTCATCCCGCCACCCCATCTTCAATTCCTCCGGCACTTTAACCTCCTCCTGCCTCCCCTTACCCACATTATCCCCGTGCACCTCCTTACACCTCTCCTCAACCTCAGCCATAATCTCACCATTCGTCCGCCCCCCGCACCCCGGGCAGCGCCAGGCGCTGCTCTCGCGGGCGAGGCGGCGGCGCACGTCGTCGCTGGCCTCGAGCCCGCCCAGCTGGCCCTTGACGTCCGTCTCCATGAAGCTGCGCAGGGCCACGAGCGCCGTGCGCACCCCCCACGCGGGCTGCCACGTCTCCTCGTGGTGGCCCGAGATGCTCAGGCAGATCTCGCGGTTGGTCTCGAACCGGCCCGAGGGCGTCAGGAACCGGAAGGATGGGGGGCGTAATGGGTAGGATGGTGGCAGTACGATCCGCCCGTGGTAGATCCCCCCTTCGAATGCCGAGTGCGGCGGGCCGCGTAGGGTGAAGTGCCATTCGAATAGGTCGGTCTCGAGCGGGCTCGCGTGGTAGTCCGGCGACGGGGAGGTGGTGAGTTCTTGGGCTTCGCGGACTGGTTGTGCGTGGGCGGGTTAGATTGGGTTTGTTTGCATTATGGGCCTTGGTTGGTTCTTTTTCTTTTGCAGAGGGGGTGGAGGTTGGGGAGGTGGGAGAATGGGCTTATTACGTACGGATGCGGCGGATGGTGGGGGATTTGGTGTTGAATCTTGGAGAGGCCATTGAATTTGTTTTTACTCTTTCTGACAATTTAGGTTTGTTGTGGATGTGGAAGCGATCTAAGTGGCACTAACGGTTTGGCGGAAATCACATGGGAGGTTGGTTGCGGTTGAGGTCTGCGAATCTGTGATGGTTATGCGAAGTGAACAAAGCGGCCAAGTTGCAACTTGCCACAATGAAGCATGCGTAATATCCGTACATGCATGCGGCACGAGGCTCAGCCGCCCTCGCTTCACTGGAGCGCTAACAAGGCTCACAACGCATCAGAACAAGTCTAGTGCGTATGTAAATCATCAAAGCAAGCGCTCATTTTCTCAATCTGTGCTGGACTGCAGTCCTGTGGAGAGCATGTTGTGCACACCTTACTCCGTAAACGCCCGGCAATGACGCTGAATCGTATTGTACGGAACCGGCTCATTCTGTATAATTACCGGAGCCAAGGCCGGCTTAGTGGGTCCCGGCAGATCCACCCTTCGGCATCGGCTCCCGGTACATCGAGGCTGCAGTGATAGCTTAAGGTACCTACTGTTAAGAGAACCTATGATTTGTGCTCTTACGCATGGAACAGAGTAGAAACGTTGAGTGAAAGAACAAGAAGCAGATGATGGTATAACGGAGAATATCTGAGTAGAAGTGTTCACAAGCTACGGATGACTGGCCAAAGGACAGGGCAAGCTGTAGCAAACATGTCGCAAGCATGGAAGGAGGTGACTTATTCGTTCTGGATTTCAGCCAATGCTCGGCAGCTGACGGTCCTACCTATACCTATACGATACCATCCTTCCTTTCGAGGTTGCACTTGCCCGATTCATTTCTGAATGTGCTCAGGTGCCTTCCTTGACATCCAGGACCTCGACCACGCCTACCTTCTGTTTCTCGTGAGCCCTAAGAATCTCCCACAACGCCACATTTTGTCTGGACCATAATCCTCCGCCTTTAGCAATTGTCTCCCATCGCTCAACCAGTCAACCCCCCTTCGCTCAGGCACGTCGCCATGGCTTACGTCTGCCAGGAATGTAAACTCGAGGTGGCCAACCGCGACGCTCTCGTGGCACACTGGGCGGAGCAGCGCGAAAAAGGAAATAAGCACTTCCACTGCCCGGATTGTGTGATTCTCTTCCGTGACCCCAACACCCATGTCCGCCACCGCCAGGAGGTAAGTAAGCTCAGGTTCGCCGTCGAGAGGGGGGTACTGAGGTCAATGTTATACGCTTAGCGCCATCCTGTCAAGCAGGATCTTGCCTGCCCTGGCTGCCATGCCCGCTTCACCAGTGCAGGCGGCCTTGTCGATCACATTGAGAGGAACCTCTGCAAGAAGATCAGTAATCATCAATTCGTCGAGCGCCGGGAGCAGAAGCTCGCGTTCGAGAGAGAGCTGCAGCGACGCGAGAAGGAGGCCTTGCCGGAGAGTCTCTCGCTCGCGAGCTTGACCCTGTCCGAAATTGAGAATGGACTCAATGGAGTCTATCAGCGCCCTCGATACGATTTCACAAGGCATCTCTCAAGAGCAGCAGCTGGTGTCGCTAGTCATATTAACCCCATGACTACTCGTCCCGAGTCAGAGGGTGTGAAGACAGGCCAAGGTCTCCTTGATGAGTATCCGGAACTCGAGCAAGACCGCTCTGCTGCGAAGCAAAGCCAAGCTGCCTCCCTAGGAGACATTTCACAACCCGGAGTCGAAAAACAGCGACAGACAGGGCACCAGTTGGCTCAGGGGAAACGACTCTTCCAGAATTCTCCGGCGGCGGTAGCACGAGTCCCTAAAAAAGTCGAGGTCGGTCAAAGGGCAGGCCAGAACACGGGCTCGCCATGGCCAGAGCACGATCCCCGAAATCCAAAATGGAATCCCAATGACTACTATGTGAAGCACACCGACAAGTACAAGTGCCCACACGAACGCTGCCCGTGAGCATCATAGGAAGTCTGATGGTGGGATAGAGAATGCTGACGGAGCCACAGCAAATCCTTCCGGAACGGAGCAGGCCTCCGTGGTCATCTTCTCTCAGAGGTGCACACAGGGCTCCTCAAGGTGCAGTGTCCCCGGTGTGCCAAGTGGTTCAACAGCATGGCGGCACTCACACAGCATGTCGAATCACCATCGGTGCGGTGCAACATCCGGAATACAGATGGTTACGATGATTTCCTGGATAAGCTCACGGCAGGCATTGTGGACAGGGCCGGTAGTAACCCAGATGGGATGCCAAAGTTGACGGTTTCGGAAGGGGCTCGCACGGCGTTTGTCGAGCGTTCGGAAGAAAAGCAAGAAGACAAGGGCTGGGACGATGAGTGTGAACCGTCCTGGTAAGCTCCCGGACGGAGGAGAGTTTGAAGATGATATGATTGTTTGTAGGTGATGGGCTTCGGAGACTTGCGATCTCGTCCTATGGAGTTGTGAAGTGGCATCAGAGCTACACGTGTACGGTACCACACTGATAGGAGGCTAAATCAGGGCCAAGGGTCCCGCTTTCCTCGTCCTGCCCTTTTCATTGGCTCAAGCACTGAAACTGACAAGGAGACAACAAGTCGCGGCGCAGCATCCCTGCAAGGCTTGTGGATCAACGTTAACTTACCCTGAGTTCCAGCCCGTCGGAATTCCGTGCAACTGCCAACTGCTCTCCCGTTCCGCCACTAACGTTTAAACCCACAAATGGCTACGATGATAGCGCAACACCTGTATTAGTAGTCAACGTCGACTGATGGATGAGACGCAGCCTTCGTCACCCTCCCTTTCCCCTCTTTCCGCCCTTCCCTCGACTTCCAAGATGGCAGCGGCCCGCCGCTGGGCACGCCGGGTCGAGCGCACCTGTTGTGCCTGTGCCACCTACTTCCCTCTCGCTTTCGTCTACAGCCTAACCACTTGGGCCGTTTTTGTGCTGGTTACGCTGTGTTCTACGCCCTCCAAAGTGAGCTGGCTAGGTGCGTTGCGTCCCTTCTGACCTGCGATCTGCAGCTTCGAAAAACGCCCCTTAAACTGACCGCATTTCCATTACTCCCGAGACAGGCCGGTGCGCCGCCCTGACCGGCGTTATCCTCTACCTTCTCCTCAACTGGTGCTACACAACAGCCGTCTTCACCCCGCCCGGCAGCACCACCAACAACAATGGCTACAGCACTCTGCCCACACACGCCCCCCCGCTGGCCACCTCCTTCACCGTCAAGTCCAACGGCGAGATGCGCTTCTGCAAGAAGTGCCAGGCCCGGAAGCCCGACCGCGCCCACCACTGCTCGACCTGCCGCCGCTGCGTGCTCAAGATGGACCACCACTGCCCCTGGTTAGCCACGTGCATCGGCCTGCGCAACCACAAGCCCTTCCTGCTCTTCCTCGTCTACACAACCCTCTTCAGCCTCTTCTGCTTCGCGGCTTCGGGAGCCTGGGTCTGGGCCGAGATCATGAGCAACACGACCTATGTCGAGAACCTAATGCCCGTCAACTTCATCATACTGTGCGTCGTTGCGGGCATCATCGCTCTCGTCGTCGGCGCCTTCACCGGCTGGCACATCTACCTGGCCACCAAAGGGCAGACGACCATCGAGTGCCTTGAGAAGACGCGCTATCTCTCTCCTCTGCGCCGCTCCATGCACCAGACCTTTATCAATCAGCACACACCCGGTCAAGGCGTTCCCTTGCCCTCATACGGCCAACAGCTCCTCGACATGCACCAGAACGCCCTTCCGGGAGTCACCCGTCCGGAGGAAGGCGAAGAACTCCGCCCAGACCCATCACGCTCTACTGCTACTACTACATCCTCCTCAGGGAACCCAGAGTTGCAGGCTGGCTCGCGGCGCTTCACCTACGACGAGATGGAGCGGTACCGCGCCCGCAAGCGCTACGAGGAGTACCTCGACGAGCAGGACTCAACCAAGCTGCCCAACGCCTTCGACTTGGGCCCCCGCCGCAACTTGCTGCACCTGCTGGGCCCCAACCCCTGGCTCTGGGCCCTGCCCATCTGCAACACCACGGGCGACGGCTGGTCCTGGGAGCCCAACCCGGCCTGGATTGCCGCCCGCGAACGCCTCGCCAGGGAACGCCAGCTCCAGCTTGAGCGGGAGCGCGCGGCTGGTTGGGGTGGGGATTACGTGGATGAGAATGAGGATGACGGCACGGATGGGCTTGACGACGGTGGTAATAATGTGCGTGCTGCTGGTGCGGGGAGGCACTACGTCGCCCCTGCGAAGCCGAATACCCGGTTTGCTGCTGCGCAACAACAACAACAGCAAGCTGGGTTGTATCACAATGGCCGGCCGAGCCACAATTCCAACAACACCCTCTCGCCGCGGTTACCTTCCCCTTACTCTGCCGCCGCCTCTGGCCGCAGGACGCCGAGCAAAGCCGATCGTGTGCTGGGTCGGGATCCGGAATTGTACGTTGACGACCCGGCCGCGGGGCGCGGCCACGAGTCGGTTTCTATGAAGAGGCTCAGTCCCAGGGGCAGGACTGTCGAGGACGAGTTGGACGACATTGACAATCAGGATTCCGAGGGCGGTGAGGATGGGATGGAAACCCCGGATAAGCCATCGGTTGAGGCCGAGGCCGAGTCCGGGGCGCAGAGGGGGGTGCCGCTCGGCGTGGTCACTAATGGGAGGTGGACGACGGGCGGTGCGAGGCCTTCACCTGGGGTAGTAGCGGGCGCCAGTAAATTCCTCAGGGGTCCCACGTCGCCGGGGGTTATGGGAGGGTTTAGGACTGGGTTGAAGAGTGATGGTAATGCTGGTTCAAGGGTTGGAGCGGGGACAGGAGGGGATGATGATGATGGGGTTGATTAGTTGATCTTCTGTGTGGTCGGTTTTTTGTGTAATACTTTCATCGGGCGCTATCTGTCCAGGGCGGTTCATTGGCATAGGCATCTAGAGATTACTGGGCGAAATGTACAAACGGTTTGGTAAGATATGGATATGTGCTCCAGATAGACTCCCCGCTACGTATATCATTGGCTGTGAGTGTACTAGTCCATGGAGGTTCTCCGTTCATCGAACCTCGTCTCAATGATTCCGTTCACATAAATCTCGTTGAACATATCATAATTCCCTATGTAAGGCTCGCAATGGGCGGGTCCAGTCTCCCTGAGCGGCCCTACGCTACTATGTAAAGCACAGTAGGGCGTCACGGCGGCATATTGACGGCTGTCTTGCGCCGATGCCAACACCGCCAGCCAGACGTCAACAGGCCCAAACTGACGGGTGTAGATGAGGAGGCAAGTGCGCAGGGGCTCATCCATGTCAGGCCAGACTTCGGCCCGTTCGGCGTCATTGCCAACATCGTCTGTGCTCGCAAGGAGGTAGCCAGTCAGCCAGCCACAGAACCGCTTTCCGAGGGCATCTGGAGGTAACGTAAACATCAAGCCAACGTATGTACATACAGTACTACTAGTTAAGTGGTTGCTGATTGCGGCAGAGATAACGCTGACTGGGTCTTGAAAATCCACTCACCTTCCTCGATGCTTTCAAGTTGCTCGCTATTACTAGTAGTCGACCATCGGCTTGGGAATAAACAAAAACAATGCCTGTCTGTTTGTTCTTGGTCCCTAAGTAGCGTACTGTACAGTACAGCCCCATGGTTGAGTGTTTCACATTTGGAGCCCAACGCGCAGTGCACCGAACAGTGACCCCTGACTTCCAATTGCCAGCCATGTGTCAATTTGTTGTCCAAAGGTATCTGGTGTGAGAGGATACTTGCCTTGAAGGGCATTGGTCCAAGAGTGCAGGAGCAGGAGAGGCGAAGCAGGCAAGACATCAGGCGACTCAGTATGCGGCCCCTCAAGAGTGTGTTTGGATTGGATCAACGTGCTGGGATGCAGCAACGTAGCATGCCTGTTTGGCTTAGGGGCGAGACCGGTGTGGATGGAAGGGCTGCTAGCAGATGCAACGCAGTGTCTGTTGGGCAGACTCACTGGGTCACTGGGAGTGAAGGCATTCGTTGAGGGCTGAAAAGACATTGATCGGCAGGCTCCGGCAGGTTCCGGGAAATGCTGTCGATGATATGCTTCCCCTCTTCCCGCTAACACTTCCAGTACAGTACCCGTTTACATACCTGACATCTGGAGCCAGCCTGCCTGGGTACGTAAAATCCAGAGCTCAGGGCGACAACCAACACAAAGTCCAACAGCCACGCGGACCGGTTGGACGCCACCCCCTCCTAGGCCCCCCAGCACCACTGAGTGATCGAATCAAAGATCGCTTCGAAGAATCTTGACAGGGACAGGTCCAGGAACAAAACGCCAATCTCTTCCAACCCTCTCTCCCAATGGCATATCGATTCCACTCTTCATCCGACGAGGAGCATACATAACGCGGCGGTGGTTCGTGATCATACCTATAGACGCCGATGACGGACCAGGCTGCGAACTTGCTCTGCGAAGATATCAGGCATGTTTCGGTGCCTTAGCTGAGATACATCAGCAAAGTCCACGCCATATTATCACTTGCCCAGGTCCCAGAATTCACAACATCCCTGCTGTAAATAACGTCAACACATAGTATGTACGAAGTAAACATATACCAGATAACATCACCGGTTTCGAGTCCGCTGAGACAACACTGCATGCCAGGAACGCTGCAGTATCAGATCCATCCTTCGCACCTAGGCCTTTGGGAAAAGTACCGTTAGGTCTTTTCACCTCTGTCCCCAAGTCGACAACTCAGAGGCATGAGTATACATGATGCATGCCTGTGTTGTGCATCGCCACACCGGTCGACTGACCGCATATCAGTCGGACACATGCACGATACCTCAGTACCAAGCTGCTAGGGGGTCCAATGGCGGTATCAATGGGCCCAGCATGGCTTTCCCAACTTGGTTTCCCGCGGACCGATGAAGGGTTCAGAATTCAATATGCTAATACAGCATGCCTTGGTCAGGCGCCTGTTGGCCGGGGAAGCTTGTGTTCGGCGACGAGAGTGCGCTGGATGCTGTGCAACTGCGTACTCGCCAGTGCTTGTTGTCCCACGGCGATACGCAGAGACAACAAACGAGGAGTGGCGCGATAACGCCCGCCATCTCCTGCGCCATAGGGGGCATGTTCTCTAGCATTGACGTCCATAGTCGTAAGTCCGGGACCAGGGGGACATATTTAGAGCAATCAACTATCGCACTTGGTCTGTTGGCTCTGAGTAAGCACATAAATAGCAAAGGCACATACCTCATGTATGTACACGGAGAGGGAAGCGAAACCGGAACGTCGACTTAGGTCCTATACTGTGTAACGGCAAGAAGAGGAGCAAATGGAATTCCAGCAGAGTGGTACAGCATGGAACACAGGATGCTGCATGAGGCCAGGACAAGCAAGGCGTGGCTCGCGGCCCGACTGCACCGAGACGTGGAAAAGGAAGAAGGGGGGTTGTCAAGGATGCTCCGACAAGTCCGATATGGCCGACCTGTGATTTTGGACAGATATAACGATAGCATCGGGGGTACACAAACGGATGGACTCGAACCCCAGAAGGGTAAGTTGGACACATGCATTTTGACATGCAGCAACATGCATTGGCATGCTGCGTCTAGACATGTTGTGACACACGACGCCTTATCGAGAATCAGACCGCCAGAAGGGTTGCAAGCTTGGAAGTTTGGAACAGCAAGGTGCCACTTTGGAAATCCAAATCCTGGCTGCTTGGGTGAGTGGATACCGAATTTGTTCAACTGAGGTAGTGCACTGTATATACTGTACCTGTACGAGGCAGGTCCGTCCCCCTGGAATCTGATGAGAGGCATTCCCAAGGGAACCGAGTCGCTGGTGCGATGGCTACATCACCTTACCTAGACGGGAGATAGCCTCCCCGGAAGCAGCCGAGCAAAAAACGTGGGCAAGGACCCGACGGTTGGCGATCAACCTAGTGTAGAACTGGGAACCCGGAGATCGCCTGAGTCCCTCACAAAGTTCACAACCAGATGAGAGTTTGACTTAGCCCGGAGTCTCAAAGCCCCAGACTTACATAGATTTCCAGACAAGTTAAGAACGCAATATAGGGCCAAAGCACGCTAGATCATCCTGGCATTATCTCACTGTACAGGTATCTGCTTGTGGTGTGAAAGGGTGAGGTACCCGTACAGTCCATTGCACACGACTACCTTACGAACGCAACCTTGCCAGCGGCGCAGCAATTTCTCCGCTCCAAGACCGAAGCATATCAAAGTCGCATGCCATTATTACACTTATAGCCCGGATGGCTGCAGGCTGACAGAGCAACAACCTCTCTTTGGACTGACCGTGATAGAGGACTGAGTGAGTACCTTGGTGAGTTGATCAGCAGCTCCTCCAAATGACCTCCCTGCATGCTTGGAGGGCCTTCCATGAGGGTAGAAGTACGATATTGTACAGTACATACAAAGTATTCGTCGTTCTCTTCAGCTTACATCTGTCAGGTTGCACAGAACCCCGCCGGCTGGGATAAGCTGAGCTGCATTCAATATCGCATTTCCACATTCCCTCTTACATATATGGATACATAATCAGCAATTCCCATAAGGGCCAGGGGACTGTGGGGGATGCTCACCGACGACTGTCGTTGAAGCCAAGAGAAAAGTGACACCTCACAATCGGGGTCACATTATCTACCACTGAATCCGACCCTTTCGACAAATCTGGACATGACAGCGAACCTGACAAGCCGACATATCACCAATGCAGATCCCGATGCGGAAGTTCTTCGCACCTGGAAGGAAGCTGGCCCGATCATGCCTGCCCCTAAGCGCTAGGTTGTGAATTGTGACGCCGTTCGCTGTGGCTTGACCGCCTCGGCTCTGTACTGTAGGTCCAGTCAGCGCCATCTATCAAAGATGGTTGGTTAGTTAGCTCTTCCTTCGAGTCCAGGATTGTGCAATATCTGACGACGGGTCTTTGCATTTGCATGCAAAAGAGAGATGACCTTTGCCCACGCCGCCACATTAGGCCGTTTGACAGCTGAACCTAACGATGGGAGTCGCGTCCGCGGCCTTAACCCCTTTTTGCTCGAACACGGAGTCCCTTCCGGAAAGATCTTGTTCGCCCAGAGAATATGATGATATTGGAATTGAGAAAAGGCGCTTCCCTCAGGATAGTCTAAATCTACGATTACCTTGCAACGCAAGAGCCGTTCACAAGGCATGTACTAGAATCTCGCATGGCTGGTGGACAAATCCGGCAAGATGCAGTTCTCACCAGTTCGGCAGTGCTTTGGGTGCAAATTTAGCGTACCCCACCCATATGTGGACCTCCGGTAGGCAACCGCCAGCCCTCACCGCCGAGTCCCCTCGGGGTCTCTGAAATGTAAGGCGTCGACGTCATCGCCGCAAGCCAGCCCCGCTCAGATGCCGTGACGGGATGAGCTAAGGTACAATATGTATCTCAAGGAAGTTTTACAGTGTTACACCGCAAGTCTACACGCGTATAGGATATTGGAGTTTCCTTTGTAAATCTCTTTCCTTCAGACTTCCACATCCTGCTTGGCATCCAGCTTGCTCCAAGCGATGTATTGTATAACGATACCGAGGAATCGCACGCTTGTAACTAAGCCCCAGGCATCCCGTAAATTGATACTGCGCTTTGCGAGACTTAGACCTGTAGCGGACATTGGCAAGACATTGTGTCGGTCAAGATCCAGTAAGGTAAACGTACTTCGTAGACATAGAATGGATCCCCGCAGAGCTATTACACATTATGCGTATGTCTGTATCTGCGTATGTAATTTACATGTGTATGTAGTGTATCCATACTCCGTAAGTCCGTATAGCACCGTGGTACTCCGTATTGTATTTGCAGAAACGTTTTGTACGTAAAGTACCTTTGTGT